CATACAGTACGTAAAAGTTTGCAGTCGTCCATTTATATTTCTGTCTGTACAATAAAATCAACCTTGGGCCTTCGACTGGAGAATCACTACCGGTATGATAAGCTTGCCGGCGTCCTGCACTGGCGTTCACCTTGCAGTAAGCTTCAATTTGAAAGCATTTTTCGGGGTTAGCTCGCGTAGGTATCAACCTTCAAGCAGCCTCTTCAACAAGCCAAAGGTCACCAGTCAAAGAAGAGCTGCGGAAGGGGGATACAAAGGTGTACGACCTTTGATAAAGGTGGATGATACAGTGGTGACTGAATTATATAAAATACAGAGATGCGTGCGTGCACAATAGAGATAGAAGTACAGTAGTTAGTAAGCCATGCAACCGTTGAAACCAGAGACTAAATCACCCGGAAGGAACGTAGAATCTTGTAATACAGTTCGGCAGATTCAAAACTATGGGAAGGGCCGAAGGGGTAACTTTATTTGTATACCGCTCTCCATTAATTCTATTGTGCTATATAAGCACTTGATCATATAGTCGATTGTGTAGCAAGTCGAATGTTTGCTTAGGGTGTGCTCCTTGTGGCACGCAATACTGACCGATCCACGGACCCGCAACGAACACCTCGTAATCAGTGTCCACGACTGCGTTTTCACGGAATGCGTCGACAGCAACAACTGCTACAGAGTGGCCTTCTTGCTGCATCATACCGTCCGCTCAACAACCAAGAGCCTCACCATCACTGGCCTTCGAACCCGAGGCCACACATTCTTTCTACAGCCTTGGCTAGACGCGGCGGATATTCGCCTACCCATGGTGGTGATTAAAGACGCCAACTTTCAGTGGACTAACCAGAGATTCGATGAAGGTTCCGCGCTGAAGCACAGCATCATGCACCGTATACGCCCCTTTAAAGACCACTGCCACACGCTGCTCCTGCACAACTTCACCGTATCCACGCTCTTTTGCCTGAACTTGCATGATCTGCTTTATGAGGATAACGAGGATTTAGTGCGGCTACCGGAGTGTGAACGGCGATGGATGGTACCGGGATGGGAGGTCCTGCAAGGGGCGCAGGGCAACCTGCTGTCCATGGATAGTGCGCAGATCACATTGCGCCGGCTCGTCCTGCCCTGCCGCAACGGCTGGGATGAGGTCATGAGCCGGCTCATGTGCGCCATCGACGCCCAGTTCCCTCGGTCGGCCGTTAGTGCCGAGGTTTACGCGAAAGTGCAGACGATCCACGCTCGCTGGGTGGACAATCTCAGCTACCCGGACCAATGGCAGCGCATTCGACAGATGCTGAACGTGTAAGTGCAGTGCATCACTGCATACAGATACCGGTATATGGTACGAGTATGTCTGTGCTCAGTGTGCTGAGTATGCTGTATATTATAGTTTTTACGCCGGTTAGGCCCGGTATACGCATAGCGGTCATTTGAAAGGCGACTATGTTTATGAGCTTTATTGCTAAACTTGCTAAATTAAGATAAGAGCAGTTAACCCAATCAATGTACGACACTGGTAACTGTTCGATAAAGGTCACGCGTCGTGACGGAATAAATAGCTGGTAAAAGCACCGCTAAACGAACTCACAATGTGGACGCTTCCGTCCACGGTATCGGCACCAATAAAAGGAGCCATGCAGTGCCGTATATGACTGCGTAATATACTCGTATTGTGCTGGCGGAAAGTGAAAGTAATAGTTCTTGGAATCTTAATTATAACTCTAATAACACAACAAGCAAGAATGACAGTGAGATGGAAGGCAACAGGAAATGGTATCGATATCATACACAGGTGAGCAACACCTTTATATAGTACTGTATTTTATAACCAGTTCCACATGGCATCGGCGGTCAAAAACTGCCAGTGCTGTCACACTGCACCTGTCGATATTGTCGAATAAGCCGAGCAGACAGTTGCTGTCCTGTGCATTGCAGATTCAGCGGATTCCAGCCCGACGGGACGCCGCTGCACTGGGACGAGCTGGACCTGCGCAAGCTGGAGGTGCGCGCACTGAGCACGATGGTCCTGTTGGCCATCAGCGAGGTGTTTCTTGTGTGACGCCGAAGTGTACAGATACCTGGCATGATGTTTTCTACCGAACTATATCAAAACCTCGATACAATTAATGACTCTGTACAGTTGTACAGTGATTATCTGCTGGGAGCAACGGAAGGGGATTAATAAATTTTAAACTGCCTGGATGGGCACTGCAACCGCATTGTAACCCCGGCCGGGCGGGCGCTGCAGTGTTTTTCGCAGTGGCTTTTGAACTGAGGAATGCGGTATAAATATGACGCGGCATGATAACGAATGGCGGTACTTTGAAGTACTGTAGATAGTAGTTGCGTGCATGGTACACTGACTGCAGGTTCACTGTCGACAGAATTAAAAAAGACACACATTCACAGATCGAAACTAACTGGATGATAGTGGCGGGATCGAAAAGTCTCCACTAGGATAAAGAGCGGCTGCGTAAATGAATCGGGCCGGCAATCGCCGATGGAAAGCAGCTGGGCATGTCATAGTCAAGCGCGGCGTGATACTTGATAGGTGGCGTTGCTGGCATCCTTCCAGAGAACGATGAGTCCCCGTCCTTTGATGGTGGCCAGGAGGAAGGCACCGAGACACAGCTGCACCACGATGCGCCGCGAGGTGTCAGCATCGCCGCCGTTTCCCTAACTATCGTCGAGGGCATCCTGGAGCATGTGGACATGATGACCCGGGCCCGATTGAGAAGGGGCAGAACGCCGGCAGTGCCGGCAATTATCTCGCTGCTGCATGTGCGTTATTCCGCTGGCTGTCTACCTCAATCCAGCGGGGAACGCACTCTTGACCACCCGAACGGCCGGCCCGCTGTAACGCACGGAGCCGCTGCTGCTCGTGTGCCGCTGGCTGATTCTCCGCGATTACGTCCTGCAGGATGCCTTCCGCCCGTTCGGTCACGGAGGAAGCCCTCCGCGAGGCGCACGTCTACACGTTTCGGGGTGTGGCGCGCCGCCCGCTGAACAAGTCGCAATTTGAGCAACAGCAGAGCAGAATCGAAGGGGACCGGGTCGTTTTGTGCCGCGCAACAAAACCGTCGCAGAGGTCTCCCCTTCGCCGTGTACCGGCACAAAAAACTGCGAGTATTCTTTAACAAGATTAATTGCGTAATTAATCATGCACAGACCGGAGTAGCTCATCGACACAGCAATACGAAAAAACGCAGTGCGCCGGAATGACAAAGAATAACTTGCGAAAAAGCAATCTTCCTTACTTGCTATTGAGACACGGGAACTCGTGCCCGGCCTTATCTGTGAAGGCTTTTCCCGCGGGAAAATACGAAGCGATTTAACAATATAGAGTTAGTCGTTCCGTTGAACATAATGCAATTCATTAAGCAAAGAAAACTACCACTCAAAAGAAGGCTTTAACTAAATATCTGGGGCAGGCGCTCCATTTCCAGTAAATACAGTATATCAAACATAATTTATCGAGGTACGTAATTACCCACTGGCCACTATGACAAGTGAATGGGCAACATACACTTAAGTGGGCCACCTTCAGTTATTTCTTTTCCAAACCGTTTTTTGTCTTGCCAGATTCATGAGACCATGCTGTTTTTAGTGTACTTGAAAGTTTTAAAAAATATTGAACCGTTTTTAGTTATTTGAGTTGTACAGAAACAGTGACGAAACAAATTAAGCCACGCCACCGAAGCCAACAGCGGTGCACTTTCCTACCCTAGAGTAGTAATGAGTCACATGTATACGATCGTCTCACTGATACAACAAAAAATAATTGACGATAATTAAAAGAAAATTAATCAAACTTGTTCCTTGTAGTCGCTGTGGTGACGATGGTTGCACTGCAGTACCGACTCCCGCAATCCTGCCGGGCATCTGGCGCTGCACAACGAGATTGACTAGCGGGATGTGGAGTGGCCGGTGCCGGCGATATTGCAGCACAGGCAGTGACGATCGCCGCTCTGGACTGCCTATTCCGGCCAGCCACGGGAAGACTGCTTACAGATTTTTCTTGTCGCTCGTATCTGTATCGTAGGTTCGCAGTACACCCCATTTAGCGATTAACATTTCGTGCCTGTAATTTGTAAACAGCAAGCAGAAGCAACATTTTCGTCGGCATTTTACTGGAAAAATCTCCTCTACGCTTCATCTCGTAATATTTCACAAAGGCAGTCATGAAAAACAGCTAAAATCATGATGAGAAAACGGCGTAATAGGGAAAGGATGAATGTGTCGTATCGCAGACTGAAATTAATTGAAATAACGGCTAATATCAGCAATTCAATACACGTTATAAGGCCAACACACCACGGCACCACAGCACTGATCAAACGCGACACTACAATACAGCCGTACTAACGAAGTATTTTCCCTATCGACCGAGCAGTGTGCAACGCTAGCGTAACGCAGTCGCTAGCGTAATAGATTGTGATACCTTGAACCACTATGTACAACCATTCAAATTCAAATTTAATTCAAATTTTCAACCATTCAAATTTATTCTGATACCTTGAAAGTTTCGTGATTTGGCAATTGCAACCGTTCTAATCGATGCAATCGCCACCAAGAAATTCAAATTTAATTCAAATTTTCAACCATTCAAATTTATTCTGATACCTTGAAAGTTTCGTGATTTGGCAATTGCAACCGTTCTAATCGATGCAATCGCCACCAAGAGCGGTTGCTATTTCGCAGGGCTTAACGGTAAGCTTGACGATATCTATGCTTTCTATCGTCAATCGTATCGTCAAACGGTCCGATAAGGGTACGCCATGATGACGTGCAAGAGCCTATCGTATATCGTACCGTATATCGTAAGCCTTTTTGTGCTTGCGAACACAATCTAATATCGGGTGAATTTCTAATCGTTTCCCATAAGGGACACAACGCTGAATTTCACTTCAAAGCAGCTTGACTTTATCCGTTAACCGTTCAGAACACATTCCACCGTAGCCTCGTGCGGTTGCCATGCAGACAGGGGGTCTTAATCTGACACGCAATGCTTTACAAGTGAATCTGTTCTCTCTCCTTGTTACCAGTCTGCTTCCTTCTGCGGTCGTTATTCTTTAGTGCACCTGGCCGTTATAGCTGCAATCTGAAATCATCATAATAATTATGTATCGTGAAGGATTTCAGGCTTTTACCCAAATTTTTTGGTTTCTCGAACCAGCTTCCATTTTTGGTAGCTCTAGATCTGTTTCTGCGCAGGTTGTTAACTATTTTACAGTAGCACCCTTTTAAGTTTGTTTGTTTCCATTCAAAGAGCTCATAAAATGCTCGGTTTTCAAACTCATGTTTGCTAAACAGCAGATTTGTTTACTCGCTAAGGGGAAAGACAACAAAGTTCCCCTCCCGCCCAAGCGAGCAGGACGCGCGATTTTTGTGCTCATGGTAAGCAGGAGGACGTGCGATTTTTATTTTTACGTTAACGTGCATAGTCATGTGGCACCGTGGCCCGGGAAAATGGTGACTGTACCTGTAACAGGAAATCTAAATACATGGAAGATTTTTTTAGACAGTGACTCCATCCAGATACAACGAGGGAATGCGATATGTGTAATGGGTACAAGTCCCGATCAGGATAGCATTGAGGAAGTGTTTCTGTTATAAATTTTCCTAGTACTACCGGGTAAGTTTGTACTGGTTCCGTGATACTTATTAAAGGTTTGGTACCACATGAGAGATCCGTTGCTCACAATGATATCTATATTATGATTATCGATTTATATAGTACGAGACGAGTACACGATGTACCGTAAATTCGCAACGCCAAATTTATGTGCTATGCAGCAAGTGGCTGCCGCGCGAATTTTCGTTTTCGCGCACTCCCAAACTCTTTTTGGCATTGCTTTGACATTATGCAGCCAAGTAGGGGCGGACTGGATCCTCTCGGTTTGGTGGGGGCCAGAACTAGAAGTACTTTTGGCAGTAGTTTTGGGGTTGGGGTGCCGGGTTGGCCAGGCCCATACGATAGTGTCATCATTTTTTCTAAAGTTTTAAAATGAATTATAAACTGTTCGAATTTGCTTTAGTAACTTTTTTAAAACCACGCTAGCACCATAGTTCGATGTAAGAACGATCTTCTTTATTACCTGCGTAATCATATACAAGCCCAGCACGGATGAATATTGGCCGATGACAATTAAAAACTAAGTAGTTCCAGCAATCGAGATATAATTTCACCGCTGCAGCGTTTGAAATTTATGGCCCATGGAGTAACGGGACTAAACACTTAGTGCAAAAGGTCGGGGACGGTATCGCCACTGCCACAGGCCAGAAACGGGCGAAAGAATTTTTTAGACAGCGGTTATCTATCCAAATGCAACGGGGAAACGCGATATGTGTCATGGGTACAATCCCCGAGCAGGATAGTATTGAAGAAGTGTTTTTGTTATAAACTCGTTTTTTCTAGTACTCAGTTTGTACTTACATGACGATACTTATTAAAGGCTCCAGCAGTAGTTCCAGGATATGTTGCTTTGCGGTCGCTTACAGACTGTCATAATATTATTAAGGGTGACACTATAGGCACCCCAAAAACCCCCGTTTACTATAGGCACCCCTTTTCCGCACCCCGTTAATTAAAGGCACCCCTATCTTATTAATTGATTTTTTCGTGCACCCTGCTTTTTATAGGCACCCCTATGAAACTTTAGCATACGTATTATACTGTAATTGTAGTGTAAGAACCTAGATACGGTAACCATGATCGCAAAAGTATGGAGACGTAAATGCGGGAAAAAGTTCACAGGACTTGTTGATCCTGGAGATATAGCAACCTGTGATCCGGACGCAGCGGAAGTGACACGAATACGCGCTGACATGGCTGCGGGGATGGATTGCGTGCAAGCTCTGTACGGGTCACATCATTTTGTGTTGTCCCAGAAAGTTGCGTCGGAAGAAGTCGTACGAGTTTACAAAAGTTTAAACAGCGATCTAGCACCGCAAATACTGTTGCAGCTGGCCATGTTATGTGGAGGCGAGGTCACCGATGTCCATGTTATGTTTCCTCTTGATCAGCTTCAGAATACTGGGTCGAATCAGTGTGGCCCGTTAGTTTGTGCCTTCATGGCCGAAATCATCGCGGGCCTGACACGAGAAGGTACGGTTTTTACAAAAGCCGAACCGCACCGAAAATGGTTAGCAGAAGCGCTGGACAAAGAGAGGCCCACCCGGTGTCCGAAAAGAACCGGCATCCGAAATTACGATTGCGAAACGAAAAATCAAAATTACCGCCGACGATGCCATCTCATTAGATCTAAGTTAGCAGATCAGCCTCACCGCCCGATTATCGGATGGAAAGCCTGATTCTGTCTGTATGCGTGTATCTTTTTGAGACTGACGCACGTACATGAAATCATTTTCGAATTCTGTATCCGAAATAATTATGCTATTAAAGGGTGCATAGAAAATACACTGACAGGGTGTTTCTATTTAATATAACAGAAAAGAGTGTCTATAAATTACGGGGTGCGAGAAGGGGTGCCTATATAAAACGAGGGTGTAAGGGGGTGCCTATAGTGATTTCCTATTATTAAACCCGTACGTATGTTTAGTAATATTATGACACTTTTTACTTAAGTTACCCGAAACACGGACTGTCTACTTGTACATACAGTACATAACTTGCAATGATCACTAACGTGATGACTATAACGTTAAATGAATTTTTACTTTGTATTGTACTCGCACTTATTGCCAAGTAGCAGCTCAGGCATTTCTGCTGTTTTCGGTCAAGTTGTGTTAGAACAGTGTGCATTTCTTATCGCGTCCATGGTAACAAGCTTACGATTGACCACTGGACCTAGACAAATGATTTTGGCAAAAGTCAACGATCTTGCAGGATCCACCGCTACACTTAGAGAATTTTGATGTACTTTAAAGCAACGAAATTGGTGAAGTAGAAGCCGCGATCCTTTGCCTCGAAGGACAGGGGCCGAAATCCTGGCACAGATAATCAGTATTCATATAACTAGGCAGTACGATTACATACAAAATTAATTTGAAAAATGTCGGCATGCAAATTTACATTCATATACGTGTAACTGTACACGCAAAACATATTTAGGAAGCATATTGACATGCAAAATTTGAAACTTTTGGAAAAAACATGTCCACGTGTTAAGCTGATTAACATTTTAATTTAGCACGTACTTAACGGTAGTAGCTCATTACATGGCACCAAATTTGTATACGTCCACAAGAGTCTCCATTTCGCGCATTACCAAACGTATTTTCGCATTGCTTTATGACTTTCTTTAGACAAATGATTTGTTCACATAGTCCGTAATCCGTTTGGGCGCGCGACCCGGTCCGCAGTCCCTTTTCTAGATAGAATGACCTCATTAGTTGTTGCATAAAATTACAGAATTTGTTGTCAAATAAATTACAGAAAAAGCAGTATCTGTATATAAAAAGCGAACTGATATGGACTTTTATAAGTTTTCACTTAGTTGACTAACAAACGTTTTACAAAGCATGGTTGAAGCAAGTTGCATTATTATGTGGTGAGTATGTGCTATTTTGCTGTAGATAAGCATGGAAAGCCCGGCAAGCCTGCCTCCATTTCGACGCCTCTTGCGTGGAGCTAACAGTTTCAGCCATCAGAATACGGTGGCAGTGCGCAGCCTGGACGGCGCTTGGTTGTTAGGTTATTTACAGGTAAATTCTGTTCTGTTACTTCTGTATACCGCCAGTTTAAAAATTATAAAAAAGTGCGTTCGAGCATGGCTGTGCGTGTTCGGCTTTTACGTTTTGTCCTTGTGAGTTGTGGCGTTGTGGCTTATGAGACAGATTTCAGCCCTGTGTTGTTCAAAGCCCATCCAACGCTAAAAGATATCCGTAGCAAAACACGCTGGAATCCAGCTTCGCCCTGCCAAAGCACAAAGCGGCATTTTGGTTACACTAACAAGCTACATATTTCCTCCGCTATATTCTTGGGAACACAAGAAATATACCGTTGCACAGAGAAAAATCACTATCTAGTACGATTTTTCTCTTCTGGGCTGTCGTTGTAGTTATCGTTTAAAAATATATTGTATATGTGAAGTTGGTAATGCAAAAGGCTCCATGACATGTAGGGGCGCAGATCACAGGTGCCGCCCATGGACTCGTCGCAGATACCGATCTTCGCTCAATTTGAGCGGTACCCTGCCTGCGCTGCGGTTGCGGGAAAAAAATTATGCCGTGACATGATGTTCAATGCTCGGAAGATGCTGCTGAGAATGCACCAGCTCACACTGAATCCGGATATGTTCTCCCAAACTGATAAGCGCGCAATGCAGTATATCTGCGCGCGATCCGCCAAGAACACTAGATTGTTATTATTAGCGAACAACAGTAGCCAAACTCCATTTGGGGAACTTTTAAAGCTGTTAGAAAATCTTTTTGGTATTTTGAAAATTTTGAAAAACTCTAGGTGGGTACCCATTTAGAGTTCTTGGATGAGCGTTGGAGAAGATCGGTATCTCAGTTGGGCGATGGGCAACGTCTTTGATTTGCGCGTCTACACGCACGTCACGAAACCTTTTGCCATACCAAGTCTCTATCGTTTTATTTAGCGCGTACCACCGCTGGCTTTTTGTTTTGTAAAGTGGCCATTGCCGAATAAAGATTTTATACCAACTTAACCAAACGATAACTAACAATTAACTACTAACAATTAACTATAACAATAGCCCCGAAGAAAAAAATCATACTGGATAAAGCAGATATCTAGTATGATTTTCTCTATACAACGGTGTATTTTTTTGTGTTCACAGTTCACACGAATATGGCGGATGAAATATTTACCTTGTAAGTAAGCATTTCCATCAAAAAGTAAACTTTGAGCCAAAATCTGATCTCTATTATTGAGAAGAGTTTATTAAGAAACTCTGCACCCTGAATATTTCCGAAGTTCGTTTCCAGTTCGTGCTACGAGTTTTGGGCCTTTTGGCTACGCAGAGTTTTCGAGAGGAACGAAATTAAAAATAAAATGTGGATCGGCTAAATACTTTGTACTGTAGCTCATAAGATTTGTTATGGCATACTGTCTCAACAAGTTAGCAAACCTCTAAATGCTGCAAAAGGCACCTTTATACAGGAAATTACTATATAGTATATTGCGATTTGCGCTGACCGGCGTTTTTGTATTAATTAGCCGACACTATGGTATGAGTAAATAAAATAATAGACGTAATTGAGTTCAGCGAAGCCGGTATGTAAGTAAGCCGGCGTATATCGTCCCCATCCACGAGATTCATTTCCGACAAAGAAAACTGCCAATACCGCTCGCTTGAAATTACAACTGATTTTCTGTCTTCCTGTCCCGACAACAAGAGGTGGCCATCGAATACGTCTTTGTGTGCACCCAGTCTCCCGGGAGTATTTAATTTATGGTCATGTCTACGCGCGAGAATACTCCCGCGCGATGAGTTTTGGCTACGCAGGAGAGTATCTCGCGTTATGAGTATTGACTATGCGCGAGAGTTCTTTCGGGAAACAATAAAGTTACGAACAAAAATTTTAAGCGACAAATAACCGCGCGAGAATATGTCGCGGAATATTTTCGACCACTAGTTTTGGCAAAAACTGGAATTTGTACGGTTCTTTCGATTCATTTTGTAGAACACACGTCCATATAATGTCAAATGTTGTTTCTTGAGATGGTGAAGTTAAAAAACAGAACCGAAAGTTATTGTACGCGTTTAGAAAGTTACAGAACCGCGTTTAGTATGCGAGCAATATTCACAGCGCAACCGATCACAATACATAAGTAACGTACTGGGCGTCGGTCAGGGAAATACTCGCAATACCTCGTAACTCCTCCCGCTCTTGGAATTGACGACTACCCAGCTTCCTCGTTCCGCTCCGGAGTTTACGTCGTATGTTTCCTGCAAGTACAAGGTGCACTGTCCCCTGATGACTCGAGCGGCAAAGTCAATGACCTTTGACTCGATCGCCGATCCGATTTCTGGGATTGGGAATTTGTGTAGTATCATCGTCTTTGCCACTTTAATGTAGTCCTGATATTTTGCAAGGTTGGCTTTGTGATTGATGACGGACATGACAATCTCGATGCACTCTGTTAGATGGAAGCGTTTGGCAATCGATCGTCCTGACCCGCGCAGTAAGGAAAAATCTTTCTATTGATTTGTGGTGTTGTTCTTTTCCGTTTCGAACAGCCGTCTTCTTTCTGGACAAGTTGGGCGATCTTCCCCGTGGCCCCATGGTTATAGTCTTCCAAAGCCGGCAGGTGAATGTCCTCCATGGTGCCATCCACAAGCTTTAAGCGGACCACTGCTTGGCAGTTACTTCTTAGAGTGGTTGAAATGCTTTTATTTATGGGAAATATTGGGAACTGAATTCCGCCGGTGTGGGCGGTAATCGCCAGCTTTCTTGCAGGCCAGCTTCACTGAGCTGTAGAGGAACGTGTCATGACTCGCGAAGCGGATGAATCTTTGACGTTTTGGCATCGCCGCCAGGATTTATAAAGACCTGATGTGTTCGCTGGCTCCATTGCTCAAAACCTCCGCCTACGATTCATATTTATTTCCCCCTTTAAGTTTTGACGCCATAACGGCTGAGAGTGTAAAAACTCGAACTATAAGAATGTAAAACGCCGGTACGGTCAGATTTTGTATTTCTTTCACCAAAAAAGTGGCCTTCCCGTAATTATTAGTTGCCGTGTCGTAATAAATACACAGATTCAAACTTTTTGTTAGTATTTTTTTGCGCGGGGAAAAACTCTCGCGCGTAGTCAATACTCATAGCGCGGAGGCTCTCGCGCGAAGCCATTTCGTAATTTAAATGTCTAATATTTAAAGGGGGGATCCATAAATTACGTGCGCAGCGAACCGGGGGAGGAGAGGGGTAAAAAATGTGGCACCTCCATAGGCTGAGCAGGGAGTGCGAACCCGGGTATCAGGGGGAGAGGTCAAATTTTCGAAGAACCTGCGTACGTAATTTATGGATCTGCTTAATTAAAATCTAATTAATTAAATAATTAAATTAATTTTATCGAACGGCAGACGAGCACGAACCATTACAGCCACTGCGTTGTCTGCCGTCGAACAGCCAGAACATTTCACAAGCGATGATGGCGCATGATATTATGGAAATTGTGAGCGTTCTATGGTGTATTATTATGACCGGTCACCGCTGTTTTCAAAGAAATTATAAGATCCGAGTATTAACGCATTCTGCGTTTGATTTAAACAACTGGTTTGTATAAGCACACTTTTGCGTATGCGTATGACCTGCTGGGGAAGCAGGTTCGGACTTCAGAGCGCAAATTGCGCCGGGACGAAGATTTACGGCAGTAGGTTTTAGATATAATCGCACCTCCTCCACAGGTAAGAAACTCACGAAGAAAACCTTTTGTGACCAATAAAAATAATAATTATTTAGTAGCGGGCCTAGCGGCAGATGATGCACTGGCGGAGGGGAATGCCTGGTTGGGAATACGTACATACCGGTTTCCTTAAGGCTGCGCATTGACTGACTAGCTGCAAATTACAAATTGACTGATGCGATAATTATAAAGAACTATTAACAACCCTAGAACTGAAAAAAATCTCGAAATATATTGATTATTGCCATAAATAGCAGCGCGAAAATATGACATTGTATTATCGCGTGTAGCCAAAACTCATAGTGTGGGAGTATTCTTGCGCCGGTATACCGAGTACATGACAAATAAGATTACTAGCATAAAGCGCCAGAATTTCAGCATTCTGTGCTGGTACTGGAGATGCATGAATTGTGCTACTTTAAGTCTTCTAATGTAATTATAATGTCCTACTTTCGGTACAAGAATGGAATCTGATATGAAAAGCGGTAAACTGGGGAAAAGGGCAAAAACTGAAACGACACCATAAAAATACAAATATGTAGCTTCGCTCCTTTTAGCGAAATCTCCGCGCTTTACAAGGCTTGTATTACAAGCCTGAAGCCTATATAGAGTCCAGCTCTGGGTACGCCATGTGTTCGTTTTTTACACTCCGGGATGGGAGTGGGTGTTTCACCCCTAAATAGGGTCGGAGAGTGAGCGCGTAGCCGTGTTAATTTGTTGCAGGATCTCACATCGGACGAGAACTATGCGTTCATTGAATTCGATTCCACGAAAAAGAGTGCATGTTGGATTCGATCCTGCTTCATCTACCCTTTGCCGCTAATTCTCGACAACAAGCCACTGACCGTGTGGAAGAATAAGCCGGTATGGGTGGCGCTGCGCGACGAGATGGACGGACCGTTTCGCTTTCGTCCGGCCACTTTGCTGGAGTGTGTCAAAAGTGAGTTCTATAAGGCAGCTTGACAATGTGATTTGAAGGGTGGGCAATATTAAACTGGACAATAGCAATATTAGCGTCCAGGGGTGCGGCGGGTGCCACGGGTAGTACCATAATTAGGTACGTGGTACAGTATCTATAGATCCGTAACATGTTATACACTATGCATCGAAGAAAATGACCGGCGAACGGCTGGGCTCATTTCGCCCCGGTAAAGCACGCTAGAATCTTTGGAACCCCGTGAATGTAGTTACGCAGTTGTTGATTTGGTGCATGCCCGGTCGAGGAGAATCGTCACACGGCATATGTATGTATGTATATCGACCTTGGATTACTGTAGCCGTAGGAACTTCAGACAGCATTTTGGCTATGCTCACATAGAGTACTAGTCATTACCGTCCATTATCTTATGCTATGCCCATTGCCCACTAGCTTTTCTACCGTGAATTCAGCCATCACCAGAGACGGCTGTTGCCAGTTGCCACTGTTACAATTGCCGTTGCCTGGGATTTATAAATATACATAGTCAACTCGGCATTATTGATTACTGATTATTGTATTCGTTCAGGTTCGCCGCGCTTTAGTATTACATTATGGCTGGGTGCAAGGGTGACCTTTTGGTGTCCGCACGGGTGTTGGCTGAATGCACGGGGTTTCAGTACGGGCGTTGACTGTGTGCACGGCTAATTTATTTATTTTAAATCTTCTGTTTCCCGGATTTTTGAATGATAAACCGCTTCGAAATTTTTTAAATTAAAGTCGATTTTTTATGCCCAGACACGTGCACCATTGGATCCCTCCTGCGGCTGTCAAAAGTCTGACAGTGCTAGAGTGCTATCGTACGATCGACATATGCAACTATGCAAGAATAAAAATCACTAAAACTCTCGCTTCGCTGTTCCTTAATTTCGGGATTGGTTCGAGAGATTCGTGTCTATAGCGACTATAGGCTTGTAGCCAGCGTACGGGAAGGCCGGGTAGACAGGCCAAGACCGGCTTTCTATCCCGTTCATCGAATGTTGGTTTTGATAGTGTGTCGCTTTTGTTACGTGAGCCTGGAGATTTCTGACGCAGCAGACCGCACCTCTTCTAGCTTAATTGAAGTGGTGGACCGCTGTCAGATAGTGGAACAGCTGCCATCTGATGAAATGCCCATCCAAGATAAAAGCAACCTGTTGACGTACAGGAAGTACATTATCCCTATTTCAAAAACGGACCGGGTTCTGCAGGAAGCCGCCGATGTATATCGCATCATCGCATTGTTTCGCCGCAGCTATCAGTACGACCGTTGGAATCCCGCAACGTCGCTGTCGGACGGTTGTCGCTTTCACCTGGCCGTTGGACCGGAGTCGTGTACTTTCCTTGTCATAACGCATAGTATGGACACCATCACGGAGCACGAAAGAACTAAATTTGCTTTGCATGCACTCTTGGATAAACACTTCAAGGCACGGCATCGTGGACTACTTGTAGGATGCCCGAACTGCCCCGACAACGGAGGGATTTGTGGAAATGTTAATGAGGCAGCTGCAACGTTTTGCGGTAAAGCGGGTAATCAAAAACTTATAGTACTAGCAAACGCAATTGGCACTTATAATATAGCATTATCTTGTAATATTATTACATAATGTTATATTAAAATCACTTAATTAATAATAATGTAAGTGGAAAGTGGAGACACTTTGGCAGCGCTCATCGCTCTGGTAGCAGCTGCAAACATTACCCAAAGTCGAAACGTGATACGTATTACTATTATTACACAGTGTACAAAATTTGTATGAGAAATCTCGCTCAGAATCGGCTCAGTCTGTACGAGCCGAGCCGTCTGGCTCAATCGGACTACACGATCATTATGTTGTAGAATCTGAGGTTATTATTCCGGAAACCAGTATCTGCAGTGTTTCCCATAACATTTTGATGGAAATATTGGCTAATCTGGACCTTCAAGCTCGAATGCGGATCAAACGGTGAGTTACGTATTTAGTTGTGCCCACCGTGCCCTACAGTTTGCTTACATTACCCCTAAGATCACCACCCAAGCTTCCAGTAAATGGGCAACGGCCATTAAAATCGGCTTTCCTTAAAATTAAGGTTGAGTCTGCCCAGCCAGAGCAAGAGGGGCGGGCCAGCACAACACTACTTAAAATAGTGGATCATCTGCTCACAGCATTAAATTTTGTGCTCGTACCACCCACTGTGTTCTGGGCACGATTCCTTATCATGAAAGCATTGAAGAAGATTTTTTGTTGTAAATTTAATCCTTTCTGTTGCGCAGTGCTGTTTCGCTTACACACGTTATGAGTTATTTTCAAGTTAACAACTGCAGCACATATTTCAGTTATATTTTATTCAGTTCTGTACCAGTGACAGCCACTGACAAGAGGTGGCAGAAATATAATTAAGGATGTGTCCGCCGTTGGAGTTCTGCATTTTGGCTGTAATTCTCTACTCTGATAGCGAAGAGGGCACCGCCAAAATGCGTATCTGTAGAACTATATGTAGGCCGCCGGATGTCAGCTCTTCTTTTCTGGCTAACGATCACTTTGGCTGTTTTCACTTCGGCGCCATTCACATCAGCGGCAGTTCATTTCGGCCCTCATTATACGGGCCCGTGGTATTTGACTACAAGAAACGACTTCCCCTCCGCGTTTCTTGTGGTCTATGATCGTTGGTCAGAACGTGAGAAAGGCCGTGTTTTTCAGGGGCTGGGGCGCATTTCGTGGGGAAACGATTGGTTTATTATTTTAATTTTAATCACTCTCGCTGATTTCACATATTTTTACCGTGGTCTTCGAATTTTTTAAGAGGTAAATTGTGAGCCTTGTGGGTAGTATGGTTCCACTAAGAATCTTTGAACGCTTTCGGACAACAAAGAAAGGTCAGCCCCTTTAAGAAATAATTTTCTCTTGGGATAACGACTATCGGCTTTTGGTTTTGGAGGATATTTACTAATACCTGTTGGCAAAATATGAAATTCGACTATTAGATCGAATCAGGCAACCTGGCATGTCTGATTGCCACTGGACAGTAATGAAAGCCACTGGGATATTATTTTGTTAATTCGTTCTTGACTAGTAGCCAGCTGGCCAGTGTTTATTTTTTCTCACTGCTCCGACTCATCCACTACCCCCTTGGAGCTAATCGAAGGTTATATCCAAAAGCTGACCTGAGAATAACTTCAGAAACCTAAAAATCCTAACCAGGGCAAACACAGGCCCTCCAAATTAAAAAAATCTCTTTTTTTGCAGAAAGGTTTACTGGTAGCAAACTTAGGTATGACATTTACACAATTATTTTCAGCTTCTGTGATCAAGGTAGGACACATGTTTTACTACTTTTCTGCTCTAAGGCTTTCTTAAATTATCTTAGGCTTTGTAATGTATTAGCCTTCTTATGTTATTAGGTTTCTCATGTTATCTTAACTTTCTTAGGGTTTGTTTGTTAGTCGGAGTTTGTGGTCAGATCCGGTCAAAGTCTGAGACGATCAGACTGAATACTCAACATGATACTTTTAGTGGTCACAGTCAGACGTTGCTTCTGGCTGTAAGTATCTAGCTAGACGTAAATATTCATTTGTTATGTTTCATTTATTTGTTTGCGATCTTCGAGGTTAAAGCCCGTGTAATTTATTTAGCGTGTGCTGGTTGTGGCACGCGATATCCAGCGCTCCTGGGACACTCGACGAGCATGTCATAATCAGCTTCAAAGGTTGTGTCTCCACGAATTGTCTACTCGACAATTGTTACAATGTGGCACTGTTGCTGCATCGTGCAGTCAATTCAGAAACCAAGAGTCTCACCATAACTGATCTCAACTTCAAAGAGCACACTTTCTTTATTCCGGTCTGGCTGGGCCTTACACATCTCCAGCTGCCCCTAGTGGTCCTAAAACATGGCCGCTTTGACTTTGGTGGTTGGGTATACGATGAAACGAGTTCGTTGCTGAAACACGGCATCATGCGGCTCATTGAACCCTTCAAAGACCTCTGTCGAACCCTGATCCTGCACAACTACACATTATCCCGTCTCTTTTGCCATCCTATCTCGAATGTGCTTCACGAGGTAGAAGACCTAGTCCCGCTCCCCGCGGCGGAGAAGCAGCTGGTAATCCCACTCAACGTCCTGATGAGAGACGGGCAGGGAAGTTTATTTACTCTTAATACCACGGAGGTCACGCTGCGCCGGGTCATGCTGCCCTGCGTGGACGGTTGGGAGGCCGCAATGAGCCACTTCATGCGCGCCATCGATGCCGCGTTCCCGGCCGCCGGCGCCGATGTTTACAAGAAGGTGCAGGCGATTCACGCTCGCTGGCTGGACACCCTCAGTTACCCTGATGAATGGCAGCGCATACGCCACTTGTTGTCTGTGTAAGTTCTGCCGTGGTGCGATACCGTTAGTAGTTACACTGGCTGCGGCGCTCGCGTCGTGACATTGACCTAATCGTTTGTGAAGTAATACAGCGCCACAAAAAATTGAGGAATTCATGCTGTGTACTGCAGATTCAGTGGATTTCAATCGGATGGGACACCACTCCACTGGGACAATGTTGACCTCAGGCAGCTGGAGATCGGTCAGCTGAGCACGATGGCCTTGTTGGCCATCAGCGAGGCTTTTGTACAGTGATGTGAATCTGTACAGAGTACTTCATTTTCTGGTTTCTTCGGCTTGTATCAAGTTTAGCAGTACATGGCCGGTTTGGCGGGATTGTATTAATATGTAACATCCTTGGTCCGGAATTCCCATACCATTTTTCCACAATTATGATGGTCTGAGTGTTTTGTGTGCAATGCTATGAGTGTTTTGTGTACAGTCCCATCTCATGTTAATTGGGACAAATTCTTTATTTGAGTGATTTTTATTGAGCGAAGCTCGCCATGGTACATAATGCGATTAAAGCTTATATGATGGTCTGAGAAATTATTATTGCCTCAGAAATAATTCAACGTGTCGACGATGGAGCCTCGAATGAAATGCACGCCTTGATACCGTTTCGTACAACTCAACTTTCATTTCATGCCAAGCAGCTGTCTCGTTTTGGACACTTTTGTTGGCGTCAGCCGTTAGCAAGTGACTGTCTCTACTCCACGCCGCCGGGTGGACGTCCGCCTGGGGGACCTCCGCCTGAACAGCTCCCGGGATAGTACCGCCACTCTGAGCGTGGTGATGCGGGCCCTGGAGTTGGTCTTGGCGCCGGCATGTGCGTTAGCGTACAGCTCATGCTGGGCAGCTGGAGTTTTGGCGCGCGCTGCCGGCGGAGGACGCACGGCGCTATTGGGCGGTGACGAAGACGAGTTGGATGTGTTTGATGGCGGTGTGGGTTTGATGTTTTCAGCGTTCTACTTAACAAGCAAACTGATAGTAAGGAGTTGCACAATCGACTCACTGATGCAATGAAACTGCTGCCAGTGAAAAACTTGAACACAATTATAAAAACAAATAACAACAATTCAAAAACAAATTAAATAAAATTTAATGGCTGTAATGCCGATGGTTGCATTGCAGCAGACTGCCTGCCTGGCACCTGGTGCTGCAGTACGAGCTGGAGCAAGCGGATGTGGAGTGGCCGGTGCCGGCGATGCATCACAGCCCGGTGACGATGGCCGCTCTGGACAGCATATTCGGGCCAGCCGCGGGAAAAACAGATGGATAAGGTGTATCTGTAATTCGCATTTATTGCATTTTCTGTCAACTGGGCAATGATTTTGCTTAAATGTCAACAATCACTGCTGTCAGTAGACCCAGAACTCTTTACTGCAATATGTGGGTCATGACTCATGAATAAGTTGTGTAAAGAAGCAGCGCGTATATCCGCCGCTTATCTTATGCAGCATAAGGCTCTATGTAATGACAAGAAGACACGGCAAAGTAGAGAGGCACACGTTGGGCCGCAGAAATCATTTGCCAGTTGAGGCTGCACAGGTCAAGGGAAAGGATCCATAGTCGAGCAGTGAGCAGCCGGATCACAAGCGCAAGTCACGGGCTAACCAGAGATTATACTGGTATCGCCGAGCGTCATCATTTAGGAGGCTAGTCCCAGCAGGATGCCGCCGATGAATCCGCCGCTGAGGTAGGGACTGGTCCGCGCCAGCACCTTCATCTGCGCCCAACAAACCTGTTGCGTCGGTGCATTCCGCACATTTAACAGCTCAAATAAGTACCTTCTCCAGCCAGGGCCGGCCGCCGCGGCGCGTCCAGCTGCGCCAGACCGCGGCCGGCGCTCCGTGGTAGTCGCGCCGGAACTTGCTCCAGTCCACCGTCAGGTAGCCCAGATGCTCCGCGAACTAAACACAAAGTCACTTTGTGACATTCAACCAAAGACAAATACAGTATGCCTAATCACTGTTGTTATGGCACATCGTTGCCCGTTGGTGCAACAGTTTCTGCACTGCATTATTACATCAGCATCAAATGGCAGTGACTTACGAGGACGACGATGAGACTGCTGCCCATGTTATAAATCACCGGTCGGCCGAATTTGTTACAGAGGTAGCCGGACAGCCTGCATAGAACAGGTCAGATTTAAAGTAAACGTTAACCAGCAGCTACACGGCGTCTGTCGCGTGGCCTACCACCCCGTGGCGCCGCCCGCCGTGATCTGCTGCGCGCGACTAGCCGTGGCCAGGCTGTGCAGCGCGCGGTCCACCAGCGACAGCGGGCCCTCGCCCACGGGAATCATGCTCATGCCTTCCAACGCCGTGGCTGTCGCTGTCAGCCGCGACTGACTGTCAGCGCTGCTCTGCCTTTCCGCAGGCCGCGACAGCGGGCTCCGGCTCATTTGTACAGAGTCGCTCGTTTCCCCGTTCTGCTGTTGGTGGCTCATTTGCTGGCCGGAATCACTAAAGTCCAATCCACAATTCCACACCACAGCCACTCGTACCAAGCATGAAGCAGGGCCAATTCAAATCAGCAAGTCTGCACAGAGGACTTGGCTAACAGCAGTCAATACTTGACACACGAAACGAAGATCACATCGTGTAAAACACCATGGATTAACATGTTTCTCAGTTCTTCTTTAACTGCCCACAACACAAACAGGAGAAACCCAACGACTTCACCCGTCAACTTTTGTACAAGAACAAGAGAATGCACAATATTCAGCAAAAACTGAAAATCACTGTACAGTATCAATTTGTTGAAAATAATGGAATAGACTGTACATTCTAAAATGATTATTAATCATTTTAGAATGTACATGTCGCCCACCTGATGCGGTACCCATTGTCGAATGAATCGCCCACAGGCCACCCGCCTTGGCCCCCGGCCACGTGAACGGCCACGTTAACAGCTGATAATATAATTATCTTATGTATCATAATATAATTATATAATATATAATTATATTATGATAATATAATTATCTCGTACACGTACGACTACTTTAAAGTTTGAATATCACGTCGTGTCGAAGTATGTCGCTGATCGTTATGCCACGTGATTTACACCGTTTCACACCTTTTTGTCCAACTTTGTACAGAAACCAGCTCAGCGCACTGTATGTGCTTCCTAAATACTGTATCAGTCTGTATGAACCATTGTGCATTAAATTTCACAGTTTACAGCCGACCGTAAGAACTATCTTTCAGAAAAATTAAAACATCCCAACGCAATTCCCCCAGGCCAGGGAGATGAGAACATTGTTAACTGCCACGCGGCAATGACGGCCTAGCCGCTCTCCTGCTTCACATCACCGCGGGGCGTTTCAACTTCATCACGACACCGCCAGATGACAAGGGCCGGCAGTCGGCATACGGGCCGGTCTTGGGCAGTCGACACGCCATCAGCGACCAGCTGTCCGTCTCTTCGTCGTACACTTCGATGCTGCCGCCCCACTCCTTCTTCATCCCCACCAATGACATACACTTCCCCACCCACGCATGCGAGACCGGGAGAAGAGCGGCTTCTGGTCAGGTTAGCTGTAAAGCACCCAGCGATACAGAACAGCACCCAGCGGTACATGTACATCTGTAGTGTAACTGTGTAAGTACTCGTACAAAGGCTGTACGAGTATCTCGTGAAATGGAAGATGGCCTATGGCTCATGTGCCGTAGCAGCGGTATTGTTGTTGCCCGTTATGGTTGCCATGTCTAGTGTTTATTTGGTCGTTTGCTGCTGTCCCGAGCGGACATAATACCAGATTATGCCGTTCGTTCAATACATTACAACATCCACCGTCACGCATCGACGGACCGGCAGTACACCAATCAGCACTGGAAAGGATGGTATCACACTGACCCTTTCGCATCCACCGATCGCTGGCGCAGTCATACGCATCGACGCGCACCCAAAACAGATCCTCCAGAAGTACCTAAACCACAATTTCTACAAGAGACCATTTGGCTATTCTGTTGTACTTGTCACTAGTTACGAATTCCGCAGTGCGCACCCAGAACAAAGATCAACCCGTTGGGAGCTGCGCAGGCAACAGGAGGGTCGAAGGACCAGTGTCTGGTCGGCATGTCGTGCAGTTTGGTCCAGGTGTCGGTTGCGGGGTCGTACGAGAAAGAACAGCCACGCTCTTCCGGGCTACCACCGCCAAACAGAAACAACCGACCGCCACAGGCCACCATCACCGCGCCGGACAGACCCAGTGGGAGCGGGGCCACTGCGCTCCAGGCATTGCAGAGGGGATCGTAGGCCTCCACGGACGTCAGCGGGTCGCCTTCTGCAACCAGCAGAGAGTAGCCCCCAGCGGCATAAACGCGACCGTTCAGCGCGGCCAGGCTTTCTTCCGCGCGCGGCGTCAGCATGGGGGCCACCTCGCGCCATTCGTCTCGCAGGCCCAGGTAGCCACGGTCTCGCTGGAGTCGATGGCGGCCAGCGCTGTGGACAAGCATGATCGTGCTGGCGTCCAACAGCACGACGTGCTGGCAGTCTTTGGGCGTGGGCATGGGCAGACGATTCAGGCGCCACACGGCCGTTGTCGAGGGTCAGAAAGCGTTCACGCTGCCGCGGTACTTGCCACTAGCCCAGCAAAGGATCACTTCCTGCGCTGATAATCAGGTCAACAAAACAGCCGTTATTTCATCAACACCAAAGCTTTATTATATCTATTTCCGTTGTCTACAAACTGGCGTACAATGCATACGCGCGGTAACTACATATCATTCAACAAAGGAACTTTCCGCTTGTCAGATATGACACAGAAGCAGAAAATGGGGCAAAATATGCCTTTATGGAAAATGGGGCAAAATATGCCTTTATTGCGATAACAATAAAGCAACAACACAAAAACCAACAGAAAACCCGATAGGGAAAAAGCTGGAAAAAGTGCCTGCAAGCGCGCCTATGCGAATCGTGATAATGATTCAGCGTGCTGCGGGTATGCAACAGCTGATGCCGCAAAGCATGGAATCGCTCGTAGGCGCTGGGCTACGCCCCCAAGAGTGCAGAAATGCGCTGATTGGTCAGCGTAGACAAAGTATACGCTGAGTGAGCAGCGCAATATAGCGGCACAAATGGCGTTGCCATGTGCGGGCGGGCGACAGAGAAAGCCACAAGAGGTGTCTACTGCCTCGAGTGAGCGGTCTCTGACATGCCTCTGGGCGGGAGTGGGAGCTCCTGCGAGCACCTTCCGACTCTACCCTTGGCCAACCCGGTAGGATGCCAGGATCCGATACCCGGTAGGGCCGGATGCCACTTTGTCTCTAAACCCGGTAGGGTTGCTGCCTCCAGACCCGCGGTGCAGTGCACCGAACGGCCGAAATCCGGAGTGCACTCTGGTTGCTGGGGGTTCCAGTGTTGTGGAAGGCTTGCTTTGGTCGAACAAGTACAAAAATAAAGTTTATAAGGCTCATTGGTTAAAAATTGAAATAGAAAAATCACAATTCCAGTGAGAATTAAAGTAAAGATCATAGTTACAGATCCCAAAGCCAATTCTTTTGAGTTAGTGGCTAAATAAAAACATCAATTTTTTGGTTAATAAAGTCTAGAAAAACCAGGTTTGGTTAAAAAATTAGACGAAAAATGGCTTATTCCGACTAGGGCTACCACAGGGCCGCTTTTGTCCACACGGGTCCTAGTCAACGGTCCGCTTTATCCGATAGGATTGGTCTGGTCCTGTGAATCCGGGGCGACGGTTCCCAGAGATGTCCACAGGGGTCCAGTGAAGTGATTCCAGCGGTGCGGTATAAGGAAGGCACGGTTGCATGCGCAAGGACAAGTTGTCCCCTTCCTGGTTCGATATGGTAGACCAAGCCCGGTTGGGCGGTCCATGCAGGGCCAGAGTGATGCCTCTGGACAGGAAAGGAGCTCCTGTGACCAAAATAGTATGCTTGGACCAATTCCGTTTGGATGGCCCATGTGGGTCTCTAACTTGGACCGGTTTTGGCCTTGCATGCCAGTTTGGTCATGCGCCTAGGTCCAAAAATCTTCTAAGTCCAGGAGGGCCATAATGGGAAAATTTTCCAAGTCCCTGGACTGAGGTGGTGTGATGGACCAAACCCGTTGGGGCGGTCCAAACTCGGTCTCCGACATGCTCTGGGCCGGGATACGAGGTTCCATTGTGATGTGGCTCGCCTCCGGCTGGTGTGGGACGTGGGGGTCCTGTATAACAGGTTTTGGCTCACCGATGTGGACTTAGTCGTTTTTTGATGAGCCTCGTCGTTGGACGGGCCAAAAAACTTAGTCGATTTTTCGACGGTCCAAGGTTGATGGCGGGCCAAAAGGACTTAGTCGTTTTTCGACGGTCCAAGGTTGATGGCGGGCCAAAATTGCAGACTCGTTGAGTCTGGTCCGTCTCATTGGCCGTGGGCCATGAGTTAGCTACCATGTCCGATGAGTCAGATAGGTTTCCGTGAGAACGTGGCCATAACAAAATTAAGTGGTTTCTGACGAAAACATCAGGTTGGCCTGGCCAAACTCCAAAAAATTAAGTTGTGGGCGCCGGTAGACGTTTTCCACAAAGGAGTCGGCCTGCTGACTAGAAGCATCCTCATTTGGCCTCGGGGCAATGCATCTTTTGGATGGGCCTCTGGGCGGTCCGTGGTGAGGATGTTAAACATGGCATACAAAATGGGTGTACCACAACTTCTATGTGGCTCCCTTACTCACTTGTCCCAGTTGCCTGGTGTGGCAACTAAACTCGTGAGCCGCATATGGTCCGTTGGACACACAGCGGGTCTGGTCCAACTTCTATGGGCCAGGACTTGGCCGTGGCTTGTCGCAACTTCTATGCGGGCCAGGCGGATCCATGGCTTGTCGCAACTTCTATGCGGGCCAGGATTGATCCACGGCTTGTCGCAACTTCTATGCGGGCCGTCGCCGCCTCCTTGGCGCTGGATCTTTTCCGTGCCGGGGAACTTAGCTCGCGCCAAGTTCGGTCCGGTGGACTCCTTCGGATGGTCTGGGATGGCCGAGCCAAATTCATGGTCCCAGCCGCTAAGCCAGAGCCTATCCGGGGAATCCGGTTAAGATCCAGGGATTAAGGTCCGGTGAGGTAGACGGTACATGGCCGTAAGCTACGTTTGTTGGGCGAGGGTAACAACCGTTGGATTGTACCCATCATGGTGTTCAAGTCCGGTTCAGCCGATGTCGGTATCTTTTTAGGGCCGACATGCAGGAATGGCCGTTGGCCTAATTCTGCCCTCCTTGTCCGGCTTGGTCGCCGTCGCCCAGCCCTGGGTTGAGTGGGTCAACGACGCTTTCCTCTATGTCCGCCAATTCCTGCTCAGTCAGGTTATCCTGTGGTTGGCTGGAGACGCTAGTCGGCTGAACTTCTTGGCCAGGGTGCTCGGCCTGAGTCTGGACGTGTGCGGAGGATCCTATTGAGGATCGCTGAGTGCGAAACTTCGTTGGAAGTTTCCGCTGCCGTTCGGTTAACGAACGCTCCCGCTCCGTCGTCGAAGTCCGTTGGAGGTCGATAGCGATAATCATTGGCGCGTCTCCTGAAAATGTCCAGAGCGCTTTGGATTTTGACTCCCGCTTCGATTTCATGGATTTGGTTTCCAAGGAGGGCCACTTGGGTCAGTAATCGAGGAATGATCTTCCCTGCCGATAGGCAACTTCGAGTTCCCAGTGGCACCGTAGGTGTCCCATTCTGGCGGCAAAGATGCGTATCATCATGCCGTTGTACGAGTAAGCGTACATTCCTGGGGCATCCTTGTGATCGGCCGGCTTGCATGGGATTTGAGGGCTGGTCAGATCCCGAGTTGCGGGATCGACGTTCCCGGTCCCGTTCCTCCTTCCGTTCTCGAGCCCATTGGCTGAGTGGAGGGATCTGAGTTCCGGTGCTGCTCCAGCCAGGTTGTCGGGCGCCACTGCGTTGCATGTAGAGATCGTAGATCTCTATCTGCTCGTGGTCCCTCAGTAGGGGAAACAGGTGGCTTCCATCGCGGCTGGTCATGTGGCAATACGCGTCGAAATTGCCTCTCACCACTTCTAAGTAGAAGCAGTAGGCTCTGTCACTCTCGTCGCGGAAACCCGGCCGCAGGTGGTGTGCGCAGGGGAACAATTCCCGTGGGGAATTGTCCCGGCGGTTTAAGTGGTCTCCGCTGTTGCGTCTGCAGTCCGAACATCGCGGCTCATACTTCTGCTGTGGTGTAAGTCCCATTCTCTGTGGTAACAGAAATGAAACTTGCAGAATAAGGTTAAGTCCACTTTAATGGCAGGTCCCTATGATAATTACGCCCTATATCTTACGTCCCTATGATTTTACATGTTATTTGTTAACTAAGCTTTTCCTGCCCGGTGAATTATATCGGGATCACCCCCTAGACCCTATGCGAATTCTACGCCTAGATCACTGATGGTAAGTACGCCGCTTCTTCTTGGACTTGGTTGAGGCCAAGGTGGCGGGTTCGGAGGGACGAGGGCCATAGCGATCCGGCGGGTTGTTCTTCATCGAGTACCGCTGCTGGGCTTCTGGCTCGTCGACGGTCTGCTTGAGCCAACCTTCGCGCAGCATCTTTTTAACGACATATCGCACGTCCTCGCTGAGATAGTACAACCCGTTAGGGCGACTAGGGGGATATTCGTTTCCGTCACTTAGCTGAAGATCGTACGTCGAGAGTTGTACGTCATATCGTCCAAGGAGTTGGTTGGCCATTTCGCCTCTTATCAGGCCCAAGGGATGTTGCGTGGTGGTCAGTACCGCCAAGATGGCATTCCGCCATTCCCAGTAGCCTTGAGGCGCATCGTCACGTCTTTCCGGTGGGAACGTGTAGAACATCTGCATGTTGGGCAGATGGGCCTGAAGGATGGCTCCTTCTTCATAGGCCATTCGGATATATTTCATCACCTTGAACTTGGTGACTGGTGGGCCATTCCATTTCTGGATAAGCTGAAAGGCCAAGCCTCCTGTAGCAAGGGTTGTACCCGTTTGGGACAACGCCTTTAAGGCTGCCTTGATATATGCCCACGTCTCGTCCGTATTGGAGATCTTTGGCTTCTTTGATGGGTCTCCGCCGGGCCATTTCCTCGCCACGTTAGTCCTTGGTGGCGGCATAATCAATGCGCGGTTTGGCCGGGCATGGGTCAGGCAAAGTCCACTGGATCTCACCATCGTTTGACTCTGGTGAGGTGGAGTCTCGCACTCTTTCCCGTTGGGGCGGTGCACCGCTTCCACTTGGCTCAGCGTCTTCTACGCTGGCCGGACTTTGTCGACTGGCGCGTTCTGCGCCGCTCTGGTCCTGACTGGCGCCTTCTGCGCCGCCCTGGTCCTCCATGTCCTGGTCGCCATCAGGTGGCTGATTTTCATCACCAGGTGGGATTTCCATGTCATGGTCCGGTGGGACGTCCATGGTCAATTTACCAGGGCTCTGGTCATCGTCAGCATCCGAGTCGGACTTTTGGGATTCCAAGGTTTGGTCCTGGTCCGGCTCTTCTTCTTGTTCCTCCTCCGAGTCCTCCGGTTCGGAATCCTCGGAGTCTGATACATCGTGGCCCAATGGCGGTGGTTTTTGCTCATTCCTCTTTGTGACCGTAGCCTTTCGACTTTTAGTTGATGTGGCTGATGGGGCCGGTGAAGAGGGTCTAGACTGGCCAGCTGCGTTGGGCAGTGACACGGTGTCCCTTGGCACGGGTCGGATTCCGGCCGCGCGCATTTCTTCTTCAGCTTCTTGCCGTGCAGCCTTCTCTCTCCTTGTGACCGATGGTCGAGGGGGCTTTTCAACCGGCAAGTTCTTTGGACCGGGCAGTTTCGTCTCTTGGGAGATTAGGTAAGCCTCCTTGGCTCTGCCGGTCAGCTTATCCTTCGACGGTCCAACTGCTTTTTTTCGGTCCGGATCCCATCTTGTATCTATGTCGTGTGACACGTACAGAGACCGTTAGGTCTTCTGTGGGATAAATCCCGGAATGGTGAAGCGAATTGGTTCCGCCCTATGTGCGTTGGTCGTTTCCAGGGTTCCTTCCCTGACCAGCGCAATTAGTTCGTCGGCCAATCTGGTGATAAGTTTGTCCAGGTTCTCCTCTCCATAGTAGTAGAGAGCGTTGAGTGTCCTGGCGATATCGGTCAAATTGGACCCTCTTGGGTTATGCAGGTAAGCGATGGTCCTGCGTATCTGGTGGAAAGGATAGTCCCGGGTACGGGAAAGTCCTGCTGGCCGGTGGGCCACGTGTAGCTCCATCATGCTGGTCCAATCACGGTGTGTGCGGACCAGGAGTCCCATATCCAGGATACGAGATACCATCCGCCGCATAAAGGGTGCCGTTACTACACGGTCCGCTGGCGGTAGGCCTTCGTATTCTTCCCTGTATTTCATGCGGGATCGGAGGACGCAGACGAGGCATTGGTACATGTCCCGTCCCGTTGCGCGCCTCATAGCCCTGGCGGCTGCCACGGTTAATCGCATATAGTGATCCGCTGGGACCTCTGTGTGTGTGGCCTCCGGTCCAGGATCTGGTAGCTCGGCCTCAGCGTCCCAAGGCTAGGGAAGCATCACTTCGTCTGAGGGCGGTTCTGTCCCGAAGCGTGATTCATACTCCCCGTCTCGCCGTGAGCGATTTAATGCGGGCTCTGCTGGTTTGTCTGGACTGTCCGATAGGACTTGGACGTCTTCATCGCTGACAGCCGTTTCTCAAGCTGGGCGATTTTGGCCTCTTGACTTTTCTTGTCTTTGGCCGCTTGCTTCTTCTGGCGGTTCCTTTCGGCCTCTGGGTTCTGAGTTGGGCGGGGTGTGGCCGCTTGACTTCCACTCGGTTGAGGGGAATTTAGACGAGTGGCCAATTTGGCCCTCGGTTGGGGAGAAGTTGGACGAGATGCCGGTTTGGCCCTCTCTGGGTTTTTAGCTTTTATCGGCTGCTTATTCCGTTGGGAATTAGCTGAGTGAATCACACCCATGCCGAGTGCCAAATTATCTAATGTCCCGGTTATAGGGAATGTTACTGGACGGCCAAAAGGTATGTCGTCGACGCTGGCAGGCATGTTCGTCAGTATTATCGGAGCAGCGGCCGTTGGCCCTGTTCCGGACTGGCTTTGGCCTGTCGAGTCTTGTGCCGACGAAGTGGCCTTCGGTGGCTCCTCCTGTTGGACTGGTTCTGGCTGTTGCACTATGGCCACAGGTCCAGACGGAGAAGTATCCATTGGCTCTGAAGCCGCTGGTGCCTGCGTCTTTGGCGGTACCACGGTTGGTGGGGCGTTTGACGACAGGGTTTCAGCCATTCGCAAGTCTTCCCCCGGTGGAGGGAAGACATTCTGGTTACGACGGCGCCGGTAATCATCTATCATCCGTAGGACCAAGGACCGAAGCATTTCGGTAATCAGGTCGTATTCCTCCCTACGATTCTGCTTTTTGGCCTCCTGTCTCTTTGCGAGCAGGAATGGATATTGCCGTCGTTCATTATGGTCGGCGTGGATGAGTAAGTGTCTCTGCTCGATAGGAGAGAGAACACTCATTGGCATCAAGGCCGCGTCGGCTTCCACTTCTTGGTCCGAGACGACCGGAGTTATTTGCACCATCATTCTGGCCGATTCTGCGGCCACTGGTGCAGGAGTTCTAACCGTGACCGTTACTGGTTCAAGTGATGAACCTGCAGACACCGTAGGTGCTGCGATTCGTTCCACAGTAATGGTAATGGTTGGCTGTTGAGGAGGTGTGGTGTCCATCCTCTCTTTGGTCGGGCACTTGCCTGGCCGGCTCGGTGTGAACCTGGCAGGCGCCGGTTCGATGGCCGGCATGCTGGGCATTCACGCCGGAGTTGATGTGGCGCGTCCAGGAGAAGTCTTTTTTGATGGAGATCGATTTCGGCGTGGCGATTCCTTCGTTGAAGGTGGCCGGACCTGGCTGGTCTCATATAGCGCCCTTTGGACGTTTTCGTGCAAGTCCTCTTCGTTCTCCGACTCCTCACTGGACGGGACGCCCCAGAAGGCCGCTGGCAGCTGAGGACGTTCGTCCTCGCTTCCTGCTTCTTCCGGTGGAAGTTCGTCTTCCACTGGCTGGCCTGGTCGTGGGCGCGGTTCAACTGTCCATGCCCTTGGGTTAATGTGTGGGCCCCGTATGTAGATGGCATGCTCTATAATTTCGCTAGGCAACTTCCGTTGGCGAAGGGCCTGGCTCTTGCTCCGCATGGCCATCAATTTTCTGATGAGGATTGTCCGTTCTTGGACCATCAATTGACAACCTCGGTTGATGCGGTCAATCTCGCGGTCCGTTAGTGTAGGATCGTTAGCGCGTAGTCGCTGGCGCATATCCTCCTCAGTCAGATTTAAGCGTAGATCAACTTCTATGATCTCGCTTACAGCCCGGTTGTGCGGGTCATCCCATGGATCTGTTTGGGTCAATCGGATGCGATGCCTCGTTGGAGGTTCGTCCCGCAATGGCTGGGTTGTTCCTGACGGAATTGCAGGTGCTTCCGGTGGTGAAAGCACATGTCCCTTGCCAGGAAAATTCTTCAGCGGTGACTTCTTCTTCTTGGCCGGTAGACCACGAAGTGTCAAAGTCGGCGGTTCTGTCGCCTTAGGCTTAAGTATGGACCGACCGGGCCTGGAAGGGCCAGGGATGTCTAAGTCCCTTGCTGGGCCACTCCACGCTGGTGGGGTAGGCCTGGTTGGTTGGTTCAGCTCCAAGCTCGGTCCTCTCCAAGGTAGGAGTGACCGTTGTGAAGGAGGCTCTTCTGCTTCTGGAGGAGTCCTCTTCTTCTTTTTAAACCTGGGCGACTGTGGACCGCTTGTTGTGGCAGGAGTGGCTGGTTCTGGCCGTCCTCCTGTCGATTTCCTGGGCGTTGGCCGGACAACAAGGGTTCCGCTAGATGTGTCGCCTTCAGTTGGCTTCGGCGTGGGCTGTGATGACACCGTTGGCGCATCAACAGCCATTGGACTTGTCGGTTCACCAGCCGGTTGGACTGGTGTTGACTCCAATTCGGCTGGCTTTTCCGGCGAAAGCTCGAAAGTTTTATTGAGCAGACTCACGTCCATTTCGACGTCCTGCGGTGGAACTTCTATGCTGCTGTCCGCTGTAGCGGGTCCAGCAGTGTCCACAGGTTGCCTTGACGTTGGACCAGGCACCGTTAGGGCCTGGACCGACTCAGCTGGAATTGGCTGTCCAACTGATGTTGGGGCGGCCGGTTCGTATGTCAGGGCCAAGGTGCTGGCGCGGACACAGGTGATGGTCGCCATTCGTTTACTGGATCGAAGTCACTGGACCTTTCAGTAATCTTCGATAGTGTCGTGAATTACTAGTTTATTGGCGAGCTCGCTATCGCATACTGACTCAGCATATCGAACTGCATCAGCTGACAATACATAAACATAACAGTCGTTGCTACGTGCTACATCTCCCCCAGTGGGTTGCCCACTCATAAAACCATCAACAAAATAAAAAAGAAATATTACATTTCATTTATCAACAGTTTTGGGGCTTTTCCGGCGTTCGTTCTTCCAGTTCTGCGTAATTCCTCCGGTGGCTGTGCAGGCTTCGCAGCTTTCGGTGGTTTCACCTTACCGGATGGTAGAACTGTCGGCTGTACCTTTGGCGGCGCGACTGGTGCCGCCAGCGTCAGTTCCTGTGTGATGGGCGGAAAAGTTGGCTTCACTTCCGGCTGTACCATCACCTCGGGCTGTGGTTTAACCTCCGATTGCGGCTGCGTTGGTGACGTCGGCGTGCGCGCTCTGGCAGGCGAGACCGTCTTCTCCATTACTTTCGTCGGAGGAAATGTTACCGATGTCTCCACGGCCGTTTGACCATTCCCGGTATCTGCTTCCGTGTGTTCCGGCGTCTCCAACCAAAATCGAGGGCGTATTTCGTTTGCATGTCGCCTCCACAGCAGATCGCTCACTTGCACCTCCCAAATCAGCCGGCTTTCGCGCTTAATCAGCTTGCCACTGATCCAGTCCACTGCACGGCTTGGGCGATAGTCTCGCACCAGGACCAAATCACCCAACCGGAAGTCTTTCTTCCTTGTGTGCTGGTCGAAGTTTCGGCGGTGGCGCTCCCTGTTTTCTCTGCCGTGGTCAGCAGCACAGGGACTAGCAGATCCAGCGTTGACCGCATCTTCCGGCCCAAAAACAACTCAGCTGGCGTCTTCCCAGTCGTTGCGTGAGGCGCGTTACGGTAGCGCCAGAGGAACTCTCTCAGCGCAACCGGCAGGCGCTTCTGGTCGGCCATGAGCTTGGAGACGCCGTCCTTCACCGTCTGGACGTAGCGTTCCGCTTGGCCATTCGATTGGGGATGGCCCGGTGGCGTCCGAAAATGCCTAATGCCGTATTGCTGGCAGAATTCGCTGAACTGCTCGGACGTGAACTGTGTGCCGTTGTCTGACACTATCTCAGTACATGGCCCGTAGTGGCTGAACATGTCCAGCAAAGCCTCAATCACTGCGTCCGTGGTTGCATGTCGCATCGAGACCACTTCCGGCCACTTGGACATGCCGTCGACCACGACGAACAACATCGTGCCATGGAACGGTCCGGCGAAGTCAACATGGAGTCGTCTCCATGGTCCGACGGGCACTGGCCACTGTGACAGCGGGACCTTCGCCGTTTCTCCAGCACGTTCAGTGCATATACGGCACGCTTTGGACACCCGCTCCACGTCCCGGTCCATGGACGGCCACCAACAGTACCCGCGGGCTTCACCCTTCATCTTTGCCGCTCCAAGGTGGCTTTCATGCAGGTACGACAGTATCTGCGCTTGCAGCTTCTTCGGAATCACCGTCCGGGTGCCCCAGCACAGACACCCGTTCACTGTCACCAGTTCACTTTCTAGCCGCTTATACGGTCGCAGCCCTTCTCTCACGACGCTCGGCCATCCAGTCTGGACGTAATCCAGAACGATGCTGAGCTCCGCATCGGCGCAAGTCTCCTTTGCCACAGTTTCTACCGACACTGGTAACCGTCCCGCGTTCTCCGTGTGCACAGCATTGACTATGCTGTCCATTCCCAGGTTACCCAACTCGGTCAGCTCCGTGGAATGCAGTGGTAATCTGCTTAACCCGTCCGCCTGGCCGAACTCTTCTGTTCGCCTATACTCGATGGCAAAACTGTACGCCATCAGCATCAACGCCCAGCGCTGAAGGCGGTTCGCGGTCACCACCGGTATCCCTTTTCGGCCTCCAAACACGCTCAGCAGCGGCTTGTGGTCCGTCAGCAGGGTGAATTCCCTCCCAGCAATATACTGGTGGAATTTCTTGCACCCGAAGACCAGGGCGAGAGCTTCCTTCTCAATCTGCCCATATCTGGTCTCGGCGGCGTTAAGGCTCCGGGATGCGTGCGCAATCGGTCTTTCCGTACCGTCGGGGAACCGATGACACAGCACCGCTCCAATGCCGTACTGCGATGCGTCGGCTGCTACAATCAGCGGCATCGCCGGGTCGTAATGCACCAAGAACGTGGCTCGGGCAATCTCCTGCTTCAACTCCGCAAACTGCTCTTCGCATTGTTTTGACCACGCCCAGGTCACGTCAGCTTTCAGGAGGTTGTGGAAAACATGGCACTTCGCTGACAGATTCTTTACGAATTTGGCATAATGGTTGACCATGCCGAGGAATGCGCGCAGTTCACTTACGTTCTTCAGCGGACCCATATCCAGCAACGCCTTCACACGATTTCTCGAGATGTGGCGGCCACGACTGTCCACGATGAAGCCCAAATACTCCACAGACAGCTGCATGAAATGACACTTGCTGCGCTTCAGCGTCAGTCCGTGTTCTGTCAACCGCGCCATGGCCTTTTTCGTGGTTTCGCAGGTGCCTTCATCCGTGGCGCCGGTGACGATGATATCGTCCAGGTATATGGCCACGCCTTCGCAGCCATGGAGAATCTGCTCCATGATTTGCTGGAATATGCTGGGCCCACTGGCGACGCCGAACGGCAGTCGGTTATACCGAAACATGCTATGCTGTAATATTAGTCACGTTGCGCAAACGCACTTCTGGTGGCAATTGCTGGTTGCTCGTAGCTTTTAACGCCTTTTATCCTGTCTGTGCTCTATCTACGATAAACAGAGGACAGGCAGGATTAGGGGCAATAAAAGCTACGAGCTACAAGCAACTGCCACCAGAAGTGCGTTTGCGCAACGTGACTATTAGCCTGTATACTCGTAGCAAAGATTCAACGACGATCTACAATCTACAATACAATATGGAATCGTAGAAAGATAGATACAGAGTATTACAAGAAAAGTAAGATATTATTGTCAAGGAAAAGATCTATATTACAACGGAAACCCCCGTACGATCTGATCAGAACAAACCAACAAATTAATCGAAAAACTGTGCGAAGTGCCACATGCCTGTTGATAAATATGGCCACCACGGCCTATCGTGCCCTTTCTCCGCCGGAAGACACCCACGCCATGGTGGTCTAAACAACATCGTTTGCAGAGCACTGGTGTCCGCCGGTATTCCTGCCAAGATGGAGCCTCGCGGAACATCCCACACGTCAGAACGTCGCCCTGATGGATGCACCACGTTCGCTTGGAAACGCGGCTTGTGTTTAGCATGGGATGTGACCTGTGTGGACACGGTAGCCAAATCCCACCTAAAATCCACGTCGGTGACCGCGGGATCTGCTGCCGAACAAGCGGAAAGTAGGAAACGCCAACTGTATTCGTATCTCGAAGGGCGGTACGACTTTGCGGCATTAGCCTTTGAAACGCATGGTCCATGGGGGAAATCGTCAATCAGTAAAGTAAAAGAAATTGGTAAACGGCTCGCAGATCATACCGGCGAACCCCGATCTCACGAGTTTTTTTGTCAACGCCTATCTCTGGAGATCCAACGGGGCAACGCCGCTTCCGTACTCGGAACCATGGAAGGGCTAGCTGCGCTAAATGAATTGTTTTTGGTGTGATAACGACCGTTTTTGACTCTCGAATGTACTCATGCTTTGTGAAATAAAAATTTATCGCGATGGAGATGTGGTACAACACGTTTATTAAATAACTCCGACAGATCGAAAAACACCTAACGCCATTCGATTCTGCATGTCTCGAAACTGTGTCACATGCATTTTGTTTTGGTACTTAATTATCCGCTCCGGCTCTCGTGCACAGACGCCGGTGCCGTGTGGCGAGGAACGGCAGGAGAAAATATGATACTCGGCAAATAACTTTATTACTGTACCAAAACTGAAATGCTAATACTAAACGGAAATATCGTACATAACAGTCTTATGATCATGATCTTATGATCTTATATACTCGCGAATACGGGGCGGGACAGATATGCTGGAGCAAACATAGAGGCGTATCATACAAGTACCAGAGAGTGACGATTCCCTTCACAAGTACGTGAAAATTTTTGCGCTATTGTTACAAGTTTTATAGATGTGTTATTAATTCTTCATTACTTATTAATTTTTGTGATTTTGACTGCGTTGCGCCAGCCATGGCCCATGGGGCATGGACCGATCCAGCTGTCAAGCAACAACGTAACCTGAAGCACGCGTGCGGTGACATATGGCACCGCTGCAAACTATGTATAACGGAGTAAGTACTTAATACCATTAATACTACTACTCATAGTTACTGTGCTGTTCTGCCTTTAAATATAATTTTGCGTTAACAAGCCGTCACAAGCTTTACATGTAATATATCTCATACTTAATATCTGTATACCGAATAATTCATAATATTATGTTAGGTAGGAAGTAGAATGAATGCTGCTTTGTTCCTTTGTTTAATTATAAGGGGCAAATTGGTTGCCAGTTGCCAACGACGTGGTAAAATTATCGTAGATTTGCGATGGAGTTGCTATCATAATTTGCTGTTCAAACAGCTATAATAAGCAGTACAGTATACACTCTCTTATAAAAGGTGTGTTGCTTTGGTGTATGTGGATCAGCATGGAAGTTGGCAGAAATCTGTCTCCGTTTCGACGGCTGTTGCGTTGCGCTGATGGATTCAGCTATCAGAATACGGTTGCTCTGTGGAACCAGGCCGGTGCTTGGTGGCTGGGATATTTACAGGTTAGGCCATAAGTAAGCATTTACACAAGCGCAAATGTGTCCGCAGTCGTAGAACCTGCAAGTCTGAATAACTACTTGGTGCAGAAGAACTTATTAACATTTATATCGGCAAACATACTTGCTTGGAGAAGTCCTAGCGGTTACTCGTACGTATACATATCGTAATAGTTTTCATGAAACAATAAATTGTTAGATCTTCTAGGCGACAGTGTTTGGTGTAAGGTAGTCTATATATTTTATCCAATGTTAACACGAAACTACTACCTGGAACAACTTTTGTGCGTGGCGCGAAGGCCACGAACGTAACTGCGAAAACTGCTGGAAATTTCAAGAAGTGTGCTGCTTCAGATTGTAGACTTATAGTAAATTACTTATCGTTAATTCAAACGAAGATGCAGGTACCAAATTCAAAGATAATTAATTAACATAAATTCCATAATTGATAGAAGTTTGTGTTCAAAGCCGACGCATATTTTACATATAAATATTTTCCTGTGAAATTCGAAGAAAATTCTGTGGAACAGTGTAAACTGTTACATGCAGCAACTTTACATTCATAAAGTTGCTGTTGCTGTCTGTTAGTACATGTCAAGCCCAATAAACCCGTAATTATGTATGTAGACCGAAAGCTGTTTTTTAAAAAGCAACGATTTTACCATACACTTATCCGGTAAGTATTGTACCTAGTGATCGCGAAGCCTTCAGGTAATAACCACTTTTGGTACAGCATTTAAATTTTCACCCATTTTAGTACGCCATCTCTCGGCAACCGGATGCTGCGCGCGCAAATTGTTTTTTGTACCATGCATACAAATCATTTAGCTTTAGAATGACATAAAGTGATATTACAAAAAGTGATTCTGAGTGCGCGAAAGCGAAAGTTTGAGTGTATGTATCCCATTTCTGCCGAGCCATTTCCTTATCTTCTTGAAACTGCTGCAAAAGACACATGACCATAAAGTCGAAAGTGAACCAATATCGGATTTACAGCATTTTTTTCCGATTTTAAAATGAATTTTAAGAAATTTTTAAAAAATCATTTAAAATTCATTATGGGAAAGTGCTATGAACCTGAAATTGGTTCATTTTCGACTTTATGGCCATGTGTCTTTTGCAGCAAAGTTTCAAGAAGATCGGGTAATTACCAGACTTTTGGTACACGACAATGCATTTAACTTTTCACCCATTTTAGAACGCCATATCTCGGCAACCGGATGTTGCGCGCGCAAACGGTTTTCAGAACAATGTATACAAATCATTTAGCTTTTGAATTACTTAAAGTATTATCAAAAAGTGATTTGGAGTGCGCGAAAGCTTGAGTTTTAGTGTATGTATCCCATTTTTGACGCTATGTACCGGGCCATTGTCCTCAAGATAGCAAAGCCATGTGTCAAGTACAAACTGTGCAATCAATGATGCAGCAACAAAAATGAGTCAGTTACTGTAGTTATTAATTAGATGGTCAGTGGCCCATTCTGGAATTTATTGTCCGAAAAATAAAGGCAGTCTCCGAAATAACGGCACCTCCCGAAATAAGCGCACCTGCTGCATGATATTCGAATATTAGCCGCCCAGTGCGCCGGTGTGCGTACGAGTTTACTTACTGTAATTTTGCGTCGATTTCGCGAAATCGACAACTAATCACCAGGAATTCCTGGATCCTGCAGTATCTTACAGTATACGCTAATTTACACTTTTACAGCGCACGCTTTTACCATGATGTATTAAAATAATAAAATCGACCTAAAGAATGCCCCTGCCACAGAGATGTAACATAATATGCACTCGCCAGGTAATAAGCTTTTGTGGTGCGCAAGAATGAACTGTATAATTAAATGTGCGACTGGTGCAGCATAATGGGCAACGTAAATTTCGCATGCAAGACTACGGCAAAAGCTACCCGATACAGGAGTATGCTAAACGTAATAAACCTAAAACCTTGAATATTGTGTGCAAATAATAAGCTTGTTCTCATAAGTCATAACCTAAAAATTTAATGCAACAGAGCCTCTAGAGTAGAGTATGTTGTACATGGTTAGTACACTGGTTACGTACTGCCAGTAGTCAGTACCTCGCGATTATGAATGTTGTAATCGCTATTTAAGCCAATCTAGCTTCATTCGCGCTCGACTTGCAGCTTTATGTGTAGTAGAGTATGTCATGCAGTATCATCGTGTTTAATATATTTCGCAGGATATTACGGCCGACGGGAATTCTGCGTACGTGGAATTCGACTCCACGAAGACCAGTGCGCGCTGGATTCCGACGTGCTTCATTTGGCATTTGCCGTTTGTCTTTGACAACCGGTTGCTGGTAGGGTGGAAGAATATGCCGGTGTGGGTTGCGTTACGCGATGAAGTGGACGGGCCGCTGCGGTTTCGCCCGGCAACTCTGCTGGGCTACGCTGGTCGTAAGGAAACGGGAATTCCTACTTAGATAATTTTGTAGTAAAGACCCTTAGCATTTTGATTAAGCAAATCAGGCACTTTTAAGTTTTATGGGCGATGATTATTATCTATTATCGTACCAGTGACCACTGACACTCGCGCTTCCGGTCTACTGAAAGGCCGGCACCGTGTGCTAATCGCAGACGGGCCACGAATCGACGTCCCGTTAATTGTAAGTTGTTTTCAGTGTGCCGCGTGTATTGCGTAAGGACGGAGATTCGTGGCGTGAACGGCCGCTGCCCAGTTGCAAGCGTTGAAGTGGTGGACCGCTGTCAGATTGTCGCAAAGCTCCCGTCCGGCGAAATGCCTAATGTGCCTATCCAGGATGGAAGAAACGTGTTGACCTACACAAAGTACATTATCAATTTTCCCGGAGCAGAGTCCGTTCTTCAAGAGGCGCCCGATGTGTACCGCATCATCACTCATTTTCATAAAGGCTATTACGAGCTTCATCAGGATGTTGACCGATTGTCGGACGGCTGTCGATTTCACCTTAAATTGGGCTCGAAGGCGTGTACCTTTGTGGTCATCGCTCAGACCAAGGACATACCCCTTCGGCAGCAAATAGCAGAGTCTCTGCAGCGCGTACTGCAACGACACTTGAGCGGTCGGGCTGATTTACCGCCTTTGAGTTACCGGAACAGCATCGCCGCTGAATTAGCGTGGGGAACTGGAGATGCTGCAGGTGCGCCGTGTGACGCTAATGTTGTACGGTACTTGTAGCACCAGCCTAGAACATGTGTTATATTATACACAATTACATATTTACTGTATTGTCAGCGAGTAGTGTATGTACAATACGTATACAGTATCTTCAACACTGTCGGCAGAAATTCACATTAACGTGGCGGAGTGTTCGCTAATGTTATCGCTTTAATTCAGCTTCTAAAAATAGCCCTAAAAAAGCTTAATTCGTAACCGACGATTATTATTTTACAGAAACCAGCAACTCTTGTCCAGAAGCCTGTATTTGGCATCTTCCGCATTTGATTCTAAGCGAAATATTCGCTTACATGGACCTGCAATACGTACTGCAGCTTAAGCGGTCAGTCTCATTTGCGAACTCTTACCTACCTGTTGACCGGCGGTGTTGTATGACTTGCGAAAGTTACAGAAATGTTCTAACTTTTGCGCAGTCCAGCATTCGGAAGTACTTTTTACTGGAATATGTTCGCTTAGTGTTGTGGCTGCAGAAGCCTGAAAGGAGCGAGAGGTACTTACACATTGCACAGAGGACGGAGGTAGACAGGAAATGCGCGTTTGTGGCCGACCCGAAAACCACCTTCTGCTGGCGACACACGCGCAGTCCCATCCTCTTCGCTCTTGGAATCGACGCTCATGCAGATACCCAGCTGCGTGAGCGCGGGCCGGTGGCTCAACAGAAAAGCAGAATTTCAGTCTCTAGTTAGCGCCCTTAGATACGGAACTCCTGATTTGTTCGCACTTCACAGTGTAATGGCAGTTATGGAACATAGAACCTCTTTACAGTTCGCCAAATTCAAAACTTTGCGAATATCCGTGCTCTGTGTACCACTCTCCATTTATTCTAATGTGAAATTGATTTCTCCATATGTACAAGGCGAGCTTCGCTCAACTAATATATGATCAAATGAAGAATTTGTTCCAATTAACATGGGAAGGGACTGTGCACAAAACACTCACAGCATTACCACGCATAATCTCCAAACTTAAACGTTGAAACAAAAAACAGGTAGAGCGGCTCTCGCCCGTCCTTATATCCATTGTGCTATGAACACTTACCGTATATTCGATTGTGTAGCAGGTCAGTTGTTTGCTTAGGGTTTGCTCCTTGTGGCATGCAGTAATAACCGATCCACGGACCCGCAACGAACACATCGTAATCAGTGTCCACGACTGCATTTTCACGGAATGCGTCGACAGCAACAACTGCTACAGAGTGGCCTTCTTGCTGCATCATACCGTCCGCTCAACAACCAAGAGCCTCACCATCGTTGGCCCTGGAACTCCCGACCACACATTCTTTCTACAGCCTTGGCTAGACGCGGCGGATATTCGACTACCCATGGTGGTTATAAAAGACGCCAACTTTCAGTGGACTAACCGGAGATACGATGAATGTTCCGCCCTGAAGCACAGCATCATGCACCGTATACGCCCCTTTAAAGACCACTGCCACACGCTGCTCCTGCACAACTTCACCGTATCCACGCTCTTTTGCCGGAACTTGAATGATCTGCTGCATATGGATTACGAGGATTTAGTGCCGCTACCGGACTGTGAACGGCGATGGATGGTACCGAGATCGGATGTCCTGCGAAGGGCGCACGGAAACCTGCTGTCCATGGATACTGCGCAGATCACACTGCACCGGCTCATTCTGCCCTGCCGCAACGGCTGGGATGAGGTCATGAGCCGGCTCATGTGCGCCATCGACGCCCAGTTCCCTAGGTCGGCGGTGAGTGCCGATGTTTACGCGAAAGTGCAGACGGTCCACGCGCGGTGGGTGGAGAACCTCAGCTACCCGGACCAATGGCAGCGCATTCGCCAGCTGCTGAACGTGTAAGTGCATATAGTATGTCTACAGTACAAGTATGCTGAGTATGCTGTATATTATTATTATTATTACATCAGGAGCAGACAACCCGCTAAACGGGGCTTAAACGGCTGGTCGGCAAAAAGCTAAACAAATGAGAATTGCTAAGACAGATCAACAGTCCGGAGAGCAAATTTGAAAAATCCCACACCATCAACACTGAGTACCTGCATGTTAACTTTTTGTATGCGGTCAGTGATATTCTTTAGCCGCATAGCCAGCGTCCCTTCTCCGATCTTTTTCTTCGCACGGGCAGCAATTCTCGTCGGGTTCTGCAGGTTGAACCGCGCTCCGAACTCCGTGAAATCGATCATTTCGACCATATACCTCGGCGGACGGTATGCTTCGTGGTTACAGATCTTATTCAGCCAGACCGCTTCAGACTGGTTCCAACGGTCGTACACCGGCAGGATGCGTAGTTTCTGATACAGCTCGGGTGTAACCCGCTCCTTGTAATCAGAAATCGCCCGCAGTGCTTTCCGCTGTGCCCTGTCCAACTTGCCGCGTAAAGCCGAAGATGCCGGCGACCAAGTATCTGACCCGTAGTCAAGATGCGGTTGCACACAGGCATTGTAAAGGCTCCTACGCTGAGGCAGATCATTCGCGCGGTTGATCATTGCGATGCCGTAGTTGACTTTCCGCAGTACGTGGTCATAATGCGCGCTCCACTTTAGGTTGCGGTCAATGTGAACTCCCAGATACTTTACTGACTGTCCCGCTTCCATTAGGCGACCATTAATCATTACAGCAGGCGAGTGCTGGCTGTTCTTGGCTTCCGAGCAGATGTACATTAACTTGCACTTCTTCTCGTTGGTGCACAAGGTGTTGTCTGCCAGCCATGCCGTTACATTGTTAACTTGAACGGTCAGTTTCGCTGCTGCTTCTGTTTTGGTGGCACCGCATCCAAACAGCACGGTGTCGTCGACAAAACATTCTGCGTCGCTTCCGTTCGTCATGTCGTTTGTCTAGACCGTGAACAGTACGGGCGCCATCATTGTTCCTTGTGGCACCCCCGACCGCACTAGTAGCCAGTCAGAAACACGCGCGGTCGTTTTCACTCTCTGCTTGCGACTGGTTAAGTAGCCATGAAACCACTTCAGTACGTTTCCTTCGATACCAACCATTCGTAGTTTTTCAATTAGTCTGGCATGGGAAACTGAGTCAAACGCTTTTTTCAGGTCGAGAAAACATACAGCAGTGACTTGCCCCTTATCCATCGCCTTTCGCAACCTCTCTGAAACTTTAAGGAGCAGTGTTTCGCAGGAGTGGCCTTCCCTAAATCCAGACTGCTTGTCGGAGAGGATGTTATTTCTGTTCAGGGCGGCCACCAGCTGATTCTGCACCAATTTCTCAAATGCTTTGGAGAGATTACAAACAAGAGAAACAGGGCGATAGTCATCCGGCTGTTGGACATTGGCTTGTTTCGGTATTGCGACAACATCTGCATTTTTGAATATGGCCGGATATACTCCGGACTTCAACGAGGCAATGATCATGCATATTAGCGGTTTCGTCAAGTGCATGCTGATATAATAATATATGTACTGTATCATGCCGTAAACAATCCAATAAAAAGAATCTGTGTACTGTATGTATTATTGTTACCGGTATTCAGTATGACCAATTCCACATAGCATTGGCGGTGAAAACTGCTAGTGACAGTTGCTGTTCTGTCCATTGCAGATTCAGTGGATTCCAGTCCGACGGGACGCTGCTCCACTGGGACGCGCTGGACTTACGCAAACTGGAGGTGCGCGCACTGAGCCCGATGGTCCTGTTGGCCATCAGCGAGGTGTTTCTTGTGTGACGCCGAAGAGTACCTGTTATGTTGTTTTCTACTGCTCTAAATAGAAACCTCGATATAATTAATACTGTTAGGAACAACGGTAAGGGATTGCCTGGATCGGCACTGCAACCGCATTGCAACCCCGGTCGGGCGTGCGCTCCAGTACTTTTGGCAGCGGCGGTTGAACTGGGGAATGCGGTATAAATACCAGTATGGCGACACTGTAGCTTTATAGCTTAGAGCCTTTGTTTCACATGAACACTAGAAATGAATGTGCGAATTCGTCATCACATGCAGTTGCACAGAAAATTAAGTATTTACTGTAAAAAAGAAAACTTTCAAACACGCAGCGCAAATAAATAAGGCAATGGCAACAAGCAGCTGCCTACTGCAGTCAGTATACTGCTATGTACCGCACTCCCGGGGTGGGTATACCGTATACGTATACCGGTATACGTACCGGCGTTCCCCTCTTCCTTATACTGTCACACAAGGATTTAATGATTGATTTATAATATTGTGAGACCCAGGTAGTTATGCTGTAGATAGCAGTTGCGTGCATATGGTACACTGACTGCAGGTTCACTGTCGATAGAAAAAAGAGACACATGCACAGATTGAAACTAACTGGATGATAGTGGCGGGATAGGAAAGTCTCCACTAGGATAAAGAGCGGCTGCTTAAATAAATCGGGCCGGCAAGCGCAGGAGGAAACTAGCTGGGCACGTCATAGTCAAGCGCGGCGTGATAGCTGGCGTTGCCTGCGTCCTTCCAGAGGAAAACGAGTCCCAGTCCTCTGATGGTGGCCAGGAGGAAGGCGCCGGGACACAGCTCCACCACGATGTGCCGCGAGGTATCAGCATCGCCGCCGTTTCCCTAAATATTGTCGAGGGCATCCTGGAGCATGTGGACATGATTGACCCGCGCCGATTGAGAAGGGGCAGAACGCCGGCAGTGCCGGCAATTTATCTCGCTGCTGTGCGTTATTCCGCTGGCTGTCTAGCTCAAATTAATCCAGCGGGGAACGCACTCTTGACCACCCGAACGGCCGGTCCGCTGTAACGCACGGAGCCGCAGCTGGTCGTGTGCCGCTGGCTGATTCTCCGCGATTACGTCCTGCAGGATGCCTTCCGCCCGTTCGGTCACGGAGGAAGCCCTCCGCGAGGCGCACGTCTACACGTTTCGGGGTGTGGCGCGCCGCCCGCTGAACAAGTCGCAATTTGAGCAACAGCAGAGCAGAATCGAAGGGGACCGGGTCGTTTTGTGCCGCGCAACAAAACCGTCGCAGAGGTCTCCCCTTCGCCGTGTACCGGCACGCAATACGAAAAAACGCAGTGCGCCGGAAGGACAAAGAATAACTTGCGAAAAAGCAATCTTCCTTACTTGCTATTGAGAAACAGGAACTCGTGCCCGGCCTTATCTGTGAAGGCTTTTCCCGCGTGAAAATACGAAGTGATTTAATGATATAGAGTTAGTCGTTCCGTTGAACATAATGCAATTCATTAAGCAAAAAAACTACCACTCAAAAGAAGGCTTTAACTAAATATCTGAGGCAGGCGCTCCATTTCCAGTAAATACAGTAAAGTATATCAAAAATAATTTATCGAGGTACGTAATTACCCACTGGCCACTATGACAAGTGAATGGGCAACATACACTTAAGTGGGCCACCTTCAGTTATTTCTTTTCCAAACCGTTTTTTGTCTTGCCAGATTCATGAGATCATGCTCTTTTTAGTGTAGTGTACTTGAAAGTTTTAAAAAATATTGAACCGTTTTTAGTTATTTGAGTTGTACAGAAACAGTGACGAAACAAATTAAGCCACGCCACCGAAGCCAACAGCGGTGCACTTTCCTACCCTAGAGTAGTAATGAGTCACATATATACGATCGCCTCACTGATACAACAAAAACTAATTGACGATAATTAAAAGAAAATTAATCAAACGTGTTCCTTGTAGTCGCTGTGGTCAGTGTGGTGACGATGGTTACACTGCAGTACCGACTCCCGCAATCCTCCCGGGCATCTGGCGCTGCACAACGAGATTGACTAGCCGGATGTGGAGTGGTCGGTGCCGGCGATATTGCAGCACAGGCAGTGACAATCGCCGCTCTGGACAGCCTATTCGGGCCAGCCACGGGAAGACTGCTTACAGATTTTTCTTGTCGCTCGTATCTGTATCGTAGGTTCGCAGTACACCCCATTTAGCGATTAACATTTCGTGCCTGTAATTTGTAAACAGCAAGCAGAAGCAACATTTTCGTCGGCATTTTACTGGAAAAATCTCCTCTACGCTTCATCTCGTAATATCTCACAAAGGCAGACATGAAAAACAGCTAAAATCATGATGAGAAAACGGCGTAATAGGGAAACGATGAATGTGTCGTATCGCAGACTGAAGTTAATTGAAATAACGGCTAATATCAGCAATTCAATACACGTTATAAGGCCAACACATCACGGCACCACAGCACTGATCAAACGCGACACCACAATACAGCCGTACTAACGAAGTATTTTCCCTATCGACCGAGCAGTGTGCAACGCTAGCGTAACGCAGTCGCTAGCGTAATATCGGGTGAATTCCTAAACGTTTCCCATAAGGGACACAACGCTGAATTTCACTTCAACGCAGCTTGACGTTATCCGTTAACCGTTCAGAACACATTCCACCGTAGCCTCGTGCGGTTGCCATGCAGACAGGGGGTCTTAATCTGACACGCATTGCTTTACAAGTGATCTGTTCTCTCTCCTTGTTACCAGTCTGCTTCCTTCTGCGGTCGTTATTCTTTAGTGCACCTGGCCGTTATAGCTGCAATCTGAAATCATCATAATATGTATCGTGAAGGATTTCAGGCTTTTACCCAAATTTTTTGGTTTCTCGAACCAGCTTCCATTTTTTGTTGCTCTAGACCTGTTTCTGCGCAGGTTGTTAGCCATTTTAAAGTAGCACCCTTTTAAGTTTGTTTGTTTCCATTCAAAGAGCTCATAAAATGCTCGGTTTTCAAACTCATGTTTGCTAAACAGCAGATTTGTTTACTCGCTAAGGAGAAAGACAACAAAGTTCCCCTCCCGCCCAAGCGAGCAGGACGCGCGATTTTGGTGCTCATGGTAAGCAGGAAGGACGTGCGATTTTTATTTTTACGAGAACGTGCATAGTCATGTGGCACCGTGGCCCGGGTAAATGGTGACTGTGATAGTTATCAAATAGTTAAGAAATACCTGTAACAGGAAATCTAAATACATGGAAGATTTTTTTAGACAGTGACTCCATCCAGATACAACGAGGGAATGCGATATGTGTAATGGGTACAAGTTCCGATCAGGATAGCATTGACTAAGTGTTTCTGTTATAAATTTTCCTAGTACTAACGGGTAAGTTTGTACTGGTTCCGTGATACTTATTAAAGGTTTGCTACCACATGAGAGAGCCGTTGCTCACAATAATATCTATATGATTATCGATTTATACAGTACGAGACGAGTACACGATGTACCGTAAATTCGCAACGCCAAATTTATGTGCTATGCAGCCAGTGGCAGCCGCGCAAATTTTCGTTTTCGCGCACTCCCAAACTCTTTTTGGCTTTGCTTTGACATTATGCAGCCAAGTAGCTAGAGGCTAGAGGCGGACTGGATCCTCTCGGTTTGGTGGGGGGGGGGCAGAACTAGAAGTACTTTTGGCAGTAGTTTTGGGGTTGGGGTGCCGGGTTGGCCAGGCCCATACGATAGTGTCATCATTTTTTCTAAAGTTTTAAAATGAATTATAAACTGTTCGAATTTGCTTTAATAACTTTTTTAAACATAGTTCGATGTAAGAACGATCTTCTTTATTTAATACCTGCATAATCATATACAAGCCCAGCACGGATGAATATTGGCCGATGACAATTAAAAACTAAGTAGTTCCAGGATATGTTGCTTTGCGGTCGCTTACAGACTGTCATAAATATTATTAAACCCGTACGTATGCTTAGTAATATTATGATACACTTTACTTAAGTTAATCGAAACACGGACTGTCTACTTGTACATACAGTACATAACTTGCAATGATCACTAACGTGATGACTAACGTGTTAAGTTAAATGTATTTTTACTTTGTATTGTACTCGCACTTATGTATTGCCAAGTAGCAGCTCAGGTATTTCTGCTGTTTTCGGTCAAGTTGTGTTAGAACAGTGTGCATTTCTTATCGCGTCCATGGTAACAAGCTTACGATTGACCACTGGACCTAGACAAATGATTTTGGCAAAAGTCAACGATCTTGCAGGATCCACCGCTACACTTATACGTGGTTACGGATGTAGATAACCAGTTTACGTAGGACTACATCCGTAACTAATTCGGCGGCGTGAGGTTTGCTAATCGGTTTCGTATTTCGGCGATGCATTTTCGTTTCTGTCCGTGCCGAGGCCGGTAGTGTGCTTTACGTCACTGAGATTAAGTACTTAAAATTGTTCACAACAATTTGCCATAACTACTGTACTAAAGATTACTGTGTTTGGAGCGAGGTCCGAAGCCGAGACGTGCAGGCCCATGGCAACAATTTGTTTTTTGAGGCTCCGGTTTCCCCCTTGAGGCGCACCAGGTTGGCAATAGTGCAAGATTACTCGCGTGGTTGCGACGATTCAGGCGCACCGCGTCAAAATCGGCCTTTCCGTTCGGTGAATCATAGGAACATTAGCCTATGCCGTCACGGTTGTTACGGATGTAGTTAATAACTACCCTAGGCAGTACGATTACATACAAAATTGATTTGAAAAATGTCGGCATGCAAAATTACATTCATATACGTGTAACTGTACACGCAAAACATATTTCGGAAGCATATTGACATGCAAAATTTGAAACTTTTGGAAAAAACATGTCCACGTGTTAAGCTGATTAACATTTTAATTCAGCACGTACTTAACGGTAGTAGCTCATTAGTCATTACATGGCACCAAATTTGTATACGTCCACAAGAGTCTCCATTTCGCGCATTACCAAACGTATTTTCGCATTGCTTTATGACTTTCTTTAGACAAATGATTTGTTCACATAGTCCGTAATCCGTTTGGGCGCGCGACCCGGTCCGCAGTCCCTTTTCTAGATAGAATGACCTCATTAGTTGTTGCATAAAATTACAGAATTTGTTGTCAAATAAATTACAGAAAAAGCAGTATCTGTATATGAAAAGCGAACTGATATGCACTTTTATAAGTTTTCACTTGGTTGACTAACAAACGTTTTACAAAGCATGGTTGAAGCAAGTTAGCACATACTCACCACATAATAATTCAACTTGCTGTAGATCAGCATGGAAAGCCCGGCAAGCCTGCCTCCATTTCGACGCCTCTTGCGTGGAGCTAACAGTTTCAGCCATCAGAATACGGTTGCAGTGCGCAGCCTGGACGGGATTTGGTTGTTAGGTTATTTACAGGTAAATTCTGTTCTGTTACTTCTGTATACCAAGAAAGAAATCGCCACTTTAAAAATTATAAAAAAGTGCGTTCGAGCATGGCTGTGCGTGTTCGGCTTTTACGTTTTGTCCTTGTGGCGTTGTGGCTTATGAGACAGATTTCAGCCCTGTGTTGTTCAAAGGCCATCAAACGCCCAAAGATATTCGTAACAAAACAAGCTGGAATCCAGCTTCGCCCTGCTAAAGCATAAAGCGGCTTTTTGGTTACACTAACAAGCTACATATTTCCTCCGCGATATTCTTGGGAACACAAGAAATATACCATTGGACAGAGAAAAATCACTCTGTAGTACGATTTTTTCTTCGCGGCTGTCGTTGTAGTTATCGTTTAAAAATATTGTATATGATGTTGGTATTGCAAAAGGCTCCATGACATGTAGGGGCGCAAATCACAGGTGCCGCCCATGGACTCGTCGCAGATACCGATCTTCGCTCAAATTTGAGCGGTACCCTGCCTGCGCTGCGATTGCGGGAAAAAAATTATGCCGTGATATGATGTTCAATGCTCGGAAGATGCTGCTGAAAATGCACCAGCTCACACTGAATCCGGATATGTTCTCCCAAACTGATAAGCGCGCAATGCAGTATATCAGCGCGCGATCCGCCAAGAACACTAGATTGTTATTATTATCGAACAACAGTAGCCAAACTCCATTTGGGGAACTTTTAAAGCTGTTAGAAAATCTTTTTGGTATTTTGAAAATTTTGAAAAACTCTAGGTGGGTACCCATTTAGAGTTCTTGGATGAGCGTTGGAGAAGATCGGTATCTCAGTTGGGCGATGGGCAACGTCTTTGATTTGCGCGTCTACACGCACGTCACGAAACCTTTTGCCATACCAAGTCTCTATCGTTTTATTTAGCGCGTACCACCGCTGGCTTTTTGTTTTGTAAAGTGGCCATTGCCGAATAAAGATTTTATACCAACTTAACCAAACGATAACTAACAATTAACTACTAACAATTAACTATAACAATAGCCCCGAAGAAAAAAATTATACTAGATGAAGCAGATATCTAGTATGATTTTCTGTATACAACGGTGTATTTTTTTGTGTTCACAGTTCACACGAATATGGCGGATGAAATATTTACCTTGTAAGAAAGCATTTCCATCAAAAAGTAAACTTTGAGCCAAAACCTGATCTCTATTATTGAGAAGAGTTTATTAAGAAACTCTGCACCCTGAATATTTCCGAAGTTCGCTTCCATTTCGTGCTACGAGTTTTGGCTACGCAGAGTTTTCGAGAGGAACGAAATTAAAATAAAATGTAGATCGGCTAAATAATTTGTGCTGTAGCTCATAATATTTGTTATGGCATACTGTCACAGCAAGTTAGCAACCTCTAAATGCTGCAAAAGGCACCTTTGTACAGGAAATTACTATATAGTATATTGCGATTTGCGCTGACCGGCGTTTTTGTATTAATTAGCCGACACTATGGTATGAGTAAATAAAATAATAGACGTAACTGAGTTCAGCGAAGCCGGTATGTAAGAAAGCCGGCGTATATCGTCCCCATCCACGAGATTGATTTCCGACAAAGAAAACTGCCAATACCGCTCGCTTGAAATTACAACTGATTTTCTGTCTTCCTGTCCCGACAACAAGAGGTGGCCATCGAATACGTCTTTGTGTGCACCCAGTCTCCCGGGAGTATTTAATTTATGGTCATGTCTACGCGCGAGAATACTCCCGCTCTCTGAGTTTTGGCTACGCAGGAGAGTATCTCGCGCTATGAGTACTGACTATGCGCGAGAGTTTTTCGGGCACAATAAAGTTACGAACAAAAATTTTAAGCGACAAAAACCGCGCGCGAATATGTCGCGGAATATTTTCGACCACTAGTTTTGGCAAAAACTGGAATTTGTACGGTTCTTTCAATTCATTTTGTAGAACACACGTCCACATATGTCAAATGTATTGTTTCTTGAGATGGTGAAGTTAAAAAAACAGAACCGAAAGTTATTGTACGCGTTTAGAAAGTTACAGAACCGCGTTTAGTATGTGAGCAATATTCACAGCGCAACTGATCACAATTCACAAGTAACGTACTGGGCGTCGGTCAGGGAAATACTCGCAATACCTCGTAACTCCTCCCGCTCTTGGAACTGGCGACTACCCAGCTTCCTCGTTCCGCTCCGGGGTTTACGTCGTATGTTTCCTGCAAGTTCAAGGTGCACTGTCCCCTGATGACTCGAGCGGCAAAGTCAATGACCTTTGACTCGATCGCCGATCCGATTTCTGGGATTGGGAATTTGTGTAGTATCATCGTCTTTGCCACTTTAATGTAGTCCTGATATTTTGCAAGGTTGGCTTGGTGATTGATGACGGACATGACAATCTCGATGCACTCTGTTAGATGGAAGCGTTTGGCAATCGATCGTCCTGACCCGCGCAGCGCTGTTTGCGCAGTAAGAAAAAATCTTTCTATTGATTTGTGGTGTTGTTCTTTTCCGTTTCGAACAGCCGTCTTCTTTCTGGACATGGTGGGCGATCTTCTCCGTGGCCCCGTGGTTATGGTCTTCCAAAGCCGGCAGGTGAATGTCCTCCATGGTGCCATCCACAAGCTTTAAGCGGACCACTGCTTGGCAGTTACTTCTTAGAGTGGTCGAAATGCTTTTCTTTATGGGAAATATTGGGAATTAAATTCCGCCGGTGTGGGCGGTATGCGCCAGCTTTCTTGCAGGCCAGCTTCACTGAGCTGTAGAGAAACGTTTCATGACTCGCGAAGCGAATGAATCTTTGACGTTTTGGCATCGCCGCCAGGATTTATAAAGACCTGATGTGTTCGCTGGCTCCATTGCTCCACCGCTCTCAAAACCTTCGCCTACGATTCATATCTATTTCCCCCTTTAAGTTCTGACGCCATAACGGCTGAGAGTGTAAAAACTCGAACTATAAGAATGTAAAACGCCGGTACGGTCAGATTTTGTATTTCTTTCACTAAAAGGTGGCCTTCCCGTAATTATTAGTTGCCGTGTCGTAATAAATACACAGATTCAAACTTTTTGTTAGTATTTTTTTGCGCGGGAAAAACTCTCGCGCGTAGTCAATACTCATAGCGCGGAGGCTCTCGCGCGAAGCCATTTCGTAATTTAAATGCCTAATATTTAAAGGGGGGATCCATAAATTACGTGCGCAGCGAACCGGGGGAGGAGAGGGGTAAAAAATGTGGCACCTCCATAGGCTGAGCAGGGAGTGCGAACCCGGGTATCAGGGTAGAGGTCAAATTTTCGAAGAACCTGCGTACGTAATTTATGGATCTGCTTAATTAAAATCTAATTAATTAATTAATTAAGTTTTATCGAGCGGCAGACGAGCACGAACCATTACAGCCACTGCGTTGTATGCCGTCGAACAGCCACAACATTCCACAAGCGATGATGGCGCATGATATTATGGAAATTGTGAGCGTTCTATGGTGTATTATTATGACCGGTCACCGCTGTTATCAAGGAAATTATAAGATCCGAGTATTAACGCATTCTGCGTTTGTTTTGAACAACTGGTTTGTATAAGCACACTTTTGCGTATGCGTATGACCTGCTGGGGAAGCAGGTTCGGACTTCAGAGCGCAAATTGCGCCGGGACGAAGATTTACGGCAGTAGGTTTTAGATATAATCGCACCTCCTCCACAGGTAAGAAACTCACGAAGAAAACCTTCTGTGACCAATAAAAATAATAATTATTTAGTAGCGGGCCTAGCGGCAGATGATGCACTGGCGGAGGGGAATGCCTGGTTGGGAATACGTACATACCGGTTTCCTTAAGGCTGCGCATTGACTGACTAGCTGCAAATTAAAAATTGACTGATGCGATAATTATAAAGAACTATTAACAACCCTAGAACTGAAAAAAATCTCGAAATATATTGATTATTGCCATAAACAGCAGCGCGAAAATATTATCGCGTGTAGCCAAAACTCATAGTGTGGGAGTATTCTTGCGCCGGTATACGGAGTACATGACAAATAAGATTAAGTACTAGCATAAAGTGCCAGAATTTTTGCATTCTGTGCTGGTACTGGAAATGCATGAATTGTGCTACTTTAAGTCTTCTAATGTACGTAATTATGACGTCCTACTTTCGGTACAAGAATGGAATCTGATATGAAAAGCGGTAAACTGGGGAAAAGGGCAAAAACTGAAACGACACCTTAAAAATACAAATACATATGTAGCTTCGCTCCTTTTAGCGAAATCTCCGCGCTTTACAAGGCTTGTATTACAAGCCTGAAGCCTATATAGAGTCCAGCTCTGGGTACGCCATGTGTTCGTTTTTTTCACTCCGGGATGGGAGTGGGTGTTTCACCCCTAAATAGGGTCGGAGACTAAGCGCGTAGCCGTGTTAATTTGTTGCAGGATCTCACATCGGACGAGAACTATGCGTTCATTGAATTCGATTCCACGAAAAAGAGTGCATGCTGGATTCAATCCTGCTTCATATACCCTTTGCCGCTAATTTTCGACAACAAGCCACGGACCGTGTGGAAGAATACGCCAGTATGGGTGGCGCTACGCGACGAGATGGACGGACCGTTTCGCTTTCGCCCGGCCACTTTGCTGGAGTGTGTCAAAAGTGAGTTCTATAAGGCAGCTTGACAATGTGATTTGAAGGGTGGGCAATATTAAACTGGACAATAGCAATATTAGCGTCCAGGGGTGCGGCGGGTGCCACGGGTAGTACCATAATTAGGTACGTGGTACAGTATCTATAGATCCGTAACATGTTATACACTATGCATCGAAGAAAATGACCGGCGAACGGCTGGGCTCATTTCGCCCCGGTAAAGCACGCTAGAATCTTTGGAACCCCGTGAATGTAGTTACGCAGTTGCTGATTTGGTGCATGCCCGGTCGAGGAGAATCGTCACACGGCATATGTATGTATGTATATCGACCTTGGATTACTGTAGCCGAAGGAACTTCAGACAGCATTTTGGCTATGCTCACATAGAGTACTAGTCATTACCGTCCATTATCTTATGCTATGCCCATTGCCCACTAGCTTTTCTACCGTGAATTCAGCCATCACCAGAGACGGCTGTTGCCAGTTGCCACTGTTACAATTGCCGTTGCCTGGGATTTATAAATATACATAGTCAACTCGGCATTATTGATTACTGATTATTGTATTCGTTCAGGTTCGCCGCGCTTTAGTATTACATTATGGCTGGGTGCAAGGGTGACCTTTTGGTGTCCGCACGGGTGTTGGCTGAATGCACGGGGTTTCAGTACGGGCGTTGACTGTGTGCACGGCTAATTTATTTATTTTAAATCTTCTGTTTCCCGGATTTTTGAATGATAAACCGCTTCGAAATTTTTTAAATTACAGTCGATTTTTTATGCCCAGACACGTGCACCATTGGATCCCTCCTGCGGCTGTCAAAAGTCTGACAGTGCTAGAGTGCTATCGTACGATCGACATATGCAACTATGCAAGAATAAAAATCACTAAAACTCTCGCTTCGCTGTTCCTTAATTTCGGGATTGGTTCGAGAGATTCGTGTCTATAGCGACTATAGGCTTGTAGCCAGCGTACGGGAAGGCCGGGTAGACAGGCCAAGACCGGCTTTCTATCCCGTTCATCGAATGTTGGTTTTGATAGTGTGTCGCTTTTGTTACGTGAGCCTGGAGATTTCTGACGCAGCAGACCGCACCTCTTCTAGCTTAATTGAAGTGGTGGACCGCTGTCAGATAGTGGAACAGCTGCCATCTGATGAAATGCCCATCCAAGATAAAAGCAACCTGTTGACGTACAGGAAGTACATTATCCCTATTTCAAAAACGGACCGGGTTCTGCAGGAAGCCGCCGATGTATATCGCATCATCGCATTGTTTCGCCGCAGCTATCAGTACGACCGTTGGAATCCCGCAACGTCGCTGTCGGACGGTTGTCGCTTTCACCTGGCCGTTGGACCGGAGTCGTGTACTTTCCTTGTCATAACGCATAGTATGGACACCATCACGGAGCACGAAAGAACTAAATTTGCTTTGCATGCACTCTTGGATAAACACTTCAAGGCACGGCATCGTGGACTACTTGTAGGATGCCCGAACTGCCCCGACAACGGAGGGATTTGTGAAATGTTAATGAGGCAGCTGCAACGTTTTGCGGTAAAGCGGGTAATCAAAAACTTATAGTACTAGCAAACGCAATTGGCACTTATAATATAGCATTATCTTGTAATATTATTACATAATGTTATATTAAAATCACTTAATTAATAATAATGTAAGTGGAAAGTGGAGACACTTTGGCAGCGCTCATCGCTCTGGTAGCAGCTGCAAACATTACCCAAAGTCGAAACGTGATACGTATTACTATTATTACACAGTGTACAAAATTTGTATGAGAAATCTCGCTCAGAATCGGCTCAGTCTGTACGAGCCGAGCCGTCTGGCTCAATCGGACTACACGATCATTATGTTGTAGAATCTGAGGTTATTATTCCGGAAACCAGTATCTGCAGTGTTTCGCATAACATTTTGATGGAAATATTGGCTAATCTGGACCTTCAAGCTCGAATGCGGATCAAACGGTTAGTTACGTAGTTAGTTGTTGGTGCCCACCGTGCCCTACAGTTTGCTTACATTACCCCTAAGATCACCACCCAAGCTTCCAGTAAATGGGCAACGGCCATTAAAATCGGCTTTCCTTAAAATTAAGGTTGAGTCTGCCCAGCCAGAGCACGAGGGGCGGGCCAGCACAACACTACTTAAAATATTGGATCATCTGCTCACAGCATTAAATTTTGTGCTCGTACCACCCACTGTGTTCTGGGCACGATTCCTTATCATGAAAGCATTGAAGAAGTGTTTTGTTGTAAATTTAATCCTTTCTGTTGCGCAGTGCTGTTTCGCTTACACACGTTATGAGTTATTTTCAAGTTAACAACTGCAGCACATATTTCAGTTATATTTTATTCAGTTCTGTACCAGTGACAGCCACTGACAAGAGGTGGCAGAAATATAATTAAGGATGTGTCCGCCGTTGGAGTTCTGCATTTTGGCTGTAATTCTCTACTCTGATAGCGAAGAGGGCACCGCCAAAATGCGTATCTGTAGAACTATATGTAGGCCGCCGGATGTCAGCTCTTCTTTTCTGGCTAACGATCACTTTGGCTGTTTTCACTTCGGCGCCATTCACATCAGCGGCAGTTCATTTCGGCCCTCATTATACGGGCCCGTGGTATTTGACTACAAGAAACGACTTCCCCTCCGCGTTTCTTGTGGTCTATGATCGTTGGTCAGAACGTGAGAAAGGCCGTGTTTTTCAGGGGCTGGGGCGCATTTCGTGGGGAAACGATTGGTTTATTATTTTAATTTTAATCACTCTCGCTGATTTCACATATTTTTACCGTGGTCTTCGAATTTTTTAAGAGGTAAATTGTGAGCCTTGTGGGTAGTATGGTTCCACTAAGAATCTTTGAACGCTTTCGGACAACAAAGAAAGGTCAGCCGTTTTAAGAAATAATTTTCTCTTGGGATAACGACTATCGGCTTTTGGTTTTGGAGGATATTTACTAATACCTGTTGGCAAAATATGAAATTCGACTATTAGATCGAATCAGGCAACCTGGCATGTCTGATTGCCACTGGACAGTAATGAAAGCCACTGGGATATTATTTTGTTAATTCGTTCTTGACTAGTAGCCAGCTGGCCAGTGTTTATTTTTTCTCACTGCTCCGACTCATCCACTACCCCCTTGGAGCTTATCGACGGTTATATCCAAAAGCTGACCTGAGAATAACTTCAGAAACCTACAAAGCCTAACCAGGGCAAACACAGGCCCTCCAAATTAAAAAAAATCTCATTTTTTGCAGAAAGGTTTACTGGTAGCAAACTTAGGTATGACATTTACACAATTATTTTCAGCTTCTGTGATCAAGGTAGGACACATGTTTTACTACTTTTCTGCTCTAAGGCTTTCTTAAATTATCTTAGGCTTTGTAATGTATTAGCCTTCTTATGTTATTAGGTTTCTCATGTTATCTTAACTTTCTTAGGGTTTGTTTGTTAGTCGGAGTTTGTGGTCAGATCCGGTCAAAGTCTGAGACGATCAGACTGAATACTCAACATGATACTTTTAGTGGTCACAGTCAGACGTTGCTTCTGGCTGTAAGTATCTAGCTAGACGTAAATATTCATTTGTTATGTTTCATTTATTTGTTTGCGATCTTCGAGGTTAAAGCCCGTGTAATTTATTTAGCGTGTGCTGGTTGTGGCACGCGATATCCAGCGCTCCTGGGACACTCGACGAGCATGTCATAATCAGCTTCAAAGGTTGTGTCTCCACGAATTGTCTACTCGACAATTGTTACAATGTGGCACTGTTGCTGCATCGTGCAGTCAATTCAGAAACCAAGAGTCTCACCATAACTGATCTCAACTTCAAAGAGCACACTTTCTTTATTCCGGTCTGGCTGGGCCTTACACATCTCCAGCTGCCCCTAGTGGTCCTAAAACATGGCCGCTTTGACTTTGGTGGTTGGGTATACGATGAAACGAGTTCGTTGCTGAAACACGGCATCATGCGGCTCATTGAACCCTTCAAAGACCTCTGTCGAACCCTGATCCTGCACAACTACACATTATCCCGTCTCTTTTGCCATCCTATCTCGAATGTGCTTCACGAGGTAGAAGACCTAGTCCCGCTCCCCGCGGCGGAGAAGCAGCTGGTAATCCCACTCAACGTCCTGATGAGAGACGGGCAGGGAAGTTTATTTACTCTTAATACCACGGAGGTCACGCTGCGCCGGGTCATGCTGCCCTGCGTGGACGGTTGGGAGGCCGCAATGAGCCACTTCATGCGCGCCATCGATGCCGCGTTCCCGGCCGCCGGCGCCGATGTTTACAAGAAGGTGCAGGCGATTCACGCTCGCTGGCTGGACACCCTCAGTTACCCTGATGAATGGCAGCGCATACGCCACTTGTTGTCTGTGTAAGTTCTGCCGTGGTGCGATACCGTTAGTAGTTACACTGGCTGCGGCGCTCGCGTCGTGACATTGACCTAATCGTTTGTGAAGTAATACAGCGCCACAAAAAATTGAGGAATTCATGCTGTGTACTGCAGATTCAGTGGATTTCAATCGGATGGGACACCACTCCACTGGGACAATGTTGACCTCAGGCAGCTGGAGATCGGTCAGCTGAGCACGATGGCCTTGTTGGCCATCAGCGAGGCTTTTGTACAGTGATGTGAATCTGTACAGAGTACTTCATTTTCTGGTTTCTTCGGCTTGTATCAAGTTTAGCAGTACATGGCCGGTTTGGCGGGATTGTATTAATATGTAACATCCTTGGTCCGGAATTCCCATACCATTTTTCCACAATTATGATGGTCTGAGTGTTTTGTGTGCAATGCTATGAGTGTTTTGTGTACAGTCCCATCTCATGTTAATTGGGACAAATTCTTTATTTGAGTGATTTTTATTGAGCGAAGCTCGCCATGGTACATAATGCGATTAAAGCTTATATGATGGTCTGAGAAATTATTATTGCCTCAGAAATAATTCAACGTGTCGACGATGGAGCCTCGAATGAAATGCACGCCTTGATACCGTTTCGTACAACTCAACTTTCATTTCATGCCAAGCAGCTGTCTCGTTTTGGACACTTTTGTTGGCGTCAGCCGTTAGCAAGTGACTGTCTCTACTCCACGCCGCCGGGTGGACGTCCGCCTGGGGGACCTCCGCCTGAACAGCTCCCGGGATAGTACCGCCACTCTGAGCGTGGTGATGCGGGCCCTGGAGTTGGTCTTGGCGCCGGCATGTGCGTTAGCGTACAGCTCATGCTGGGCAGCTGGAGTTTTGGCGCGCGCTGCCGGCGGAGGACGCACGGCGCTATTGGGCGGTGACGAAGACGAGTTGGATGTGTTTGATGGCGGTGTGGGTTTGATGTTTTCAGCGTTCTACTTAACAAGCAAACTGATAGTAAGGAGTTGCACAATCGACTCACTGATGCAATGAAACTGCTGCCAGTGAAAAACTTGAACACAATTATAAAAACAAATAACAACAATTCAAAAACAAATTAAATAAAATTTAATGGCTGTAATGCCGATGGTTGCATTGCAGCAGACTGCCTGCCTGGCACCTGGTGCTGCAGTACGAGCTGGAGCAAGCGGATGTGGAGTGGCCGGTGCCGGCGATGCATCACAGCCCGGTGACGATGGCCGCTCTGGACAGCATATTCGGGCCAGCCACGGGAAAAAAAAGATGGATAATGTGTATCTGTAATTCGCATTTATTGCATTTTCTGTTAACTCGGCAATGATTTGCCCTAAATGTCAACACTTATTGCTGTCAGTAGACGCAGTACTCTTTACTGCAATATATGTGGGTCATGGCTCAGGAATAAGTTGTGTAAAGAAGCAGCGCGTACATCCGCAGCTTATCTTATGCAGCATAACGCTCTATGTAATGACAAGAAGACACGGCAAAGTAGAGAGGCACACGTTGGGCCGCAGAAATCATTTGCCAGTTGAGGCTGCACAGGTCAAGGGAAAGGATCCATAGTCGAGCAGTGAGCAGCCGGATCACAAGCGCAAGTCACGGGCTAACCAGAGATTATACTGGTATCGCCGAGCGTCATCATTTAGGAGGCCAGTCCCAGCAGGATGCCGCCGATGAATCCGCCGCTGAGGTAGGGACTAGGGACTGGTCCGCGCCAGCACCTTCATCTGCGCCCAACAAACATGTTGCGTCGGTGCATTCCGCACATTCAACAGCTCAAATAAGTACCTTCTCCAGCCAGGGCCGGCCGCCGCGGCGCGCCGCCTGCTGCGCGTCCAGCTGCGCCAGACCGCGGCCGGCGCTCCGTGGTAGTCGCGCCGGAACTTGCTCCAGTCCACCGTCAGGTAGCCCAGATGCTCCGCGAACTAAACACAAAGTCACTTTGTGACATTCAACCAAAGACAAATACAGTATGCCTAATCACTGTTGTTATGGCACATCGTTGCCCGTTGGTGCAACAGTTTCTGCACTGCATTATTACATCAGCATCAAATGGCAGTGACTTACGAGGACGACGATGAGACTGCTGCCCATGTTATAAATCACCGGTCGGCCGAATTTGTTAAAGAGGTAGCCGGACAGCCTGCATAGAACAGGTCAGATTTAAAGTAAACGTTAACCAGCAGCTACACGGCGTCTGTCGCGTGGCCTACCACCCCGTGGCGCCGCCCGCCGTGATCTGCTGCGCGCCACTAGCCGTGGCCAGGCTGTGCAGCGCGCGGTCCACCAGCGACAGCGGGCCCTCGCCCGCGGGAATCATGCTTATGCCTGCCAACGCCGTGGCTGTCGCTGTCAGCCGCGACTGACTGTCAGCGCTGCTCTGCCTTTCCGCAGGCCGCGACAGCGGGCTCCGGCTCATTTGTACAGAGTCGCTCGTTTCCCCGTTCTGCTGTTGGTGGCTCATTTGCTGGCCGGAATCACTAAAGTCCAATCCACAATTCCACACCACAGCCACTCGTACCAAGCATGAAGCAGGCCAATTCAAATCAGCAAGTCTGCACAGAGGACTTGGCTAACAGCAGTCAATACTTGACACACGAAACGAAGATCACATCGTGTAAAACACCATGGATTAACATGTTTCTCAGTTCTTCTTTAACTGCCCACAACACAAACAGGAGAAACCCAACGACTTCACCCGTCAACTTTTGTACAAGAACAAGAGAATGCACAATATTCAGCAAAAACTGAAAATCACTGTACAGTATCAATTTGTTGAAAATAATGGAATAGACTGTACATTCTAAAATGATTATTAATCATTTTAGAATGTACATGTCGCCCACCCGATGCGGTACCCATTGTCGAATGAATCGCCCACAAGCCACCCACCTTGGCCCCCGGCCACGTGAACGGCCACGTTAACAGCTGATAATATAATTATCTAAAGGGTTTTTATTGGGCAAAGGCCATCAATGTAACAAAAAGTGCATTCGCGTAGTACTACTTAAAATGATAGAAATTTAAACGTTATAATTATCTTATGTATAATACTCGTACACGTACGACTACTTTAAAGTTTGAATATCACGTCGTGTCGAAGTATGTCGCTGATCGTTATGCCACGTGATTTACACCGTTTCACACCTTTTTGTCCAACTTTGTACAGAAACCAGCTCAGCGCACTGTATGTGCTTCCTAAATACTGTATCAGTCTGTATGAACCATTGTGCAGGAACTAAATTTCACAGTTTACAGCCGACCGTAAGAACTATCTTTCAGAAAAATTAAAACATCCCAACGCAATTCCCCCAGGCCAGGGAGATGAGATCATTGTTAACTGCCACGCGGCAATGACGGCCTAGCCGCTCTCCTGCGTCACATCACCGCGGGGCGTTTCAACTTCATCACGACACCGCCAGATGACAAGGGCCGGCAGTCGGCATACGGGCCGGTCTTGGGCAGTCGACACGCCATCAGCGACCAGCTGTCCGTCTCTTCGTCGTACACTTCGATGCTGCTGGCCCGCTGCCGCCCCACTCCTTCTTCATCCCCACCAATGACATACACTTCCCCACCCACGCATGCGAGACCGGGAGAAGTGCGGCTTCTGGTCAGGTTAGCTGTAAAGCACCCAGCGATACAGAACAGCACCCAGCGGTACATGTACATCTGTAGTGTAACTGTGTAAGTACTCGTACAAAGGCTGTACGAGTATCTCGTGAAATGGAAAATGGCCTATGGCTCATGTGCCGTAGCAGCGGTATTGTTGTTGCCCGTTATGGTTGCCATGTCTAGTGTTTATTTGGTCGTTTGCTGCTGTCCCGAGCGGACATAATACCAGATTATGCCGTTCGTTCAATACAATACAACATCCACCGTCACGCATCGACGGACCGGCAGTACGCCAATCAGCACTGGAAAGGATGGTATCACACTGACCCTTTCGCATCCACCGATCGCTGGCGCAGTCATACGCATCGACGCGCACCCAAAACAGATCCTCCAGAAGTACCTAAACCACAATTTCTACAAGAGACCATTTGGCTATTCTGTTGTACTTGTCACTAGTTACGAATTCCGCAGTGCGCACCCAGAACAAAGATCAACCCGTTGGGAGCTGCGCAGGCAACAGGAGGGTCGAAGGACCAGTGTCTGGTCGGCATGTCGTGCAGTTTGGTCCAGGTGTCGGTTGCGGGGTCGTACGAGAAAGAACAGCCACGCTCTTCCGGGCTACCACCGCCAAACAGAAACAACCGACCGCCACAGGCCACCATCACCGCGCCGGACAGACCCAGAGGGAGGGGGGCCACGGCGCTCCAGGCATTGCAGAGGGGATCGTAGGCCTCCACGGACGTCAGCGGGTCGCCTTCTGCAACCAGCAGAGAGTAGTCCCCAGCGGCATAAACACGACCGTTCAGCGCGGCCAGGCTTTCTTCCCCGCGCTGCGTCAGCATGGGGGCCACCTCGCGCCATTGTCTCGCAGGCCCAGGTAGCCACGGTCTCGCTGGAGTCGATGGCGGCCAGCGCTGTGGACAAGCATGATCGTGCTGGCGTCCAACAGCACGACGTGCTGGCAGTCTTTGGGCGTGGGCACGGGCAGACGATTCAGGCGCCACACGGCCGTTGTCGAGGGTCAGAAAGCGTTCACGCTGCCGCGGTACTTGCCACTAGCCCAGCAAAGGATCACTTCCTGCGCTGATAATCAAATCAACAAAACAGCCGTTATTTCATCAACAGCAAAGCTTTATTATACCTATTTCCGTTATCTACAAACTGGCGTACAATGCATACGCGCGGTAATACATATCATTCAACAAAGGAACTTTCCGCTTGTACTTAATTCCCAAGCTTGGAAACAAATCATGCACAAGACTGACAAGGGGCCACTTAAGGAAAATGACCCGGTACATAGCGTCAAAAATGCGACACATACTTGTACACTAAAACTTTCGCTTTCGCGCACTCCGAATCACTTTTTCGTAATACTTTACATCATTCTAAAGCTAAATAATTTGTATACATTGTTCTGAAAACCGTTTGCGCGCGCAACATCCAGTTGCCGAGATATGCCGTACTAAACTTGGAGAAATTAAATTTGCCGTACTAAATTTGCATTGTTGTGTACCAAAAGTCTGGTTATCACCCGATCTTCTTGAAACTGTGCAGTAAAAGACACATAGCCATGAAGTCGAAAGTGAACCAATTTCAGGTTGATAGCATTTTTTTCCGATTTTAAAATGAATTTCAAAAATTTTAAAATTCATTTTGAAATTATGGGAAAATGATATGAACCTCAAATTGGTTCACTTTCGATCGTGGCTGTGTGTGTTTTGCAGCAAAGTTTCAAAAAGATCTGGGTAATAACCAGACTTTTGGTACACAACAATGCGTTTACACTTTTCGCCCATTTTATTTCGCCATATCTCGGCCACCGGATGCTGCGCGCGCAAACGGTTTTCAGAACAATGTACACAAATCATTTAGCTTTAGAATGACTGAAGTAATACAAAAAAGTGATTCGGAGTGCGCGCAAGCGAAAGTTTTAGTGTATGTGTCCCATTTTTGACACCACGTACCGGGCCATTTCCCTTAATGAAGCAGCGCGGCTGGGAAGTCTCACCGTAGGACGGGCGTGCTGCCGAGTTGAGCAAGTTCCCGGCGGGTAACTGGCTGGCGCCCTGGCCCAGCCCCGGGGGCACTGCAGCGCTGCTGGCGAGGGCTTGGGAGTTTTCCTGGCGGGCCTGATCGCTGAGAAAGGCGGCACGGACAATCTGCAGAAGGGCGGGCAGGTGCTCCAAGCGAGCGGGACTGTCGTGATCCAGCCAGCGCAGCAGCGCCTCCAGCAGCTCGTCCTCAATGCACACCTCCACGTCATCCGACGCCATCACAGCCATCAACTGCAAACATTCGCCAGCCCGTAATGCAAATATGCATGCCAACTGCTCAGTGTGAGACGCCCTTATTCGTTCCACTGTGGTGCTGTACTAATTGATCGCTGGCGCCTGACGCTGAATAAAGTGAAGCGCCAGCCAACCAAACGAGTTCTAAGCAGGGCGCAATCCGAGGGAAACCGAGAAACGGCTGAAAAAGGCGCCGATGGGGGAATCGAACCCCGGCTACGTCGTAAGATCCGCGTAGGCAGTACCACTGCACCACGGCGCAATACGTTGAAATCCTTTGAAAGATTTTGTCGCTTTACGTGAGCCGCTTCTCCGCTCACAGAGTGATCACGGCCACACGTACTTCGTACTGTCCACAATCGTGCAGCTATTGCATTATCCTCCATCAGAAGCCGACAGTCAGTCAAGTCAGCCTGTGCGCACCCACCTGCTGCGCGTCCATTTCCAGAAAGTCCTGGCTCGGCGCCCAGCGTGGGAAGTTGCGGCGAATCATGCCCAGTGCGGCGGCGGCCAGACGGGGGTGGTGCCGTGGTGGTGTGGTTTAGCGAGAGCGTGGACGGCCAGCCGGGCCAGGCAGTCGGACAGGCCGGTGGCCATCTGCTGCTCCGCGTACTCCCAGCACAAGCGCTCCACCCGCGTCATCTGCAGAAACTGCGCCGCAATCAGGAAGGACTGCACGTTGTCCCCGTTGAGACGCAGCTCCAGCGTGTAGGCATACTGCACCAGCCTGCAATTGCAGTGGGATAATTATCATGGACTGCTAGTCCATAATTCATGGAGTACATTTAAAATCAGCACCATCACAACTGTCAAACTGTACAGTACAGTACGCAAAGAGTACAGACGCATAAGAAGAGTTTTTTGGGTTACTAGTTGTACAGTCAACAGTAATCTCCGTTGCTGCTCCCACTCCTAGCTGATTGCCAACTGACATGGATACCAAATCCCTGGAAATTATTACTGCTTCCAGAAACAAGTGATCGTCAGAAGAGCACTCACTCCTTCAGTGTGCAGCTGTCGATCTGCGGCAGCGAGAACACACCGTCCGACGGCGCTGACTCTGTCCAGTGCTGCGGCCCACTGAACGCTGCCCGAAAGAAAGCACTGTGCGCCATGAGGATAAGGCGATGGCAGGTAATGCCCGCCGCGGATCCCTCGCCGCCTTTCAGCACCACAACGCACAGGGTCCCTGTCGACTGCAGAGCGTGCAGTTCGCGCAGGACTTCCATGGCGCCCGCGGGACACTCATTAACATTTAACACCAGCAGCATTTGCGCCAAATTTCCACATATTCTACGTGTTACGGTGGGCACATCAAATCAAATCCAAAGAAAGTAGAGATTTCACGCAAATGACAAACTTATAAACAAACCGTTACAAACGTTACAAACCATCAAAATCACAACGGGAACGGAGCAAGTTCGGAAGTCACTTTAGAATGTATGCTTGTCGCCCACATGATGCGGTGGCCACTGGCCACTGGCCTTGTTAAACAAACCGCCTCGCGGCGGCAGGTCCCTGCGCAGCGCTCAATCAGAGCAAAGTTCTCTCCTGCTGCAGTCTGTTTCAGTCGTTTGATAAATTGATACGTATTTGAATTTTGGATGGTCTGTGTTGACTGTGTAGATTGGCATTTTGTCATCATTGCTAGCCATCGCACGAAGCTATCTCCTGTAAATGATTGTCCTTCCTTTTTTCTTTAAACTTTTCGGTGAGCTGAATGCGAAGGGGGAAATTCGTTGAGCCAATGGCGTGGGTGCAATGTAGTTTGACGGAGAACGGGTGCGATTACAGTTTGCCTGGGGAGAACCCGTTTGAACTGCGCAGGCTGCAGACTGGAGCGCAGCAGGGCCCTGCAGGAGGCGCGCATGTTCAACGAGACGCCGGTGAACGTGCGCAAGTGCAGTCTGGTGCTGACCAAGATCCTCTACATGCTCAACCAGGGCGAGACGCTTTCCGCGCGCGAGGCCACCAACTTCTTCTTCGCCATCACCAAACTCTTCCAGTCACAAGACGTTCCTTTGCGACGACTCGTCTTCCTCTGCATCAAGGAACTCTGCAAGGTATGTCGTGGTTTTGTGCTAGTTGAATCCATAGGTAAATCCTGAAACCTCGGGAGTGGCTGTTTTTGCTGAAATATTCAAGATGGAAGTACTTGGTTCGTGCAACCGAGTACTCGCTGTGCACGCTGCTAACTGCTAACCAACTTGTTTTTCTTCCTAGTAAAACCCTTTTCCCCATTTTTACATATGGTATTTTTTGTAGTTGAGTTTTTAATCCTGAGAAATGTTTGGATTTTTTGTTTTAATTTGTCTGAAATTTTTGTTTGCAATTTTTATTTAGTTTCGAGTTTTTCATGGATTTTTCTCTCAGCTGCGTCCTTATCGCTGTCGGTTGTATTTTCTTATATTTATTTTACTGTCGAATCGTTAGGTGCATTATTAGTGTGTCACTAGTTTGGATAAGCGTAGTTCTGATTAATTTCCATTGCGAAAATAATGAGTCGATTAAATAGGTGGCTGAGGACGTGATCATCGTGACTAGCAGTTTGATGAAGGACATGACTGGCAAAGAGGAGGCGTACCGCGCCGCGGCCATCCGCGCCTTATGCATGATCGTCGACCAGTCCATGCTGCAGTCCGTCGAGCGCTACATGAAGCAGGCCGTCGTCGACAAGAGCCCCCACGTCGCCAGCGCCGCCTTGCTCGCTTCGCTCCACTTCTGCCAGGTAAATTAACTACGGCATCTGCCTACCGCAAATATATTTTCAACCATTTTGTTATTAATTTTTAACCCATTTATATGTATTTGATGGACCGGACCGGTACCGCTTAATCGGCGATTCGTCCGTTTTGCTTTTCACCACTTTGCATTAATTGAAATGCTGATGTAGATATTTTTTATTGAGAGAGATTAATTTATAGCGCTGTGGGCGGTTGATCAGTCCATATCTTACAGATATTTAGCGTGTGGTTGGATATTGATTTATTGGTTGACACATTGATTTACTCTTAATTTATTGATATTGATTTGATCAGAAGTTATTGATTTACATATTACGAATTTACCGTTTCTTAGAGATTCTTATGCGTTTATTTACTATTACTTGATCGGTTATCGTCCAGGCGTCGTCGCTGTCTAGAGTCTGTATTTTGCGGAAGAAACAGCGATGGTAACGCAGCTGTGTTGTTTGTGTTTAAACAGCGCGGCGGGCAGAGCGCGGAGGTGGTGAAGCGCTGGGCGAACGAGGTGCAGGAGGCGACGAACAGCGACAACCCCATGGTGCAGTACCACGCCCTTGCTCTGCTCTACAACATCCGCAAGGGGGATAGACTGGCCGTCAACAAATTGCTGGCCAAGTTCACCGCCGGCCGCTACTTGAAGTCCCCGCTGGCCGTCTGCTTCCTCGTCAAGGTCGTCGCCAAAACCATCCAGGTCAGTCGCGACTCTTCTCTCTTGGATATTTCACCGGAAGTCGTGTAATTGAAATACTCCTTTGTAAAAAACGCAGTGTGGTTGAGTTAATCAACAGGGAGAATGAAAAGACCTTGATTTGCAGGAGGAGGCCGGTTTAGGCCAGATCAATTCGAGCAACTTTGACTTCCTGGAGTCGTGCCTCCGTCACAAGTCGGAGATGGTGGTCAACGAGGCGGCGCACGCCTTAGTCAACCTGCGGCACGCCAGCGGCCGCGAACTGACGCCGGCGCTCTCCGTCCTCCACCTCTTCCGCGCCTCCGACCGCCCCGTCCTCCGCCACACCGCCCATCGCGCCCTGACCCACCTCCCGTCCGCCTGCAACGAGAACAGCCCCGCCGGCTGCAGCCACGCGCAGCCCTCTTCCTCCCGCTGCTGCAGTCCGCTGCGCTCCTTGTCCTCCAACCAGATGCCGCGCAGTCAGCCGCTGGCCAGCAGCAGCTCCTCGGGCGTCATGCGCCGCACCCGCCTGCGCCGCTACCGCACCGAGCCGTACCTGCTGGCGCTGCGGGCGGAGCTGAAGAAGGAGAGCGGCCTGTCGCCGCGCACGCCGCTGAAGCACGACAACCCCTTCGAGCCGCTGGACCTGTCGCAGGCCATGGCCAGCAAGTGGGCCGACTTCCTCGACCAGGAGCAGCGCGCCCGCTCCAACGAGGACGCCGGCTTCGCCTGGTCCATCGACCACATGGCGGCGCTGCAGCCGGTGGACATTCCGCACCAGGACGTCCTGCGCACCGAACTGCTCAAGCACGTGGTGTCCGAGTCGGACGAGGAGGACGCGCAGGACCACATTCGCCGGTAAATTTTATATTCCTCACAGACGCAATCATGTAGTCGCTGTAAATGACTTTTTTAAAATTGTTGACATGATTTTTTTCTATGAAAATTGTTTCTTTCTTGTTGCAGATTTTTCAACGACGACGCGGTGCACCCGATGACGCCGACGCCGGACAGCAAGCGCCGGCCCGCGCCGTCGAGCGACGAGGAAGACTCGGACAGCGAGGCGGAGGCGCTGATGTTGGGCGTGGTGCGCATGCCCTCCTACACCCTCGAACGGCCGCCGCCCTCCGCCCTTCCCCACCGCGACGCCGCCGTGCAGACGGACGTGTCCATCCCGGCGCGCATGGACTTTAGCCGCCACTTCGCCGGGTACCAGTTGGCGCGGGGGGCGCTGCGTCCCCTCGGGCATCTCCACCCCAGCCGCTCCTTCTCGACGGCCACCATCCGGCGCCGCCTCTTCGCCGACGATCCCGGTCCGCCGGAGCGCGAAAAGGAGACGAGCGCCGCGCCGGCGCCTCTCCGCGCGCCCTCGTTTAATTTCCTCGTTGAACCGGAGCAGCCGGGTTCGCTCCTGGCCAATCTGGACGAATCCATGGGCTTCGGGATGGTGTAGGAGCCTCGTCTGTGCGTGCTTTTACTTCCGCCTTTCCCTGCTGTATGCGGGTATACGTATCCGTATGTCGCCGATTCAACTGCCGGCTTGATGAATTTTTGGAATATTTTTCCGGCAGTTTTGTTGATGTTTTGATTAGTGTTTGTCAGCGTGCGATTGCGTGTATTATGGTGATGGCGATGCTACAATTAATTCGGGGATTTTGTTTTGGGTGTTGAGGAATTGCGGCAGAACGCTGAGTGGAGCATGAGAACAAATTCATGACAATCGTGCGCTTTTTGTATGTACTCGGCTGTTTGACGTGCAGTGGGCGTAGCGATAACGCTGCAGCCCAGCAGCCGGCGCAGGAGCCCCCGCGTTGTTAATTTTTAAGCGCCCATCAAGCGGCAATACAAGTGAACAAATCCCATCATGTTATTAACACACGGTTACACGCCCATCACTCAAACAGTCAACGGCAAGTGATTCTGCACTGAGACAACAATCCCGTCAAGCCAGGCCGGGCCGGTCAACATGCCATACAAAACACTCAGCGCAATCATACAGCCGCAAAAAAACCAAGCTGCGCCGGCGACCACAGTCCCACACACTAAACAGCGGAGTGCGCCGCGGCCGAACCGGACAGCAACCGGATAACAAAACAAGAATTACGGTTAGCCGAACAGACAGGCAATGCCCATTCACAGAAAAAAGACGGTCATTATGACAAAGAGCGACAAAAATGATTACAGCGTCCGCGGGAGATCATGGGCGAGCGCTGGAACAAGGAGGGGCGAAGAAAGGAAAGCGGGGCTGTTTCGGCAACTGGACAAGGATGAGGACTGGTCAGGCGGGACGAGGCGGTGCTCAGCGTCAGTGCAAGGCGGCGGGGGATGAAAACAAGGGGAACATGAGACAATAATCAAAAGGAAAAGCAGGCGAATCCAGTTCAGGGAGGGCCGGACTAAATGGCGTTGATGGTCGCCTTCATGATGGCCTTACTGACGCTCGCACTTCCACTGCGCACCTCCAGCGTCATGGCCACCCCGCCGTCCCCCGCGACTTCCAGTCCGCAGCGCACCAGTACGTCGACATTACCCCGGAAGGACCCCCCAATGATCAATTCGTGGTCGCTCTTCCAGGCGGGCAAGCGGTCGCCGCGCTGCATCCCGAAAAAGTCGACGACGCTGTTGACGGCCTCCTGCAGCTGTCCAAACTGCTCCAGTTTGTAGGAGCAGGTGCACTGGTTGCCGGCGCCCAGCCTCTTCCACGCGGTGGCGAAGTTGGTCACGATGGTGTACTTCAAGTGGTCGGACAGCTTGTCCGACCACTTGAAGTGCACCATCGTGAATCGTGATCTCCACCGGTTCCAGGTTGTAGAAATCCGGGTAGCCTTCCTTGTCCGCCTCGGTACTGTCCTTCGTCGTGAAATGCAGGGAACACTCCAGGGCCCCGGTGGCCGCCACGTAGTCCTTCGACAGGCACACTCGCGCGTATAAAGTTTCCGCGAGGAAGAAATTATAAAAACATAAAAACAGTCGTTTATTTGCACTTGATTACCAGTTCTTACTTTATTAAGAATAATACTGAAATTATTAATCAAATGATTCTAGAGCATAAAATTCCCTACAAAGACACTACATTGATTGATTGATTGATTCATTTATTTTCGAAAAGCCAAGCCCGTAAACGGGTACTCTCACATGAAAAAATAATAAGCAAATAAATAATAAACAAGACGAGAAAACAAACAAGTACTTACTACAGGTGAAAAAGAGAGAAGGAAAAATAATACGGATTAAAACCGATAAAAAAAACGTTATTTACAAAAAGCAACTAGGAAAGACATAAAACTATGAATGAAAATACAAGAGAAGCAAGAATAGTGTAATTACAAAATACAAAAATAATAATAATTACAACCATCTTTTAAACTGAACACGTAAGTAACACCACTTACCGACAATATTGTACTCCAGTTGGCTGCATTTAAAAGACCAGTCGCCGACGACCAACCCGCTAGCCGCTGCAGCGGCTAGCGGGTTGGTCGTCGACGACTGGTCATTTAACTTTAATCGATCGCTTCTCATGCGCTAACAGAACCGGCGCCGAGGACTTGAGGATCGGCCAGAGGGGGGCGAGCTCTGAGATCTTCTTGAAGGTCTCCTCGTACGTCGGCAGCCCTCCAGCCTGGGCTTGGATTTCGTCATTTCCGGCACGTCCTTATAGGTGTAATACGGATTCGTTACTGCCACATGAGTAACGCCTCCCTTCTCGTAATTTCTACACAACAAACCAATCTTAGCCATACCATTCATGTTCTCCGATAACCAACTAGGCTAACAATTTTAAATTAAGAAAATTCAGGGACTTCCGGTGCTTGACGCATTTGCAGCCGCCCGGCGGGGCCAGGTTAAACTGGGGCATTCACGTGAAAACTGAATGGAAAAAATCTTCATTAATTTTCAGAACTTACTACTTACGCCACATGTGCCAGCAGCTCGGCTTCCTTCTCGCCGCCTTTAACAAAAGGCACCTGGACTCGGGCCGATCCACCGCCAGCTGGATGCACATCGCATTCCACCTTGTCGCCGAGGAGATAGATCTTCAGTTCCTTGGGGAGATCCAGGCGGCGTATGGCATCCTCGCTGGTGATCAGCTGATGGCGCTCGATACCTTTCGGAGGCCACAGAGTTTTAGCTTTTTCGGGATCTGTCAAACAATTTCATTGGTCAAACAATAAGGGTATTCGAAACTGAAAAAGCGACTGAATACGCGGCGAATGCATGGAGGCGCGAAAGCGGAGTGAGCGCGCTGGAGATAAGATAACGCGCGCATGTACGTGTCTATCAATTGAAGGTACACGTTCCTCGTAGAAAAATATGAAATTTCGGGACTGGCGCAAAGGGTGCCGTTGTTCTCCCTTGGGGAGAACAGATGCCCACTCTTTCCGAAAAGCCAGAGACGGGCCTGTAGTACTGAGCAGTAAGCACGATATCGTCTGCCATTCGGTTCAACCTACCAACTTTGAATGTCTGGATAACCGCGTTCTCCGCCATGTTACGAAAAGTACTTTGGACTAGCGAGTGGATCGGATATGTAAAATTGTGAATCGACAAACCAATTCAAACCACGAAAACTCAAAACGTCGTAATGCGATACGTACAAAACGGTAAACAAAACGAAGAAAACCGATAACACGAGATGAGTTCCCTGCGAATTTGTATCAATTTTCAAATCTGGCTCTTCGTTCCCGGCTGCAGTTTAAATTTGTGCGTAAGGCGCCATTGATAAATTACGTCACGCAAGTAGTGGGAGGGGGGAAGTCCTGAAAGCGTTACTGTTTGTTACATAGGGGAGGGGGGCTTTAAAAATTTGTTACGAACTTACGATTATGACGTGAACATGCTATATCGATGGAGGGGTTCTAATTTTGTTACGTAACGCTCAGGGGAAGGGATCTCGGTTTGTTAGCATTAATGACACAGGGGGAGGGAGGTATCCAATTTTCGCGTGACGTAATTTATGGATGCTGCCAAATACAGATTTGCGGAACGCACCCAACTACGTACGTAAACTGCATGATAACCGCAGCCCGCTTGCGGTAACAATGTTGACTCGCAATGGAAACGTAAAACTCACACCGGTATTATTCCACGCGGGTTTGCAGAATTGCAGTCATGCATCCGCTGCTTCCAAACGATGCATTTACAACTAAGAATGGTCTCTTATAATATATTCTCATGTTTTCTGATGCAGATAGATCGAAGAAAGCTATTTTTCTGTGATAGCAGTCAAAACGAAACTAAACGAGAAATTTCAGCAATTTAAAAAATAGGAATCGAATCAGGCTGACACGCCGAGCGGTTGCACTGTCGTCAAGCGCCGGATCGTCTACGAATTTCCTCCATTTGAAATGAAATGTTCAGCTTGGAAGTGTTCGAGAAAAATAAGTGCGCTGTCCTGCAGTACGCTGCGGTCGGCCGTGTAACATAAAGTTAAGGTCTGCAAAGTGCAAACTATACTGTAACAGTAAGCAGCAGAAACCCTTCAACGACGGGCCGCTTTCCAGTCGTTCCCTGCTGATCTACGGCAGGGTGGCCCCATCTATCCCTCGCTGCTCAGGCTCTTCACCGACCTCATCTTCGGCGGCGAATCGCAGGGCATGGTCAACGTCATCGCCGAGGGCGTCGGCCTGATGCCGCCCGACTCCTGGACCGCGGAGGACGGCGACGCGGACACCCGCCCGCTGGACGGTGCGGCGCCGGTGTCCCGCCGGAAGTGTGTGACCTTTCCGGCTAACTATGTTTTCTTGGCAGGCGTCCTGGCGAATTCGGAGCCGGCGGAGAAGGAGCTGCAGCTGACGGTGCGCCTGCGCACCATCGCCATGAGCTCGCGGCCCTTCCGCGGCTTCATCGTAATTAAGTACAATTTGTGGGCTGATTGGCTGGGCATGCTGTGTGTGGCGCTGTGGCGGCGGTCGCGCTTCGAGGCGGAGCTGTGGGGCCGGCACAACCGCTTCGTGGCCAGCTTCCCGCCCCTGGACACGCCGCTGCAGGAGGACGACCTCGTCTACTGCCTCCTGCCCGCCAAGTACATCTGATTCACCCCGATCAGGATTCATGGCCGCCTGATGGACGCCGTCACGTTACAGTGTCTGTTGAATTTCCGTTGAAATGATTGGAATGTATCTGTAGTCTGTAGACTGTATCGTCTGCTCCCCTACATTGAATGAGTACATTAATTTTAGCGATTGACAGTCCCTGTAAACTGCAGTAAGGAGCAGCAACATTTTCATCCGCATTTTACTGGAAAATCTCCTCTACGCTTCATCTCGCAATAGTTCACGAAGGCCAACATGCAAAACAGCAAAAATCATATTAGAAAAGGGCGTAACAGAGAAACCATGAAGGTGATTCACATATCGCAGCTGATTCACATAACGGCTAAAATCATCAGCAATTAAATACACGTTACAAGGCGTACACAGCACGGCACCACATCACTTATCAAAAGCGGCACAAAGTAGCCGCACTAACGAAGTAATTTCCCTATCGACCGCGTATCACCCGCAGCGGGCAGCTCTTGAATTGTGTCGCTGGTTTCATCCGGCGGCCGTCTTCTTGTCCTTGGCCGGCGTCTCCGTCTTGGGCGGATCGGGGATGGTGGAGTGGATGCCGGCCTTCTTCAGCGTGTCCATCAGCTCGCCGCTGCGGTGCATCTGCAGCAGGATGTCGCTCCCGCCCACGAACTCCCCGCCGATGAACACCTGCGGGATCGTCGGCCACTTGCTAAAGTCCTTCACGCCTGCAGCCACCAACACACCACAATCACACTTCCACGCTTGTATAACTGCCATTCCACGCTCACGCAAAGGGATCATATACGTATTTAAAAAATACATTACCAATAATCCAAAAAAGAAGAAAAAAACGTTATTATAATTTTCTACAACTGTGAAGTGGACTGTTAATTATCCACTATTTAACGCAACATAAACCGATTATTACACGAAACCCTGGTAGAAACAAGTTCATAGATTACCCAATTATTTTAATAAATTTTGGTCGTCATTTAATTACCTAATGTGTTAAACTTGTACTCGTTCTTGATTTAACGGTAAATTATTCACAGAAATAATTACACACGATCATCCGAAAAAAATTTCAGTTGGTTATTTGCACGAGAAAATTCCCCAACAAATCACAAATGCGTGAATGAGTTACCTTGGCGGAATTTATCGTCAGCGAGGACGTTGACATCGTGGAAGTCGTGGACGCCGTGCATGTCGAGGATCTGCACGACGGTCTTGCTGAAGCCGCACTGCGGCTGCTGCTTGACGCCCTTCATGAACACCACCACCTTGTGCGCCTTCACCAGCTCCCCGATCTCCGCCTGCACCCCCGGCTCCCCCACCGCCGTCGTGCTGCCGTGGCGACGCTGCACCAGCACCGTCGCGTGCGCCGTCATGGGCACGAACTGCACAGGCAGCTGCAGCGAACCGAATGAAGCTCCGCGCGCCACGCCACCCCGCAACGCCGACCACATCCTCGATGATATCGCACTACCGACAGCGTTCCACGGGTCCTCTATCCCGGGGCACAACGGCTGAGAATAAAGGGCTTTCAAATGGCTTCTTCAGTGGCTGTCCCAAATAGTGGAATGCTCAACGAATCGTTGAATGGCGCACTCGCAAATCAGACTCCGCCAACCGAGAAGCACGACTCAGGAAAATCTCGCAGTTCAACTGTCACAGCGATTAGTTCCAGATTTCCACCTTACTGCTGATCAATTAACCTGTTGTCGTCGTTTTCTACCAAACGATCACGGAAAAAAATGCCTGCAGAAACTACTCTTTAATAATTTAATTTCTACGAAATATTTGTCTGGAAAAGTGGAAAAGATGAAAACAGACCAAAATATTGCAGGACGCTGCCAGCTGTCACCCGCCCACTGCGCGTCCTTACATTGATTTCACGCTGAGCGGAAGTTTTGCGTTGTGTGATCGTTCAGTTGACTCAGCGTGCGCTCGTTGGCTTCCAGTGAACACCTCCACCAATGGCGCTGCTGGAATTATTAGCGAAAACTCTGTGATTGGTTGTTAGAAATAGACGGGGCTTACAAGTGTCGAGTGCGCAGTGTGCAATGTGATGCGTGGATTTTGCGATTATTTTTCTCCGCGTGCGAAACCAGATTTTTCGAGAAGCCGTGGAATCAAGATTGTTGTTGTTTAAAAGTTTCTTCCGTTGGAATCCTACCCGTCTCTGCTGCTGACATGTCCAGCCGAGGTCCCTATTCCTTGTTTATCGGGCGCATCCCCAAACATGTGCGTGTGCGAGAGCTGGAGGACATCTTTTCGCGTTACGGTCCTCTTTCGCGCTGCGACATCAAGTACAGCGGTAAGTGTGCACGCGGGCCCTGTACCGCCCCATTGGCAGCGTACTGTTCATACCTGATTTGTGGGGTGTTGCGCCGTATTTAACCAGCGGGATTCTGACGGTGCTAATCTAAAATCTTCTCTTTTGCAGGAACTGGCTCCGGTGAGGCGCATTATGTTTTCCTAATTCGTTGTTGTTCCAATGGTGTGTGTTTCCGTAGCGTTCGCGTTTGTGGACTATGAAGACCGACGGGATGCTGAGGTGAGTGCAGTGATCAGTGGTATGATGTGTAAATTCAGTGGAATGACGTAGAAGTCGCGGGCTCAAGGCCACAGTTGAGGTGTTTTGATTCTTGATTAATGTCAAAAAAATGACGGTGAACTGTGGTTAGTTTTCTGGTTGACTGTCGGCGCTGCTGGATGTCTCAGTGTACAAGAGGAACAGGTGATAGTTCAGCCGATAGCAGGCGAAACTGCGGGAAGAGCTCGGTCGCAGAGTGAACAGTAAATCGTGCAATTACTATTTAATAATATAATATTACGCTGAATAAATTACTTACACAAGTAAGCTGCAGGTGATATAGCTAGTAAAAAATAACCTAACTTAGTACTGGAATTTATCAAAATTAATTTAATTTATTAAAAAATCATTAATTAATATTAATTAATTATTTTAATTTTTTTTAAATTTAATTTATTGAAATTTAAATTTTTTTATTAATTGACATTTATCGTTTGTCATTTTATAAATTGATTATTTTTCTTAATAATTATTTTAATAGAATAAATAACCAATAATTATTAATTACTGGCTGAATGGAGTTAGTAGCGTGCGCCGTGAGTGCGTAGCGCTGCCTAATATTATGGAAATTTTTCTACTGAATTACTAATTAACGCGACCTGGTGTGTATAACAAACCGTTTTTAAACTGAAAATTAAATTATCATAGTTCGATGTAGATCATGTAATATTTAATAATGGTGTATGATAGCTAAATTTATAAAAAGGTATGGAGTATAGGTTTTGAAAATGAAGACGTGAATTGGGTAGTTGGTCTAGCTGATGACAGGCTGGATTGTGTCGAAGCGATAGCGTAGTACGTACTGCGTAGTGTGAATGATTGAACGGTTGATTGAAGTGACATGTTGATTGTAGTTTACCTACCAATACCATGATACCAAAACCAAACCATACCAATTACCTAGCCTAGCCGTTCGCTAATCCTAAGTGCCCATCCCGTGCCCCGCTTCCGCTGCGTCGGCCTAGACACTTAACTGAGAATAACTGACTGACTGTGGCTGAATATAACATGGGGCAGCTGTCCTTGCCAGCCAGCCAGCCTTTCAGCGAGCGCTGAAGCGACAAGAAACCAGCAGCGTGTACTAGACGGCTTGGCGCTCCTACCAGTCCTAGGGACCTAGTCCGTAGAGCCGTTCCATCCGGCGCAGTACGGTGTGCCAGCCTTCCGCTCGGTTGGTTCGTGGCGCGGTTACGAATACCCTCCGTAACGCACCAGCTGCAGTGGGTCTCGTTGGCGCTACGGCGAGGACTGAGCGGCCCTGCCGTGCCAGCCGCAAGCACCAGGCGGTCCATTCTGTAGTGCCACAGAAGCGCAGATCGATCCGCTATGTAGCCTAGCCAGTCACCGTGTTCCGTTTTTCCTTAATTCCACGCCGAGGGTAGCTCTTTGTAAATGTTAGCCCAGCACGCGCTGGAAGCCTTGCTGTGATGGTGTGCTGCTGGTTGGTGATGCATGCGGTGTGGTTGCTTGCAGGACGCCATCAAGTACGAGAACGGCCGGGAACTGCACAACTACAACATTGTCGTAGAATGGGCCAAGAAGCCGACGCGACCGGGGGTAAGTTACATTACAAGGCCGTAAGTCCTGCAGTATGGTGATTATTGGTGTCGAATCGTTTGCAGTATGATCGCGACGACCGCGGTGGCGGCCGGGGTGACTACGGGCGGGGCGGATCGGGTCGCGGTGGATCGGGACGGGGCTACGGGCGGGATGACCGGGATCGGGACTATCGCCGTCGCTCGCGTTCTCCTCGCGACGACGACCGTGACCGTCGACGGTAAGACGCCAGCATCACGCAAAAATCGGCTAGTTATTAACGATATTTACACGGTTAACAGACGTCGATCGCGCAGTGCCGACGAGGACCGGAGCAGCAAGCGCCGCCGCAGTCCCTCCCCCGCGCGCAACGGCAAGGCGGACGGCAAGGGCAGCCCGGACCGCCGGGCCTCTCCGGACCGGTAAGTGGCGTCTTTTTGCTCCTTTCTTCACGACTATCGATGATGAAACGACAGTAACGGGATGCGGTGTGGTGTTTCCCAACAGACGGGACATTAAGCGACGGGACAGCGGATCGCGGTCGCCGGCCGGGAACGGCGCGGGAGCGGGCGGCGGGTCCGGCTCGGGTGGTCAGGGTAAGGAAGGTGATGCACGCGCTTCACGAGGATCGGGCTCACGGTCACGTTCGCCTTCGCCCCGACAGGAGCGTGGTACTAGCCAGGAGCCCAAGCTGGAGACGGAGGAGCTGGAGGAGGAGCCCGGCAAGGCGCCGGCGCTGACGGAGGGGGACGGCGCCGAGCCGGACGCGGACGACGGGGAGGGGTCGGCGCGGGGCGCCTCGCGCAGCCGCAGCGCCTCCGCCACGCCCTGAACTCACCTGTTTTCCTGTTTTATATTATCTCTTGTTCCCGTTTTCATCCCCGCCGCTTTGCACTGACGCTGAGCACCGCCTCGTCCCCGCCTGACCAGTCCTCCTCCTTGTCCAGTTGCCGAAACAGCCCCGCTTTCCATCCTTCGCCCCTCCTCGTTCCAGCGCTCGCCCATGATCTCCCGCGGACGCTGTACAAGTGCGAATCATTTGTTTGTTTCTCTGTCATAATGACCGTCTTTTTTCTTTCTGTGTACTGGCATTGCCTGTCTCTTCGGCTAACCGTGATTATTCTTGTTTTGTTATTCGGTTGCTGTCCGTTTCGGCCGGCGCGCAGTCCGTTGTTGGGGACTGCTGTCGGCGGTGGAGCTTGTGTTGTTGTATGGCTGTATGATATTGTACGGGATGTTTGACAGGTCGGCCGTGACGGGATGGTTGTCTCAGTGCCGAATCATATGCAGTTGACTGATTCATGATGCGTTTTGTTTATAACACGACGGGATGTATTCAGCTGCCTGTATCGGCGCTGACGTACGCGGACTGTTGAGTTTCATTCGGTATTTCAGCACGCGCACTCAGAGAAGGTATTAGTGTAGAGACGGCGGTAAGTAGAAGATGCGAAGAGTATGGAGGCACGAAAAAATAAAAATTGATTAATTTTCGTCGATAAGGTACGAGTATACAGTGTGAGTGCACACATCGCAGTGCCGTCATATTAATTATAATTTAATCTTTATGCAGTATTACGTCACGTTTTCTATGCATGCCATTGCATGGTTTTAACGGTTGGTTTTGTATCAGTCTGCTGCGAAACTACCAGTTTAAATTTCTTGGTGATTTCGTATAATGTTTTCTCAATTTTATACAACAAGAACAGTTGGATAAAGAGATTTTTTGTGGCAAAAATCAGAAGGGAGAATCGTTACGATGAAATTCGCTGTTAGACCGCTGCCGTACCGGGCGGTCGCAACGGCCGCAAGCACCGGAAGTGCGTGAATTTGCGTCATTTGAAAGGCTTAGCTTAAAGGTTTCCGTGCAAGATGAACTATTTCGAGCAGGAATGGGATATATACTGGTTAATATCAGGTTAGTATGAAGGAAAGGGCTGATTTTGCGTTGGGGCTGCGCACCTCGTGCGAGTGTGAACAGGACGCAGTGCGAGTGGCGTGTCACTGCCCGTGCCGTCTCGGTAGTCGGTACTGCATGGGAATTCGGACGCCATGCAGGAAATTCCGCATAATACGGTATATATGATTACAATTGTGCGTACGTTGGGAGTACATATATGTAGTAACACATTGCAGTATGCAGTACTACACTAATAGATTATACTTTATAGTATAGTACTGCCATGCATAAGTATATACATGCAGCTTCACTGCATAAACATAAGGCATAATTAAACTAGACACCACACTAACGTAACCTATACAATACAGCAACAAAAAAATAACGACATAATGCGGCCGGCTAGCCGCAAACTTATGTATTATCGTTATTATCATTACTTCTGAAACATTAAGTACAGCGAATTTCATCAAAACAAAGCACAGCCGCATTTCCGATTGCTTTGGTATGCTGCCATACCGGGCGGTTGCAACTGCTGCAAGCACCGGAAGTCTGCATATCCGTTATTTAAAATGTTCAGCTGACGAGGCTCTCATGCAACATAAGCCTTACGTTGGAAAGGAATGCGCTTTTCGCAGGAGTACTGTGTATATTGGTTAATTTTATATACGATTACTGATCTGCGTTATCATGGCACGTATTGACAGGGACGCTGTGGCGGTACAGTATTAGTATGCGTCGATAGGTGCTGCTGTATACAGTGTGCATATACCGGCACAGGTAGCGTAATAGGACACCGTCGTGTACCGATTAGACGGGCTTGAATTGATCTGCTGCGAGTGTGCCGACGGCGGTATCGATTAGCGTTAACGTTATAGGGGAAAGTGCTGTGAGGAGAGCCGTTTATTTGTTTTGCTGTATTACACAATCCTCTACAGATACTCGGCAGGTGGAGAATAATTCAGGCGTCCTGATGGATCACGCCATCGGCAAAGGGGAACTTGGGAATACTCGGCGGCGCTGTGCCTGGCTGTGCCTTATAAGGCACTGGCTGCAGCCTACAGGTGCAGAGAATGTTAATGCCGAATTGCCGACGATCGCGACATCCCGTCGGATCGGTAGATGCGGATCCCGTCGGCTGATTTATCCATGCTTCGCTTTACATTATACATGCGATTAGTGTGGCTATATACACCATATTAATGCTGTTCTTATGTACCGATTATCTTCCTGCAGCAACTAAAGCCAGGAATCTATATCCTTGTCGACTCATTCTCATCGATAAGTGCGGAAGATCTGCGTCCTAAATCATTTTCTCCTCGCTATACTGTTTGTTAGGCGTGTTGCATATATATTGCAGGCACAGTATAATACAGCGTGTGTTGCTGTATATATGCAAGGAAATGATCGCCCATAAATGATTATATGCATATGAGTATATATATCTCTTGTATACGCGTAGTAATTAGTGATGGCAGCGCGGACGGAAGTTCGTTGTCTGCTGTGAACCCTGATTATTCCCGCTCCAGCTGTTTGTACCGGTACAGTCAATTAATAACGGGCAAAGTTAGCGTCATAATCCTCGGTTAGGTCAACAGCCAACGGGACTTGCAAGCTTCGGTTGCCTGTCGGCGTGCAGTTAGCGCCGTTTTGTCTGCTGAAGGATGGCCACGCCCTCGGCCCCTCCCGAGGAGCCCAGCGGAACGCCGCCCGCCCTCCGTCCGGCGATAGCCGCCGGCACGGGGGACGCCCGCCGCGGACGGCGGGATTCGGCGGGCGCGGAGAGCAAGCCCGCGGCGCCGGCGCCCGCCTCGGGGATGGGCTACCGCGACGCCGGGAGTGATGGCGGCGGCAGCAGCCCGGCGGCGCATCTGCCGGTGGGACGCGCCTTCTCCACGCCGCTCTTCAAGGGCATCACGGCGGCCCGCGGGGGTAGCAAGGACCCCGCCAACAAGGGTGCGATAGGCCGGCTGGCGGCCGGGGATCTGGTGGCCTTGTGGGAGATCAAACTGTCGGACGGCCTCCACCGGGTGGTGAGTACGAGTGACCTCGTGCTTTAGGATGTCTAAATTGTCACTTCCGGCGCAGGAGTTTGAGCACGGGACCACTTCCGGCAAGCGGATTGTACGGGTGGACGGGAAGGTGAGCGTGCTGCGTTGGCATGAGCGTGACGATGCGGAATGACGTATGTGCGTGTTGAATGCAGGAAGCCAAGCGGCAGAACTACATGTTCAAGTTGGTGGGCCGCGAGCACTTCAGCATCGGCAACGTGCCCTGCTCCGTCAGCATCGAGGCGGCGCCCAACATGCGCTACCTGTACAAGCTGGACGTGGACGGCCAGACCTACGAGCGCTACGTGGAGACTACCGGCCGCGTCTTCCGCATCTGGACGCTCCCGCTGCAACCACCCACACCGCCGACTGCCGCCGCCGAGTCACGCCAACAACAGCCGCCGGCGAATGCCGCGTTCCTGCAGATCACTCTCGGTACGCTTATTGGTTGAACGCGCCAGAGCGCCGCCTGCCACGGTGGCTGCCGTTAACTGATTTGATTGTACCTGCAGACACACAGACTCTGGACGTCCGCGTCAATGGCCAGCTGGTGGACACAACGGTCAGTGTACTGCCAGTCATTTGCTTTTCCAATCCGCCGAATAAAGCGAGCGATCGAGTTGCATATTACTGTATATGTAGCGCCGCCGGCTTTATATATCTGTACATAGCATTTCCATACAATTACATACGCGTATTGATTATTTTGTCTACAATCTGACTAAATGAGGAGGCTACGGTCTATGTTAAAAAGCCTGCGAACAGCCTTTTTTGCCCGCTGAGGCTGGTTGATCAATGCAGCCTCTCTGTTGTGACTATAAATAGACCGAAGACAGCGGATTCCAGTGCTGCCAAAAAGCGCAAGCTGAATGCTACCTCGCTGTATCGATCGATCGGCACATGTGCGTGTGAGTGGGTTAATCCGCTCGCATTCACTTACACGCGTATGACTGTGGCTGTGATCTGTGCGCGTACTAGCTGTACAAACTGGTTTTCGCTGTCTTCGCTACAACGCATACCCTAAACCCGTAGCTTCCTTTCTTGCTCGCATTGTATTTATAATTATTTTTTATATACATATGTACCGGTATGTATACAATTACATACGCGTATAGATTATTTTGCATATTTATAATTATTTTTTATATACATGTATACCGGTATGTCTGTATATATACTCGTATATTACCGGCATACATGATTCGTCGTTCGTCGCAATATACTCCGTATATCCAGCCAGGCTGATTGGGTGTATGTGGTAATAATGGCGTTTAGTAGGAGTTTTATTAGGTATTACTAGCACTGTATAGCTGCACGTTGTAGAGTGCCTTCACGGACACGGGCTCGCAGCTGAGCTTCCTGCTGGAGGCGCCGGGACTGGCCGGCAGCGGCGAGCAGGGCGTGTGCAGCGCCTGCATCCGCGTCAGCACGGCCAACTTCCAGCGGCAGGGCCTGGACGCCGTCCTCATACTCGGCGACAACGACCCGGAACAGCCCATCCTCCCCGACTAATTCAGTCATCAGGGAGCAGTTCGTGACGTGCACCTAAATGCTTGCACCTACGCCTTTGTAATTCAGCAGGCCCATGGCGTCCAGCGAAACTAAAGGTCACAGCCCCCCGATAATGCTGCAGTCGTGTACTGCGCCCCGCCCGGCTCCGCCTCGTTGGGCCGCCTTGCCAGTGCTATATATACCTCGATGTACGTCGACTGCCTTATACTACCGGCCGGCCAGATTATTGCGTTAATTATGAGACGTATAACTGTCGAACGCGCCCATACCCACTCAATAGTATATACTATACTATATAAGTGTATAATAATTATGTTCCGCAATAGATATACAGAAAGTATTAATGTATGCGATTGACGATGAATTATTATGTACCGGTGCCTGTATAGAGATAGTACATACTGTAGTACATATCTGTACATGAGCTGCTCACCTGCTAACGTCCACACCAGTCAAACTATGATCCTGTCGATCAGTTCAATAAACAGCGTATTTTGCTGGCGGTCAGAATGAAACAGCGGTATTGCGTCTATCGTTATTCGCAACAATATGCAGTAATTAATTCGCTAACTACTGTAGTCGGCAAAAAAACGGTCAGAGCGTTTCTCTCCTCTCGTGACTGCCGTCCGCTGATGATCGTGACGCAACGGCAATTCACGTGAGAGGCGGATTCGTACGTAAATGCGTAAAATGGTTCTGATTAATTCTCAATATACGGCGATACTGTGGTTAGTGGGGATTATTTATGGCCGTACCAGCGTCACAATCGGCTAGAATAAATTTATTCTTGGCTTACTTTTCCTCGCCGACTCGGCAAAAATAGCACACACATCACGCAAACTGCACTGGTTTGTCATGGCGTCGTTACGGCTTGTTTACAAGTGGCAAGCGGCAAAGAACAAACTTGCGGCCACGCCCCCCGCATCCGATTGGCCGCGGCTGACGTGTGGCCGGCTGAGTCACGCGGGCCAACCGCTGCAGGTGACGAAACGGCGGCTTATCGTTTCATCAGTTGGCAGTGCGCTAACCGGCAGCGCTCGTACTCCGTTGACTGAAAGGGTATAAAAGTCACGAGCTGGCAGCGATTTTCACCATTCTATCCGTACTCGCCGTACTTGTGTTTCGTTTAATTTTGTTGGCATTAGTGGATTATTTTGTAATTCTCCTCCTTGGCCGTTCGTTAATCTGCCCGAGCGACGAAGTCCTGCCTGTCGCCGCCCAATAATTCCTGACTCGAGCCGGATACCAGCCAGAAGAAGGCATTCATCCTCGGTATTGCTCGGCCAGCGAGGGAAGCGAGGGAAGCGCGTCGCCAGGAAATGGATGCGCACTCTCACAGCCGCATCGATGGAAGCCAGCTGGCCAACGGCGCCAAGTGGACGATGGAGAAGTCCGATATAACCGTGCTTGCGTAAGTGATACTACCTGTTACAACCATCACCATATATACAGCAGTTATATACATGTACCTGCCTTCTGTGCGGGCGATCGCCGCCAGTGGCCAGTGGCCGGTATGCGCCGAATCGTGATTCCGGACTCACACAGCCCGGCCATTTCCGCCGCCGTTGCCCGGCACCCGCCTTCCGCTGGCTGATAATCAGCTGCGGCAATGGCGCGCAGGTGTGCCCTGCCGCTGACACGGCAGGCCATTAATCACACCGACCGCCAGCACTAACTAATTCGCCACTTGTTTTCTCCTCGCGCGATACGCAACGGCTGACTAACCAGCCTCGCGGACGCAACTGCGCTGGTTATGCAGCGACATTATTACTGCGGAATGCTGTTTAGCGGTAAACATGTCGTTAATCACCCGCCTTCTACTCAGTAATTGCCGCTCATTTCCACGACTCTCCGGCGACACGTGCACGTGACGCCCGTCATCAGTTTACTTTATTCGCCACGCAGTAAAAACCGTCATTTCCGGTCGGCGTACCGCATACACTTCGTGCATATATATATAAATTTGTATATACAGTATATGTACAGCATATATATGTACGGTGTAATGAATTATACTCAGGTTATTAGTGATGATTTGGTTTGACTGCAGTTGGCAGCTGGCGGAGAAGGAGGACGACGAGCGTCCGGAGGAATCGGCGACACCTTCGCCCTTCCAGGTGGGCAACCGGCACGTGCGGTTGGCCTACGCGCAGCAGTGCCCCGACTGGCTGTACCATCTGGGCCTGCTGGTGGACCCGCAGACCACGCCGGAGATGTTCGGCGACGTGCGCTACGTCTGCGTCAGCGGCACGGCCAGCCGCGCGCAGGAGCTGGCCGTCTGCTGTCTGCAGTCCCTCCAGATGCACATGCCCGTCGGCTACGCCATGGCCGACATCTGCGGCGGCCACGCCCGTTACGCCCTCTTCAAGGCCGGTCCGGTGCTGGCCGTCAGCGTAAGTGCACCCGCTTAATACACTCCCAACAGCGCGTTGACCCCGGGATGCGTTGCAGCACGGGATGGGCAACCCCAGTCTGAGCATCATGCTGCACGAGGTCCTCAAGCTCCTGCAGTACGCCCGCGCCAAACGCCCGGTGACCGTCATCCGCCTGGGCACCTGCGGCGGCATCGACGTCCCGCCCGGCACCACCATCATCACGGAGAAGGTCTTCAACGGGCTGCTGGAGCACTACTACGAGCAGTACGTGCTGGGCCGCGCCGTCCGCCACCCGGCCATCCTGGACGCGGGTCTCCGGGCCCGCCTCCTGGAGGTGGCTGGCCAGCCGGACATGGACGTCCCGGTGGTGGCCGGCAACACGCTGTGCGCCAACGACTTCTACGAGGACCAGGCGCGTCTCGACGGGGCCTTCTGCGACTTTGACGCGCAGCAGCGTCTGGACTTCCTGACGCACTGCGCCACCGCCCACGGCATCCGCAACATCGAGATGGAGTCGCTGTGCTTCGCCGCCATGACGCACCGCGCCGGATTACGAGGTACGTCCGGTTTGATCTAACTGATCGCTGTGTTTTTCCGCCTATTACGGAATATCCGTGATGCGTTGGTTCTTGGCTGACACAACTTCCGGTTGACGCAAGGTCACCGCAAGAGCGATGCGATAAAATGATAAGCGGTTGTTTTCTCTTGGCAGCGGCGGTGGTGTGCGTGGCGCTGCTGAACCGCCTGACCTCCGACAAGGTCACCGGCGACGTGGAGGTGCACTTCGAGGAGTGGCAGCGCCGGCCGCTGCGGCTGGTGGCGCGTCTCATCGCGCAGGAGCTGGCCGGCGTCCCGGCCGCGGAATCCCCGCCGATCGTCGCCGAAGCGCAACTGCAGGCGCTGCGGGCGGCGGTCAGCAGTGTGGCCGTCGGGCCAGCCGCCGGCGGCGTGCCGGGCAAAGGGCAACTCGTGCCGGAGGCGGAGCCGGTGCCGGCGCACCTGGACTCGGGCCACGAGTCGCCCGTCCTCGATCCGGCCAGTCCGGCGCGCGGCCTCTCGCCCACGCGCCTTATCTAATGCCCATTATCATCGCGATCGGCCGATCGATTGGATTGTCCAGCAACGGCCGATTGCCATCGCGATTTATCGGCCGAATGGATCGCGCGTGCTGCACCGTACAACAACACGTTACGCCGACCTTGCCATCATCTGATAACGCGCGTATACGGACCTGCTCAGTCATTACGCTGCCTTTCACGATGCACTCTCTTGCATAATTCACCGGATAATTGCTCCTAATACAATACGATAATATTATTGTTATTCTTATTTATTATACATGTCGGCCGCCCCATTTGTACATATCACTCGCTCTCTCTGTTTCGCACACGATCTTTACCGTGAAAACTGTGCAAATATTATTTATTTATTTATTGAGCAAATGCGTTCCACTTTCCGTAATAAAATTTTTACGAATTTGTTGCGCTGACGTAAATTGCCTTCGTTTACACATTAAACGTCTGTGTAATCAAGTGCCGGTAAAGTTGACCTTTCGCTTTAGCGGAAAAGCATCCATTACGCAGCGGTGGTTGCACGGTTGAATTGCCTTGTCAAAACGACGCTAATCCTGTCGTGTACGCTTGACGGGAACGCAGTGGAGCAGCAGCGAAAACACACCGTCAAACGCTCAGCAGACCACTTAAACCGCAGTCAATAATTAAGGCCACGTACGGCGTGTGTTTGTTCAAGCGACGGGAGCGGCAAACCGTGTTGATTGTGCACTGAATAAGCGGTGCGCCGCCGCGGGCGGTTGCGGCCGGCGACAGCCGTGTGCCGCTTTATATAGATTGTTCGTCAGTCGATGGTAACAGCGCGGTGATCACTAGCGTCTCCCGTATTGACGAGAATCCGGGCGATCGATGCAGCGACGGCATGCGCTGCCGGAGAACACCGTGGACCCGCTGATCGATCGCTCCACGCTTTCATTTGCACATGGCACGAACCGCAGCGCACGCGATTACCGCCCAGCGTGCCGTGTACGTTGCGCAGCGGGACGCCGGTTGCACTGCCGAAATTCAGGGCGCGGATTGTTGCGAGCGTTGGAGATACGTGTGACCTTTATTCTTAAGTATGCGGCAGCAGTACAGTACGTAGCAGATAGAATTCCTTTAAAGCCTGCAATTTATAAATTATACCGGTATATATAAGGACATGGTAGCCACTTCCGGTGGCGCTTTAATGCCGTTCAGCCGCTTTCGCTGTCGTCAAGTAGTACGTGAGGGGGACAAAGTAGCCATCCGCTGCACTTAGCCGGCACAGGCGCACTCCGCCAATCCGCGCTGACAAGTGCTCCCCGCCCGCCGTCATCGATCCGTCGACAGATACAACGGCCGGAACGTGAGGAGCGCGGTTAAGCGTCGACGATGCCGGCACACGTTAGCCCCGCCCACTCCGCCGCCGTACCGCCGTGCGGCAGTACAGGCAGCCCTACGTGCTCAATCGTCGATCGGATCGGATCGGATGGGAGCGGATGCCGTGAGATAATCGGGTCGGGAAGCCTTACGTAACTGCTCGCTTGTCGCACGTATTCTGTACGGTACTTACAGCATAAGCACATATACACACGGCCGTGTTGCTGTTTGTGGTGCGGTGAGTGCGCGCGCGTGCCTCTTAGTCGGGAATTTGCAGTCGCGAGTGAGTGTACGTGCGCTGTTAGCCCGGATTGATCAGCTAATCGTTAATGAGTGAGGCGTTTTATTGTCGGGATAGCATCAGGTAAAGCCCACACCAGCTGACACACTTTTCCGGCTTACGTTAATTGCTCTCTGCGCCGCTCATAATTAAGCCGGCGCTGTTTCCCTTGTTACCCGTTCTCTTGTTTCTTCCTACAGCAGACTGCAGTGTAAGTTATCGCTACTGCATAGTGCATATACACCTTGTATAATTAAGCATATATTGGATAATAATTACGGTATTATGCTTACATTTAGCAGCGGTTAATTGCATCGTCCGGCTGAGTGCAGTCTGTTTTCCCAAGACTTGATTGCGTGTGGCGCGTGTATATATGTGCAGCGCAGACGCATTCGTATATGCACATACTGCCGATTGAGTGAGCATTGAAAAGCACGAGCGACACGACCGCAGCGGCAATTAAGCGGGCAGCAGACGAGGAGACAAGGAGCGGGGATATATATGCATTACCAAGTGGAGCGAAGGATGAGTGTTTAGCGAGCGACGCACGACAAGCGCGCATCGGATCCGACGGGAGAAAATTGGCTTGATTTGTTGGGAAGTGCGCAGGAGTCGGGCGCGCATCACAGCCAGTAATTAGCCGGCCGACCTAGCCGGTTGCGGCGATGCAGCCGCCGCGGGCGCCGCTCACCGTTGCCGTCCAGCGGGAATAGCGCGGAATGTGAGCCCGTCTCCGCCACCGACGCGCCGGCCTCGATGGCTCCGCGTCCTGCCGGCAGTGTCCGCAGCCGCACCGCTTCCCGCCTTCTCCGCCTCGCCGTTCCGCTACATCTCTCCGCGTTGCCCGCACCGCCCGGGACGCCGCTTCCGCAGAGGACAAAAGGGCGGACCACCCGGCCGCTGCGGCCGGGACCCCCGCCCACGGGCGGCGTCCACCGCCGGCCCGGCCGGACACCGCCGCCGGTGCCCGCGGGTGGGTAACCGCTGTCGCGTGTCGGCACGTTTTTGCATTTATTTGGCAGTGCTCTTCATATAATTATATATATCTGAATCTGATACGCCGCCGTCCATTGCCCATCGCGCGGAGGATCGAGGATGCTGCAAGTGCTGGCACAGACCTTCTTCACTGTCTGGGGTAAGCACTGGCGTACGCATCCATTAGCGGTTAATTAAGTTAATTAAGCGGCCGGTAAATGGCCAATTAACGGCCGCTGTACGTAGTATGGGGGCATGTAGTACAGTGTGCCGGCAATCAGCTGTACAGCAGCCAGTTGGTTACAGCGTAAATTGCAGCTGGAAGCGGAAATGTAGCGGTAAGTGAGCCGCGCGTTGAATGCATCCCGGCCTGGTGCGGGCTATTGTCAACGGCAGCCGAAGGAGCGCACGAGCGGGACAACTGTGCCTGCCGATGCGCGGGATACATGCCTATATGTCATGTATACGTAGGCGTCAATAAAGCGTTCTTTGATCCGGGCCTGCCTGTTCTGTTCGCTCCTGTCAAGCGTGCATTTCCCCGGCTTACAATCCGGCTGAGCGGCGTGAATGCCGGCTTGAGTTTGAGTGGAGGGGATTTGTGGCGGCGTTAGCGGTGATCGATATCGGCGTGCGTTTAGTCGCGGTGTCGGTGCTTATAATGCCCGGTCGCAGCCGCAGGTTGCCGTTAAATGCCAGTGCGGTGTGATTGTGTTGTCCAGCGCGGGATGATGAGTGGGCGCCGGCTTAATGGCTGCTATTGCAGCGGGAAGAAAAGGGGACACGGCAAAGGGAAGAAGAGCGCAGCTTACATAACCTGCGGCCGCTTCTCGGTGCTCTCCACCGGCATCGATACTTAGACGCCGTAATGGGCCACTGGCAGTCAATTGCGCCGATAAGCCGCCTGCCGGTAGCTGAATAGCCGGGATTGCCGCGTGAATGGCCCGCATACATATCACTGCCGCCGACGATTGTTGGCTCAACAAACACAACACCGACCGCCACCATGATCCGGCCGGGAGAAAGCGGGCCAATCAATGCAGCCCATGCTGCTCCCGTTCCCACGCACGTAGCGGTGTGCTGTTCGTCGGGGGAATACCATATTCCCTTTCGTAGATCAACAAAACAACCGATCCACTGCATTGTGCAGCTGGCATATATAACACACACCTATTGACAGTAAAGGTCACTTTTTATTTTCCACTGCACCACCGTGCAGTGCGTTAAATACTGTAAAAAATATTCATGAAAACTTCAAAATAATCGGTCTGGCGTTGCAGCTGTCGTCTACCGACCGGAAACCGTGTGCGACGTGCTGGACTGCCTGCAGTCGCGGCGTCCCTGCCTACAGGGCCTGGCCTGCAACTCCCTGATGGCCTCCATCCCGCGCCTCTGCGGCCCCACCGACAGTCAGTATCCGCGGTGTATCGGCACCCGTGACCTTTCACTGACGCGCCCGTTGCTCTCTTGCAGACGAACACTGCTACAGCCACCAGCGCCACGAATGCCGCGAGACGCTGTTGCGCTTGAAATCCTCACCTGAAGTGCAGCACAACTGCTTCTGCGCCGACGACGACGACCACTACCACGACGATGCCGGGTCGACGCAAGTGGCGACGAAGAGCGGCGCCGGTAGCGCAGGCAGTTCGCGGAGCTGTCAGGATTGGTACAACCTGGTGATGAATCATCCCTGCCTGTACCAGCAGCAGATCCATCCGGCCTTCCTCCCGCAGTACGGGCGGCCCGGCGCCGCCGCCTTCAGCTTCGACCTGGAGCTGGCCAACCAGCTGCTGCTGCAGCGCCACATCGTCCTCTCCTGCACCTCCGCGCTGCACGCCTGCCGCAAGAGCCCTCTGTGCCGGCGCGTGTATGACGAGTTCCGACGACGGTGCCGGCTAAAGGACGACCGCTGCCGCATGACCAAGTAAGCATACTTTCACTGCGCACGCAGTGCACAACATACAGCCGTGTGTTGTCCTTAGTGCGGCGTTGTGCTACAATTCCTACGAGCTGATCAAACTGACCCCGCTGTGGAAGTGCCTGTGTGACCGTCCCTCGGAGAAAAAGTGCCTCCGCATACAAAAGTCCATCATCGCCAACGCCTGCATCGGTAAGGCCTGCTTAACGCTTGCCATATAATCCCACTTCCGGTTGACGTTCGACCGTTAATTATAGTTGGATCTTTCCCGTGGTTGTTGAAAGAGGACGAGGAGACCACCACCGTCGCCCGTCCCACACGACTCCGGACGACCATCACCACCCGGCCGCCGTACATCCCCGGCACCACCCGTCGCGCGCCGCCTCCCGCCCGTCCCGTCCAGGTCATCCTGACGTCCACCGCGCCGATCCTACCGGACGACAGCTCCGTCACCGACCCCGACATCGACGGTACTGAGGCCGAGGAGACCACTGCCGCTACCCTTACGGACCCGGACCTAGAGCTGGAGCCGTATCCCGGACCGGATGAGGAGTTCCTCCTGTTCCCCCGTATCGCACTCTTCCTACTGCAGCCTTTAGTTGAGACCATCCGCAACGTCCTGGCTCAAGAGTATGAAATGGAGACGTTGCCGCCGCCTCCGACGACTACGCCCCTCCCGGAAACGGAGCCAGTCACCGACAGCGACGGGCAGCCGGTGGACGGGGCAGAAACCGAGCCGGGCGCGATGGAGGCGACGGAGCAAGCGGTGGTCACCGTTGAACCGGAAGGGACGCCGCCATTGCCCACCCTGGCGTTGTTCACCAGTAAGAAAGCGGTGACGAGCGCGGGGGTCGCTCAAAAAGGGTCCAGCGCCGGCGGAACCACTCCCGCTCGGTCGACGCGGCCAACGCGACCGCCGTGGCGCATCACCGTCACCTCCAGCGCCCGACTTCCGGCTTCGCGAACGACCGCAGCGTTAAACAACCGGACGATTTCCACGACGACTTTCGGAAAAACGCCGACGGCCGGTCGAGTGTCACCGGCCAGCACCTTCCGACCATCGGTACGAACGCCAACGGCCGGCCGCTCGACCGCGGGTCCGCTCAAATCCACCGGCGAGACTGCCACACCCATTTTCGGTCCGAGAACAACAGCCGGTGACCCGGACAGTGTCACCGATTCGTCCGCCGAACAGACCAGCGCCAGCCCGGACGACGGTCTGGAGACGGTACCGGTGACCACGACCACGGAGCCGGACGAACCCATCGTCTACACGCCGGATCCGCGCGGACTGCACTCCGGCGCCTGCCTAACGCAGATGGAGGCTTGGAGCCGCCAGCAGCCGGCCTTCGCGGAGGCCCTGACGCAGTACCACAACGCGTGTCGTTGGCACTCGGACCTCAACGAGACCTGCAACGCCGCCGACTGCCTGGACGGGGAGGTGCGGATGCAGCGCTGGATGGGCCGCTGGATGGCGCTGTGCCGCAATCTGTCCTGCGAGGGTAATCCGCACTGCGAGCAGCTGCTGCAGATGCTGAACCCCGGTTGTGTCCACGTGGCCGCCTTCCTCGAGGAGATGGACACCGGTCAGTCGGCGTATAGTCGGCCCAGTGACCTTTTAACGCATATTCGGTAATTAGCCCGTTGACCTTTAATAATACCGCTGTGTGTTTAGAGTTGACGATCACGTGCCGCGACATCCGGCGCAACATCGTGCTGCAGGTGCCGCGCGGCCACCACCGACGCGTGCACCTCTCGGAGACCTGCTCGCAGTTGTGCACGTGCGATGTGCAGTCGACCGGCGCCAACCGCAACCAGCGCGACCAGATGACCTGCTACAATCTGCCTTGTGTCGAGTCCAAGGACTGCCTTAGCGACTACGCCAGTAAGTACACCGGCCTTTTCTTTTAAACGACCTCCGCGTTTCATTCTCCCGCTAAATTATATTGCAGCGTACCCTCCCGGCTCGCCGGCTTATCGTGCCTTCCAGGGCGCCTGCGTCTGCTACGCCTCGCGACTACACTGCATTCGCCCGTACAACTACACTGTCGGCAAAGGTAACTTCATGCTGTATTACTTGCTGCTCCTGTCTCGAAGTGGGCGTTAATTGCAGGGGCGTGGCTGTTCATGGGATACAGTGCCTTGGAGGAGAGCCTCATGCTACCCTACACCAACGTCTCCCTAAAAACCCACCTACTGGATCACGTCAAGAAGTTGCCCTATCCGCAGCGACGCACGGTAAATTAAACGCAGCTTCTCCGGAAGTCGTGACCCGTAACGGCACAATGATGTCAAATATAAATGGTGTTGGTTGCTTTTATAGGACACGTGCCTGTTCAGTCAGGTGCCCAGCGATCCAGACTACATCGTGCTCAAGGCCGACCTCTTCGAGTGGGACAACTCCAGCGAGAACGGCGGGGTCGCCTCACCCGGCACTCTCGCCAACGAGGTCAATCCAGAATAATTTCACCAATAACCAGTGCATTTTATGCAATAGTGTTGTGTAATTATGCAGGCTGCCTGCGACAAGTTCTTCAACTGGCTGGCCAACCAAATCAGCGAGCGCCGGCCGGCCGTCCGACAGGACCTGCTGCTGGCGCTGGTCAAGCTGGCCGAGGCGGAAATAGCGCCGCACACCGCTCCTAACGCCGCCGGCAGCTGGCGGCGGCCGGTGCGCGTCGGCCACCCGCGGGGGGCTCTTCAGGCCTGGCTGCTGCATCTCCCAGTGGCCTTGGCGCTGACCTTTCCACTCCTTCACTACCGACACACGTGCTCCCTTCTCTGATACGCAGTGGCGGGACTTCCGGTCCCCGGGTACTCCCGACGCCTGGGCTGGGCCTCCCCGTTCGGCCCGTTCCCCGTGCGCGGTGCCCAGTAGTCCTGCGATCGCGTTTCCGGAGCCGGATGGCCCAGATTCTCGGCGATGAGAAAACAGCGTTGATTATCTGAACAGTCGTTGATGGAGTTGCGCTGCCGCTGGTGCCTTGCGCTTTCAACTGATCGGTAAAGTGCACCGTGACCTTTACCTGCCTGACCTGCTGTCTCTTTTTTCCCACTGCCTCGTAAATGAATTATCCTGAATCTCCTGTTTCAGTTTATATTGAAATGTTTATATTGCTCTGCCCAGTGATAGCTCGTCTGCATATATATATGCCGGATCGAATTGGCTTTAGACTGTGAGCGGTGTTGATCAGCGGTTGAATTTCTTTCCTGTGCACCGTAGATGCGCTATAACATGATTATGATAGAACATTCAGATGAAGAACGGTTTGTAAATGTCCGTAATTATGCTGACGCCGATGCTAATAACGTCATAATTATTATGATTCCGTACAATTCCGGAGAACATTCACCGGCACCCGCAAACGGTTGGTATGGCACGGTGAGCCGTGAACGTTGCTAACCTCAGTAAGAGCGTGACTGCCAAGTGCCCACTGGCTGACTCGATTCGGGCTTGAGTGTACAAACTGCCCAACATATGCCAGATCTCCACGTTTAATGAAGTCTGATATGAAATATGAACAGATTTAGTTAACGATACAGCGGACTGTCAACTGTCACGTCTACGCTTGACCTTTACCTAATTCCATTTCAGAACAAGCCTTTTCAGACTGTAGTCGACCGGATTGCAGTGCATCGAGTTAATCTTCGTAAAATCAGTTAGTTCACTCATAAGCCTCAGTGATCCACACCGAAGCAGATGCCGGTGGCCGGAAAGAAGCTGATATATCTGCGCACCAATCGTGTCCTTCTAAATCATAACATGCAGCATCGACCGCTAACTACATTATACTTATTATCTATATACTATATGTATATGTACAAGTATACATGCATATTATATCTATATCTATATGTGTACATGAATATGTATACATGTATACATAATACATGTATACATGTATATTATTATTCAGGCACTTAACACAAGTACACAACTACGACATACTGCCTGAATACAGGATTGTTTTAGGTACATGGTTAGTAGTACTTAGCACTTGCTAGTGCTAATCGTAAGAATGTTATCTTGTCAGTACAGTCGTCGAAGACAATGATTTTTCCGCAATGGCATGTTTGTATGTCAATGGATTGTTGGATTAGTGACTGCAAATATTGGATCTAATAATACTGGTACTGTCTATGGTCATAACAAATTTAATGCGTATACGACCACGTCAGTATGCAGTGCGTACCTGCGGCTGTACCGGCACATACATACACGTGCTGCATAGTTTCATGTGCAGTATAATTATTATGTCGGCCATAATTGAATATCGTTGATGCGCCAACGAATGTCAGCTGACTTGCAGCTGCTGCATGTCGTTGACAAGCAAATGAAGCAGTAGGCCCGGTTATAGTCCACGCCGATAACATATAATCTGCCTGCCAGTTTCGTAGGTTTCTTAGGTTTCTTAATGCATCTGTAGTGTCACTGTCAACGCACCCTACATCCGCGGCAGTCTTCTTGATGAAATTGACAAATAAATAATCCATTCACTGCGCCCATTAACAGGCATTCTCTTATTACCTTGCCCGATTATATAATCGGCAGTCGTGCGTGCAATGTTGACGACGGTCAGTGTGTTGGTGGGGAGCGCGGCCTTCCTGGCGGCGGTGCTGTACTTCTTGCAGCGCTGGAGCAGCTCGGCGCCACGGCGGCCGCCCGCGGGCGGAGTGCTACCGCCGCAACCACCGGGCTGGCCGCTGCTCGGCAACCTGACGCTGATGCTCAGCCGCCAACGCCACCGCCTCATCCAGGCGGCCGGCAGCCAACTGGGCGGCTGCATGACCCTCAAAGTCGGACCCAGGTAACCACGTACGAACCCTAAACTGCTAGCATTATGGGGCAAGGCGTCAGTTCGGCAGCGCACTTGTGGGTGGTTGCCATGGCGACTTTGTACTATACTGGAATAATTTGCTTAAAATATTGCTGCATGTATAATGATAGGCGCTCGGTGTGGATTACATCGTACGAGTACTTCCGGGAGGCCGTCATCAACCACGCCTGGGAGTTTGCCGGACGCCCAGCGGAAATGGCCGATCCGGAAATTAGTAACGAACTCGGTACGTCAGGCCGGCTGGTTTACTGGTAATAACGCTGAACTGACAAATTGCCGGTTAGGATGTGATGCTAAGTGACTAACCCGTGGTTCGGCAGGCATCGCGGCCAGCGGCGTCAGCGAGCCGGAGCGGGAGATCCGCAAGTTCACGCTGATCAGTCTGCGCAGCTTCGGCTTCGGCAAGTCCAGCATGCAGGAGACGATGCTGCGCGAGGCCGACGAGCTGGTCAGCGCCTTCCGCCGCCACTGCTCCACCGCCTCTGAGGGGCGGTTGTCCCAGCCCCGCCCCTTCAACCCCCGCAGTCCGCTGGCCAACGCCGCCGCCAACGTCATCTGCTCGGTGCTGATGGGCAACAACTTCCAGCAGGGCGACACCGACTTCCGCGTCCTCAGCGACGACTTGACGGAGGCCATCAAAAAGGTCATGCTCACCCAGCAGGCTCGCTCCTTTCCCCTCCTGCGCCTCTTTGTCAATCGCGGCATCAAGACCGCCAACGACACCTTCCGGCGCACACACGCCTTCTTGAAATCCATCGTTGCGGACCACGTCGAGCAGCACCAGCCGGGAATGCCGCGCGACTTCGTGGACGACTGGTTCGACAAGGCGGCCGACGAGGCGGCGAAGGCCGGTGATAAACCGCAAGGGAAACCGGTGTTCCGTGCTGAACACTTGCCGACGGTGCTGATGGATCTCTTTATCGGCGGTTTCGAGACGACCACGACGACCTTCCAGTGGTATTAATTGCGGGCGGAACAGCTTTCCCACGGTCAGGTTATACTGTGACCTTTCTCTCTCTTTTATAATTAGGATCTTCCTGATGTTGCTGCACAACCCGGACGCACAGACCAAGATCCACGAGGAAATGGAGCGCGTTCTGGGGTCCCGTTCGTCCACTTCCGGTCAGCAGGTGACGTTGGAGCAGCGCGACGCGCTGGTGTACACGGAGGCGGTCATTCTGGAGACGCTGCGCAAGTACCCGCTCATCCCCTTCGCCATACCGCACCTGTGCACGCAGACCACCAAGCTGGGCGACTACACCATTCCCCAAGGTAGGTGCTTACTTTCGGTGACCTTCGGGTCAACCTTTTCACTAACGGGCGTTTATTATTGCTTGAACAGGGACGCAGGTGATGCTGCACCTGTTCTCCATCCACCACGACCCGGCGCTCTTCCCCGAGCCGGAGCGCTTCCTGCCCGAGCGCTTCCTCGGGGCGGACGGCCGCCTGTCCGTCCCGGAGCAGTTCGTGCCCTTCTCGGCGGGCCGGCGCTCCTGCATCGGGGAGCAGTTGGCGCGCAAGGAGCTCTTCCTCTTCTTCGCCAACATTATGCTCAACTTCTCCATCCTCCCTGCCGCGGAAGGGCAACTGCCGTCGCTCAACGAGAACGACGGCATCGTCATGTACCCCGATCCCTACGAAATCATCCTGCAGGAGCGCTGAGCACTGAACAGTACCGGTCTCGCATCCAAGATTTTGCAAAATATGTTGTTTGTACAACGTGCAGTATAATACGTATTATGTTCTGCTAAAAGCAGTAGCAATAATGCCGCTTTCGACAGGCAGTAGAACGGGTGGACTGGTCGGCTGGTTAGCGGACGGCCGGCATGTCACATGACCAGTCGGTAAAGCCTGCATTATACCTGGTTTATTTGAATTAACAGAACAGTTACCAAAAACAACTCAGTGTCATTATTTTTCCGCTACCGGTAACTGTTTCACACAACTCCTCACAGCGAAGGGACTAGGCTCGTCCTTCCACTCCATGACCTCGCGCTCCTCTCTTGCAACGGAATCAGCTGACACACGTGCAGATACATGTGCGCCGGTACTCAGTACCGGCGCACAGGTTGTGCCGGTTGCGGATCTTGTACAGCCACAGCTGTGCTTCCTGGTGCTGCGGTTATACCCGGCCGTTGGTACAGAACCGGTGTTACCCGTTCCCGGTTACCGGTGATGGTTTGGAAGTCTGCATTGTTGCCGTTCATCAGCTTCTTCTGCTCGCGCTGCCGTACGATGCTTTAGCTGCACAGTAGTATTATACGAGTATGGTATGTATGGCTGGATGAAAGCGCATTGAATTGAAGGGTAATGCGCTGGGAATCGGCCATGTCCGGAATTGACGCGCTGGATCTTTTGGTAGAAAAACATGAATGTTGTGTTGTGTGTGGCTTGTGGGAGCTCTCAGGGTGTTTACACTTTACATTCACTTCCCGTTAACCAGAAATAGTCTTTTTCTACACCGAAATGCGTTGAAACTTTGTGGAGTTTTCGGACAGCCATAACCTCCGGAAACGGATGTTGTCCGCATAAACGGTTTTCACGTTAATTTTGTTACATATTTTATGGCATAGCATTCAGTAACAAAAGGTCACGGCACGGCTACACCGACCGGTCGACTGTGCTTCTATTTTTGTGATGTGGAACTGGTACGCATTAGCGGTAACCAAAGGAATGACAATGCGAGCTAGGGAATTGTTGTGGAGAAAGTACACACAAAGTACTAACGCGCTATGCGTAGTTTGCGCGTATTACGTACGTGTTATGACGTACGTGTTGTCTGTTCCGTTACGTACGACGTGCTGTTCTTATCTAACGCATTTGGATCGCTAATTGCATCCACGATTCTGGTTTAACTAATCAGTCTGAAGTTTCTGACTTCAACTAAATCTGTGAGCTTGTTTCTAGCTGAAAGGTCGTGTGACTCTAGGTTAGAAGGAAGTTCATATCTCGTTCTGTTCTGTTCTGTTTGCTTGTTCGTTCGGTTTGGTGATTAAACATTTGGGAAGTTCCTGAGTGTTTCGGTTTCGGTAACTTTCGTTAGGCACAGCAATCCGCTCGTACCTAGCGGAAGTAGGCAGTAGCACCACTTACGGAGTCCAGAGCATATTCCCACTCTACCAATTGAGTAGGTTTGGTCATCTAGTGCGGTTGTCGCGGTGCGACTTCCGCATATAGCATGTCAGTACAGACTGAAGTACAAAATATGTAACAAGGGTACTGATGGAAGTGAAGTAAAGAACAGCAGTATACAAATACAAGAAACAGCCTCGGCTACGCCTCCGCATTTCTTGTGATCCACGGCCACCTTACTTGATTTCGATTGAATATTTACTTAATAGTATCACATCTATATTTCGTCGTAATATGATCGGTACATCGCAATAGCGCGAAAAAACCGGATTTATGTAATAATTACAGATTCTCTCAGATCAGTATTAAATCTCTCCACTTGATCCATGATTCTCTGAACCCCAACCTGATGCTTCTCAGTACCGGTATCTCGGTCACCCGCTCACCTAATGAGCCCTGCCCACTAGAAAGGAGTGATAGCTCGGTAACTGTCTCACTTAGTGGGTGGGCTCTGTGCACAAAACAGTAGTGGTAGCTCGGTCACTCGTTCACCTGGCGGACTGTCTGCACTGGGCTATTGTGGTAGGGCGGGCAATCGTTACACTGGACAGCAGCGTTAGGTCGGTCACTTTTTCACCTAACGGGCTGTGTGCATTGGACAGTAGTGGTGGATCGGCCACTTGTTCACCTAGCGGGCTCCGTATACTGGGAAGCAGCGTCAGCTTGGTCTTAGAAGCTAGCTAGCGTTAGCGTTAGCTTAGAAGAAACAGATGCGGCTTCGCCTCCGCGTTTCTTGTAATCCAGGGCCGGAATCAATGAACAGCTCGGTTACACATTCACGTAAAGTTTTGAGCACTAGATAGTGGTGGTAGCTCGGTCACTCACTATGTCATTTATCGATTTTGCTCACTGGACAGCAATGGTATAGCTCGGTAATTCACGCACTCAAAATTAGCGATTTTGCTCATTAGATGGCAGTGGTAGCTCGGTATCTCACATTCAGTTAGCGATTTTGCTCACTGGACAGTAGTGGTAGGTCGGTAATTCACTCACTCAATTAGCGATTTTGCTCACTGGACAGAAGTGGTAACTTAATTTTATGGTTGGTGTTGTACGAAAATAAGTTCAATTTATTCCGTTTAATTTGCCTATTAATAATTGATGTGGGGTATTGTATCCAGGCAAACGTTTTCAAAGTTTAAAGGTCACCTTGAAACTGGGTTGGATCGTTTGCGGCATCGTGCCGGCACGATTCTGATGGGACGTATTCAGAAATAAAAGTCATGTGACGCAGTTCTGGACCACGGCCGATCTAACTGTGGTATCAGATTTTTTCAAAAGGTTTTGGTAAGACAGATCTCCAGACTGTGGGGAGGCCGCGCGTAATATTGATCATTTTCTTAATACAGGCAAACGCAACAGATCGGCTGACTCACAATCAGTCTGGCTTAGATAGTACGAGTGGGCATATCGCCTTAATAAATCAGCAGCTACTCTGTATATCTTAAAAATGAAACACTTACGATACGATTAACTATCTACGGTGTATAATTACGATTAATTATCTACGGTATATAGAAATCATTATGTGACAATGTACACAAATTAGGCGGCTACACACTGGCACAGTGTGATAACGCAATGTAATCAGCAAGTGAAAGTTTTCGCGCATGTACACGATGTTGGTGCCGTGTACCGGGTCACTTCCTTTAAGCGGAAGCATCCGATTTTCGAACTGGACAGAAAGCTCTACACAGAATCGTTCACTTGGTAGCCTAACCAGCGTTTCTGTACGGTTACTGCTACCGGCGGTGCGCTGTTAAGCGCGTCACCTTGGTGTTACTTAATAGTCCCCATAAATACATGTATCAATGGGTTAGTTGATACTAAAGCTACTCTAACGGGTAACCTTTACATGTTTTTAGTAGCGTTGTTTCGTCCTGACAAAAAATTATATCGCTAGTACTGCTACCTTCCAAGCATATCTCGATTTTTTTTGTTGAAGGTTTATATTAATGTTGCCTTACAGAGCAAACTGCCAGACGGACCGGTCTCATCATTCCTTCACAAAGTTTTCTTATTCAACTTACCGGGTGCAGTTCTTCTACCATGCAGGACATAAATATTTCGCATTGGACAAATAATTTAACAAGAAGAAAATAGCAAGAAACCAGTAGATGTGTAAAGGGAAAAAAGGAGGAAAGCCGGATGCTTGAGCATTAGCCGCCGGGGTCGCGGGATGCGGATGCCGGTGGCCGGAAAGAGAGAGAGGTAATACTGCCGATGCGGCGGGTGCCGGCCGGATGCCGGTGGTTCGTGGTGACCGGTACGGTTCAAAAGTCCCGGTCAAATAAACCTGCAATAAATATTTACAAGTAGGCATTTCCAGACGCCGGCAGACTAATAAGCCGACGGAACGACCGGAAATCGGCAATTTTATCCAGATGAAGCGTTTCTGACCCGGCTTACCGAACGACACACGGAGGCAGAAAGAGAGGTAGGATTTGTAATTAGGGAAGAAGGCGGAGGCAGAAAAGAGGAGACGCAATATAAAGACAAGCACAAGAGCCAGCAGCGGAAGTGGACCTAGAAGAACAACCACTCTGAGCGACATGGGACGGTTACACTGCACTGACCTGGGATGATGGGTCCCGGCGCGAAAAAGGGATTCAGCCCACCGATGTCGTCCGGCGGGAAGATGGCCGGCGGCGGCGGCGCCAGTCCCGCGCCGAACGGATCTGGCTCCAGCGCCCCGATCCCTCCGCCGCCGCCTCCGCCGCCGCCCAGGCCGCCACTGGCTCCGCCTCCGGAAGTCCCTGTCGAGGAGATATGTTAGCATTTAACACGGGTGAACTAGCGCAGTTAACGCACCGGTGAGTGAGGAAAAGAGAAGGAACATGGCCATGCCCCGCAGCACCGCGCGGTCGGCCATGACCTTTGCGTAGTACTGGGCGTTGTAGTCGACGGGGTAACGCACCGGCAGCCAGAACTGCCGCCCGCGCCGATCGTACCGTTCCTCGCTGGAATGGGCGTATTTGCCGTTCCATCCCGCGCGGCGTTTACCGCGACCGACAACACCGCTTAACTGACTACGAATGACAAAATGCCGGCGACCAGCCGCCGCTGTTATAGGCCGTCCATTTAGCGGGTCGTCCCTTTTCCGGTTCATCCTCGGTTTAATTTCGATCGCATCAGCATTACTGACGGCCGCTGATGCCGTAGCCGGCACGGCCATTAGGACGACGGCCAGTGCAAGGAGTTGCAGAAAGCAGCGCGACATAACCAGGGATACAGCGGTGCATGTATATATGCCGGCGTCATGTAGCGCTCATGGGCGGAAATCCTATCAACATCCTATCCGCTCTCCTCGATCATCCACTGTACAGTGCCACCATGCAGCTTCCCCAGCGTACAATCACAATGGATAAGGACAGATTATCTATATGTAGACGTCAAAGGTCACGCTACATCGCGACGCTAGACCAGCTTTCGTACTGTAAACATATACAGCAAATGAACGCTCCTGACAATGGGAACATATAATTAACTAGATCATGGAAACAATATGCTGTTCAGTGCCGACAATGTGGTATCTATCGCTTGCCGCTGCAACGGCCAGTGAGATGAAATCATCAACTTAGCGGAAAAGTAGCGAAACACGATCCGGCCGGCTTAATTTGCGGCTTCCCTCAGCACGCTGTCCATCGACATTCGACACAGTGACCAGCGTGTAGCCGTGCCGGTAAGATTGCACAAGCACGCTGGCCGACAGCGTCCACTGTTGACTGTGATGAACACGGCGTGATACTGTTTGTAATTGTCTGTTTACTGGCGCCGATGCTCTGTTGATCCCCGGGTCCGTCGCGTGGCCGGTGTATAATCAACAATCACAAATAACTGTACACTGTACAGTATCTGCCGTGCCACCGCGTTAAACAGTCATTTCTACTGACAGTGAGCTGTATCGGCAGATGTTTACATCAGCACGTACAGGTACGGTGCATCGTTAACCACTTACTACTGTGATTGCGTCGGCCGGATGAATTGCTTCGAACGTCCCGGCGCACGGCGGGCCATGACCTTGTGTGACCCCCTCGACGACCAGTACCGAATAATGGGCACGGGTGCGTGTGCCGCACCGAGCGCTGCATCAGAGACTTCGTAATCCATCACCATACTTGTATTACTGTACGTCCTGGCATATTCGGATTTCCATGCATTACGCAGCGTGGGAAACGCTCATCGTAATACATACACAACACTGACTATCGCGCCACGGTGTTCGGGTGTTTGGGTGTTTTCTCCACTACAGCGACAAATTAGAATTTGTTTTATCCGGAACTTTCAGCACCTAAAGTGCGCATTAGCAAGCCGCACAATCTGCTCACGGGTCAGAGTCCAGACAAAAAAGGCGATGAGTAAGACAAATAAAAAAACCACCATCCATCACATCGGCCACTGACCAACACACCAATCAATGCAATCACCATTCATACCCACGTGCGTTAATGTCACAAGACCAAAACACAAGAAACCAGTCATAATTATTTCTAGGGAATAAATACTTGTCAGGCCATTGAATTAGACAGCTCTATCCAAACTTCCGGTCCCGCTGCATATTCCCCGCGCTCAGGGCTCGCGGCCGTTGGCGGGGCCGGGGGTGGGACTGTTCTTGGCGGCGCCCTGGCCCTTCTGGCCGTTGGCGCTGCCGCCGGTCTCCTTGTCCTGGTCCTTGGCCCCGTTGCTGGCCGCGCCCTGCTGGTCCTTGTCCTCCAGCAGCTCCTCCTTGCGCAGCACCTCCATCACCTCCTCCATCTGCTTCGGACTGATCTTGAAGTTCTCCTCCCCGATCAACTCAATCACCTGTTCACCGCACATATACCATGTCAAATGTACACTTTCCAATTCAATTACAACACAATTTCAATTTATAGACAAATAACTTTTACACTTTACTGCCCGAACATTGGTTTTGTAATGAGGAGAAATGATACTGGTTAGCGTATTTTACGTATTCATGCGGTACCCAATTAAATGGATCAACTTCTCCATCTACAACTGTTTAAATAATACTGACTTTTCAAAAAGCCATTTTCTACTTTACGCTGTTCTCTAGTTACACTCCCAGCCCGAACTGATATTCAAATGAAATACAATTTGCAATTCAAAAAAATCAACATTTATTTGCCGAAATATTTTTTTTTCCGTCATAAACAACGAAAGTAAATGAAACATTAATACCGTTGTTTTCTTAGGTTAACCAAACGGTATCAAATTTGATCAGTGTCCGCTTAAAACTATCTAAACACCAGTAATATCTTCAAAGATTCAAGTTTTCATTTGAAGCTGTCTACAATGATGGAAGCCCGGTTAGGTTGGCAAAGATTGTCTTTAAAGCGCAAAATATGAAATGACTGCCAATGCCATACAAAGATACACTACTTCAACGCCCAACTAATTCCCAAAAACCAACAGCTCCCTCACCTTGAGGGCGTGCTCCAGCTCGATGTTGCCGTCCTTGTTGATGTCCAGCATGCGCAGCACCTGCTCCACCCGCGCCAACCGCGCATCATCCGGCACCTTGCCCAACTCCCGCATCGTGCCCATCAGGTGCTCGATGCTCAGCAAGTTATCCCTGTTTCCCCACAATCAACCTTCAAACGTCAACCACGAAGAAGAAACACAATCTCCCATACTTTTTCTGGTCCATGGCGTCGACCATGTCCAGCATGCGCTGCCGGTCGGCGTCCTCGGCCTTCTGCAGCTGCTGGAGCTGCGCCTTGTCGTCCTTGATCTCCGTCTTGAGGTCGCTCTTCTGCGTCTCCAGATCCTGCATCAGCTTCTCCATGCTGGTCAGCATCTTGTCCACGCGCTTCGTCAGCCGTCTGGCCGCCTTCGACTCCTGCAGCTTGGACGCCTCGGGCAGCTGCTTCAGTTCCTGGATGTCCTGCCAACACACGCGTTCGCCTTACTTTCAAGCGAAATGTGCCGGTACATCCAAAAAAATTATTAATTCTACCAAATTCGTGAAAAACAATTAACAAAAATATTAATAACTACCGGCATCACATTCTTTTCAATAGTTTTTCCAGTGATTTTATTCGGTCGGTATTAAATCTGACCAATTTCATCAAATAAAATTATTCAAAACATAATTTAAAAAAACTAAATTCCCTTAGTGTTTTTCAAAAGCTGGAAACTCGGTTTGATCCTGGAAAATGGTATGATTTAACGCTTGAATTGTGAAAGATTTAAAAATGAATTTCCAAATGTTATAACAAAAAAAATGAATGATTTTATTAAAATGAAGTTTAGCATTTATTTTAAATTAGATTTCGAAATTGTCAAATGTGTGTTAAAGCGTGGAAAGCGCCGGCGCACGCCAGTACTGACCTCCTTGTACTCCTGCACCTCCTCCTTGAGATCCTGCTGCTCCAGCAGACTGTACTTCTCCTTGCTGATCTTCTCGATCACGTCCTCGATGTGCTCCATGTCCTGCTTGGTGATCTCCTGCACCAACGGCTTGACGCTCTGCAAGTCCGTCTTCGTCACGTCGGCAGGTTTCACGTCCTTCAGCTGCGCCGTCTTCAGCAGCACTTCTGTCGGACACGCCACAACCAGCGCATCAGTATCACCATTTCTTTTACAAATAAAATTCCAACGGAACACTTACCAGCCAAGACAGGCGAAGGCGTCTGCACCGCCTGCAAAACCAACAAAAGCCCTGGTTAGTGGTGGAACACGCTTAACGTATCATGAACAACACTTTGACGTGATGAAATTCAACCAAAATACGCAAGCATGAAATTAAAATACTCTCTAAATCAACGAAAATTAAATTACATTTAGCAAGCAGTCAACTTTACTTATAACGTGTTAATTTTGTTCATTTAAATTCAAACCAAATAAATTCTAATCAACAGAAAACTTCGATTCATCAAAATTAAAATCACTAAATTGTTCATAAAAAGTTGAAATAATAATAGTACTGGAAATATGGACATTTATGGCAAATAAAATCGTCAGCATGTAAGCAGAAATCAAATCAAAATTAAATTTGTCACAATTCTTTGTATTAAGAATACATATAACCAATGTGCTGACTGACCCCGGCGGCCTTCTCCTCGGCTTCGCGCTCCTTCCGCTCGGCCTCCTCGCGCTTGATGGCCTCCTGCTCCTCCTTGACCAGTCGCAGCTTCACCTCGTAGTCCGGCTTGGCGCCCTCCTCCTCGGCAATCTTCACCTCCACTTCATCACCCTACGAAACAGCAACAAAATATATATTCTTTCTCAATTTCCCCTGGCATACAAACTGATATATCTCCGTACCAGTTTCTCGGGCATCTGGGCCAGCGTGGTCTTGAGCTGCTCCTGCGTGGTGAGGTTGTCGGGCAGGTACATGGCGCGCGTCAGCAGCAGCAGACTGGGCGGGATCTCCTCGCGCAGACTCAGGTCGATCCACTGCGCCAGCTGCGCCTGCAGCCGCTGCCGCGACACCCCGATGGAGCGCATGCCGCGGGCGCGACACGCCGCCTGCAGCTCCTCGTCGTCCAGCTTGTCGATGCCCTCCCTCTGGATCATCTGTCAAACAATCCCCTTGCACTGGTGAAATTTAAAAAAAATCAAAATAAAATTTGAAAAAATTATACTTCCCAAATCGGGGCAAAAACAACAAAATAGGCATTTTAAATTAAAATAATAAATACAATTTCCCAAATAAAATGATACAATTTGGTGAATATTCCCGATAATTCCCTGGTGCAGACCTTGTCGTCGGAGCGGAGATTGCGGAGGCGCATGCGCAGCTGGAAGCGGAGGAACTCGGGCGGCAGGCCGTAGGTGCCGATGTCCAGCAGCCGGCACATGGCGACGACGACCTCCCGCGGGAGGTTGTCCAGCGTCAGGTCGTCCTCGAACAACTTGGCGAACTTCATGATCTCCGCCGTGCTGGCCTCCTCGCCCGTGCCCTTGATGCGGTCGAAGAAGGCGGCGAACTCGGCGGCGCGCGTCGACTTCTGCTGGTCCTGGTGCTCCAGCGCCGTCTCGTGGATCGTCTCCTGCAGGAACTTGGCCATCTCCAGCTTCACCTTCAGCTTCTTCCGGATCGACTCTTCCTGCAACACAACCAACCACATCCGCATCAGTCGACTGCAATAAAAAAAACAATTTTCATGAGATAAAACTGTCATAAATCTGAACCTTTTTGGATTTCTCCTCGAAGGTGCTGGGCAGCATGTTGGGGAAGAATTTCAGCAGGAAAGGCAGGGCGAATTCCGCGAAGGGCACGGCGAGAATGACGACGAAGGGCACCATGCGGAACAGGTCGGAGACGGTGCGCACCAACTGCAAAACAAGCATTAATCAACCACTTCCATGTCAAGCTATCGTCAGTAATCTTTTTTGTTATGAGTTCTTTTTATCCGAATTTATTTCAAATTTTATAATCTAATTTCACTTTTACGCTGCCTCCGTTACCTGCACTTTCTTTTTACCACAATGTTATTTATATTTATTACACTGCATTACAGTTTTAATGTCCATTATTATTATTTATGTTTTCTCATAGAATTTATTACAATTTTTACAGTTCAAAATTCTACCGCCTTGAAAACAGCACCTGTTTGTGTTCGCGGCGACTGAGCGACTCGCCGCGCAGCAGTTTCCTCAGCAGTCCCCAGGAGATGCGCGTCTCGGCCGCAAGCAGTTTAAACCCGTGCCAGTAGTGCTTCAACTCCGCCACCACCTTCTGCCACAGCGTCTTCTTGGGCGGCGCGGCCAGCGCCTTCTCCTCCGTCCGCGCCGCGGCGACGGCGCTGTCGCCGCCGCTGCCGCCGGCCACCGCGGGCGGCTGCAGCACGCGCTCCTTGCTCTGCTTGTCCTTCTTCAGCGCCTCCACCGTGCGCTCCACCTTCGACTTCTCCTCCGCCGCCTCCCACCGCCGCGGACTGACGTGCAGGAAGCGCCGCTGGTGGTGCAGCACCGCGTTGTGTAGAGCATAAACGGATGAATGACCGGGACAGCCCGCCGCGGGCTGATGCAACCACCGTCCCCTGTGTCAAGCACACCACTGGTCATACCGCCGGATAAGTTATACTGCATTGATCGAATTCAATTTTAAATTAAGCAAAACAAGAATTAAATCTTTACTTGTTTAATTTAAACTGAAAATATACAATTAAAAGCTCTTGTTCACACAGTTTAATTAATAAACTTCCAACTCCCACAAATCAAATTCAAAATAAAAATTATAAATAAATTACTATTATTTTTCTAGAATTCTTTAACTTTATTTTAATGGCTAATGTGAAATATCTAGATGCAAAATAATAATTAGAAATTTATTAACGACAGTCAAGATCCGCAAATTTCCACTGCACTGGTTTAATTGAATTTTAAAACACCCAGAAATTAAAATAAAATAATAATCAGAAGTTTCATCATCATACAAAAAATTTACAATGATAAATTTAAAATTTACTAGCAGTAGTTAGCACGTGCGGCTGCGAGCGAAAATAATAAAATAACGGTGTCAGATTCTTACGTGGGATTTATAATCAGCGAAGAGCCATGAAAATCGCCGCTGCTGCGAAACGAAGCGCTGCGCGGATCCCCGGAATTCCAGGTGGAAAGACAGCGGGCTGATGACGAAGGAAACTCATTCCCCCGAAAAGAAGTCGGGTAGAGAGCGGAGACGGCGAGAGTGCGCGCGGACTGCTGCTGCACAGCGCTGTCCCAAGCAGACGGCTGCGCGTGCGCGACGGCGAAGGGAGACCGTCCGACGCTCCGCCAGCGCACCAGCCACGGACCCCCCGACAGGCTCCCCACTCGCCACAACATCTTCGCAAAATAATCTGCCAAAGAAATTCAAAATGCACACGCAAGCAACAAGGATTCAATCAGCATTCAGACGCATGTCCGCTCAGCGAAGACCGATAAGTCGCTGTCTCGCTGTTTCTACAACTCGGTTTCCGCTGCCGATCCAATCAGCCTGGTGCAGAAGCAACAAATCAACGCTCACACTCGTTCAAAAACTACACAATATCCCACCAAAATCTGAATGTTTTTACATGGTTTGTGGTTTTTCGCGAAAAATGCAAATCATGCAGTCGACGGCAAAATGCTAAATCGCCCAGAACTCGAAAAAAGGCAGCGCTGCAAATTTCCCCAGGCGGCGTGGCGCAGCGAGCCACCCTGCCTGCCGTTACGCCCCACTGCCGTTACGCAGGTTGCGGTCGGCCCCGACCTATTAATCGTGCCACTTTGCAGGTTCCCAAACTCATTTCCCGTGGCACAGTTTTTTTCAAGTTTTCGAAATGCCATTTTGAATTCTTCATAAAAAGTTGCACTTCTTATAATGTTATTCATCATGTTTTTAGCGCATTCCTACTTGTGTAGATCATTTAGCTTGTAGAATCTGGACTGTGCATCTCGAAAAACATGTAACAATCGTTGAGAAGCAGCGAATATGCTTTAAACCTCGCCAGTTGTGGTTGGAAACTGGAAAAAATCCAGATTCTTGGAGATGGTGTTCTTCTAAAAAATTACTTATGGTACCTTATCCCGTTTCTGCTCCAGGACTGCTGAAATTGGAAATCATTTTGTCTCTCTGGATTCGTATTTTTGTATGGCTGATGGTCGACATACTTCACTGTGTGCGTTTGATTGATTTGACTGGCAACGCTACATCGCATCGTGTGGTTGCCTTCTGAATACGTTCTTTCGTGTTTCGTCCTTCGCGGGATCATGGCCGAACACCCCCTGTACACGATCATGGACCTGGACATTCCCGAGGCGCAGGAGAGCCTGCGGAAACGTGGCTCCCTACTGCAAAGTTAACTACATTCAGGTACGAGGTAAAAACCCGGTTCCAGGTTCCGTGTTGTTTGCTCTACAGATATGTTGCTGCTGCTTATTAGGCAGCGCAACAGGGATTACTCAGTGTAGCCTTGTTCATCTTGTCTTTTGAGTTAGCTGCCTGCCCGAGTGGCGATGCAAGCATGTACAGTAAACACTGTAAAGTGTATACAAGGTAACAAGGCAGCATGTGCGTAAACAGCAGCAGCTGCGCATTGAATATCTGTATAGTCCAGTGACCAGTCCAACGTCGGAATGGGTGTTAATGGGTAAATATCGTTGGCAGAATGTGATGGTGCACAAGGAGAAGATTGCCCGCCGCGAGATCGGCGCGCTGGCCACGACGAACAAGCCGATGCAGCGCCAGCAGAAGTTCCTGCAGCCGCCGCACCCGGAGCGCGCCATCCGCTACGTGCGCAAGCCCATCGACTACAGCGTGCTGGACGACGTCGGCCACGGCATCAAGACCTCGGCCACGCCGCAGCCGCCGCGCGCGGCCCCCGCCACCGTCCGCAAGACCGGCTCCACCCTCACCGACACCAGCTCCATGAGCTCTGGGCCCTCTGGGAAATGTTTCGCCGGATGCCTGTCGGTATTCCGGAAGAGGGGAAAGAGGGCCGCACCAATTGGCAAAACTGGTTCCGGTCAAATCCAGTGCGACCGCGCTTCATCTCCTACTGGAGAAAAGGACGGCATGTATAATGTATACAAGGTCACTAATCATCCTGTGACTGCACGAAAGTGTGAGAAAATGACCAAAGCGGAAATTGTGAAAGTGTTTGACGTAAAATTAGTTTGCACATACCAGCTGAACCGAGCTACATTGTATAATTCGTTTACCTTGTTTACGTTTGATCTCCCGATGGTCTTATACTTTGGTGTGAAAAGTATGTACTGTAAATTCCGCTGGGTACTGCGGACATGTGACCGCTAGTAGCTGTTGAACAGCAACTTTTTGGATTGTGTTGACTGCTGACTGGTGTTGTTCGCTGCTGATAATATCATAATCAGGATCGGAAATTTCTTGATGGCTGATTTTTTATCATGGATTTATCTTCTGATGGAGCTGCGCAGTCTTCAAAGCCTTCTTTCCCTTGCTTGATCTGTGGATTTGTCTGCTCGACCAAGAGCGCTTTCACCAATCACAGCGGGAGCAACAAGTGCAAGGAGAATGTGCTACGACGTCAACGCGGACTGGTCCATTGTGTTCCCAACGAAGCTCCTGCGACGGAACCTAGCTGCAGCCTTCTGAACCAGGTGAAGTTTTTGAAAACCAACACGAGGCTTGTGAAGCGAATACCCAAAGGGGCACGTAGAGCGGTTACTACAGCTTTTACACGCGTAGTTTCTCGATGTGTTACAGAGAACTCGGTAAAGTCCTGGGAAGATCTTTTAATTTTTGCATATTTTGTTTTTCGTTTACCAGGTAAAGCTAAGAACGATCGCACTCATTCTTTAGCGTCAGTGATTAAGTCTAACGTTGTTAATTTTGAGTCTGGTGCAAGAGAAATTCCCGTTGCGCCTCTGAAATCATTACAGTGGACTGCGAAAACCTGTTACATTCGGTCCGCCACCGAATAACCAAGCCAAATAAATGGCCAAGACCAAATGACCAATAATCATAAAACGCGCAAGAATTTGAACACTTGCACCCTGCGCATTTCCCAACGAAAACTATCAACCGATATCTCAAACGAAAGAGAAAACACTTTCAAGAATTTCGATACTAAATATGTCATAAGTACCTTTAATAAGTATCACACGCTAGTACACACTTAGTACTGAAACAAAAAGAATATTCATAGCAAAAACACTTCCTCAATGCTATCCTGGTCGGGAATTGTACCCATCACACATATTGCGTTTCCTCTCTGTATTTGAATAGATAGCCGCTGCCTAAAAAACTTTCGCTCGTTTCTGGCCTGTTGCAGCAGCTATCCCGTTTCCAACCTTATCCACTAACGTCTTAGTACCACATCCCCATGGCCCGTAAATTTCGAACGCTGCTGCCTTGAGGTTGTACCGAGGTTGCAGCCAGGCGTGTTTTGTCAGCTTCGCCCTTTCCGCTTGTTCAGCTGCTGCTCCGACGTTTACAGAGGTACGGTCCATATACGAGGCGGCGAGTGTGTCGACGCATGTTACATCCACGGCCAGCGGTTTTCCACGCTCCCATGGTACCAGAGTAATCACATCCGGCCTTTTCTTATCCTTCAAAGACAGACCCTTTGGCTCCATTCTGGCAGGAAAACCTGCCGTTTTCAATCCACGGGCGATCTCCCCGCTTATGCCTTCGTGTCGTGGCAGTCTGCCTGCTGACCGTTTACATCGGAGCCCGTGCCGCCCCAGTTCATCCACCAAGTCGCCACATACGCACACGTGAGGAGTAACAATTGGAGCTCCCAGTTGCAGCGCGACGCTTATGCGAAAGGCATTGTTCTCCAGAAGATTACCGAGACAAGCTGCCGGTAATGCATGAATCCACACACCTGATTCCGGGACTGATACTGCTTTCAGGTGGGCGACTTCCTCCTGTGTGGTTCTTATGGCTGCCAGTCGGGAAAAGGCATGTAGCGTCGCAGGTGTGTCCCATGCTTTCTGGACCTTTATGAGATTTTAAATATGTCATCCTTTATGAGATTTAAGAGAAAATCGAGCCATTTTAGTTTGTCGTAGACAAAGCATACGATTTCCGTGTGAAAACTGCATCCAAACCGTGGACTCAAATCCTATGCTATGTCTACGATAAACTTTAAGTGTGTCGATTTTCTCTTAGATCTCCTAAAGAACAACTTGTTTGCTATCAAAATTCTTAGAATTTTTTTCTCTTTCGTTTGAGGTATGGGATGATGGTTTTCGTTGGAAAATGAGCAAGGTGCAAGTGTTCATACCAGCAGGCCGATGGCCAATCACGAATTTGCCTGTTTGAGTACAGAAAAGTGCTTGGTTGCGCGCGTTGTAACACCTTTTCGCAGTCCACTGTACGGCCTTTTGATCTACAGAAATTTGTCCAGGGTAAAATTCAAAATGGCGACGTTTCTGGTGCGGTGCGCGTCCTTTGTTCCGAAGACGCCTTGGCACCGCGCACCGCGGCCACTTTCGCAGAACTACAGAAAAAACATCCGAATGTTAACCCGGATGCTCGTTACCCTGCATCGTCATCAGCTAAAGGCGACGCCATTAGCCGTGTTACACAAAAAGAAATTTTCGATACAGTCACTAGTTTCCCAAACGATTCTGCCGGGGGGCTTGACGGGCTTCGGCCTCAGCATTTGAAGGACATGATTAGCGATACTACCAATGACAGTTCTTCGCTATTGTGTGAACAGCTAGCATTGTTAGCAGACATTATGTTTTCCGGCCGGGTGCCTAATGATATTTTGCCGATACTTTACGGGGCAAACTTAACTGCATTAAATAAGAAAGGGGGTGGTATAAGACCAATAGCAGTTGGTAGCACGTTACGTCGTATCGTGGCGAAAATTGTGGTTAAGCGAGTACAGCAACCGATGGGAGAAAAGCTTAGGCCAAAGCAATTGGGTTTCGGTACTCCCGGCGGTTGTGAGGCAGTTGTACATGCAGCCAGGCGGTTTCTCAATACGGTTTCAGACGAAGTGCAAGTGGTCGTTAAATTTGATTTTCGAAACGCGTTCAACACTGTCCATCGCGATAAAATGTTGCATTGTGTACAGTCAGAGCTACCAGAATACGCACAATTTATCAGCCAATGTTACCGAAATCCCAGCAGTCTACTTTTGACCAATGGGACATGTTGTCCCAAGCGGGGGTGCAGCAGGGTGATCCGTTGGGCCCATTACTGTTTTCACTTCTTATATTGATACTAATACTGTCGCTGGTGTCACCTCTGAACGCATGGTATTTAGACGATGGTGTGATAGGTGGTAAATTAAGCGAAGTATTAAGCGACATAGATACTGTCATTGCTACCGCCAGTGATCTCGGTCTCGAGCTGAATCTCTCTAAATGCGAGTTTTTTATTTTCGGTGGTACACTGGAAGATCGCGAAACCACAAAGAAAATTTTGGTTAACCGTTACCCAGAATTTTTACATCTCACTGAAAGCGAATTGATACTGCTCGGTGCTCCTCTTTTGCAGGCTGCCATTCCTAATGCCATTCATCAGAAGTCCCTGGATCTGCAAAGACTAGCTTCCAAGCTAAGTATACTGCCTGCTCATCAGGCTTATTTTCTGCTGCGCACTTGCATTGGCGTTCCTAAAATGAACTATTTACTACGAGCGAGTCCAACTTGGTTGTGCGGAGACGAACTTGATAAATTCGATAACATTACCAAATCGGCATTAGAAGCAGTAACGAATGTTAAGATCGACGGTGTCACCTGGGCTCAAGCATCGCTCCCTGTGTCCAGTGGTGGGTTGGGGATCAGACGTGTGGCAGAACTAGCTATTCCAGCCTATTTGGCTTCGGTTTATGCCACAGCGCCTCTGGTCTCGACCATTGCCTCTGGTACGGAGAGCCTTGACTTGGTGCATCAGTTGTGGCAAACAGCTACGGGCACCGAACTACCACCAGAAAATCTTCGGCGTGTACAAAAAGTGTGGGATGTAGCTCTGGTACAAAAAACTTGTCAAATTATTAAGGAAGAGTTGTCTAGTGATGTCACCCACTGTGCGCGTTTGCTTGCTGTTGCAGAGCCGGAATCTGGCAAATGGCTGAACGCTCTGCCTGTTTCTTCACTTGGAACCCTGATGTCGGACGAGAGCTTTCGCGTAGCAGTCGGCCTTCGAATCGGCGCAGCTATCTGCCGTCCGCACCTTTGCACGGACTGCCGTCTCCCTGTGGACGAATACGGTCACCACGGCTTATCCTGCAAAAAGAGCGCTGGGCGTTTTCTTCGCCACACCGCACTGAACGAACTGATTCGGAGAAGTTTGGTCACCGCTAAAACGCCGGCCGTACTGGAGCCGCTTGGAACAAGTGACGAAGACGATCGCCGTCCGGACGGTGTGTCGCAAATGCCTTGGAAGAACGGTTTACGGCTAGCCTGGGACGTGACTTGTGTGGATACCGTCGCATTTTCAAACGTCATTAGCAGCAGCGTTAAGGCTGGAGAAGCGGCCCGAAAAGCAGAAGACGAAAAGCGGCGGAAATATGAATATTTAGCACCTGAGTACTATTTTGTTGCATTGGCTTTTGAAACTTTTGGCGTCGCTAGCCCTTCCTGTATTAAGTTTTTGCGAGAATTGGGCAGGCGGTTAAAGGATGCTACGGGAGAACGACGCTCTTACGAGTTTCTGCTACAGCGTATTAGCATTGAAATACAGCGGTGGAATGCGCTGTCTGTGACTTCAACCGTACCGCGTTCTGATGGTTTTAACGCTGTTTACTTTGTTTTATAATGTTGATGTTCAAACGTCTGAACGATAAGCAAACCAATAAATTCTTTTACATGTGTTTGCGGCCTCGTTGGAGCACAGCAGCATAGTAGCACAGAGCCCGTACCTGGTGGCTGTACATTGTGTACAATAAAAAAAAAACAGTTACAAAACACTGCAACTTTTTATTCATTTTTTTAAAGAACCATCGAAGTGTTTTCCCATTTCTAATCAAACACAAGTATTGTAACTAGATCACTCGTAGTCTTTTGCCGTTTTACAAAATTCTTTAAACGACTTATGATACAGCTTGGGTCTTGGCGTAAACAAGATCATCAGCCACAAGAGAGCTGAAAGAATATCCTTAGTTCTATATTTGGACATCCCGTTTATAAGATCTGAATCGACAGATTTCCAGTCTCCTCTCTATCTCTTATTCTGCAAGGGGGAGAGGAGAAGTATTCGGCTATTTGACGCCGAGATGACGTAGTGTACACTGTACAGTCGCCGCGGAGCCCGGCAGCGCGATGGGCAGGATGACGGGGTCGTCGGGGCCCCGGGGCGCAGTAATCCAAGGAACTCGCGCGACAGGAGCTCGCCGACCGTCCTCCGGTAGATGGCGGTGGTGTCGTCTAGGTGCTACTGCACCCCACCTTGACCGCTCCGTTCACAAATTTACAATACTGGAACTCGGCTGGCCTTCCCCAGCCAGTTGGCTGCCTCGAAAAAGAGAACGGCGGTGTCCGCATTCGAAAAGCTTGGTTCAATTACGACAGCTTCCTGTGCGAAGTCCTCCGGCCGGTCATCCGGAGCTGCCAGCAGTATTGCACTGTCGGCCTTTTTTGTAACAATTGTTCCACAGCAATGTACTGTAAATCGTACATTACATACGATGATACGAGTATATTAGAGTAGATATGGACGCTTTCGTATACGTTAAATTTTTCGAGGCATGTGTTTTTAGTTGTATTCTCAGTATCCGCCGTATCCCACAGACCACGGTATCCTCTACGTATCCTTCATGTATGCATCCTGCTGAATACAAATATGGGTGATAGGAGTAACTGCACAGTCCCCGTGGAAGAGCCAGTGATTTTTCATCCGTCTCCCAAACTGGCCCAGATCCACCTGATGAGCCAGCGCCTGCCCGTCCGGGTACTTGAATACTTGATATCAATGGCAAACGGGCCGTTAGTCAGGCCAGCAATACTTAAGAGATTATGAGCATTATTTGAGCAGTTAAACCTGAGGCCGGGCAAAGACCGGCCCCCCCCCCCATCCGGCCAGGCTAGTACAGAATGCGCAGTAATTCTATGATGACCATCGCCTGCGAGGAGAGAAAGCATTGTACTAACTAGCAGGACTGTGAAAAGCTACAGTACATGTCAAGCGCATCTGCGTGCATGACTTATCGGTTGGACACTCATCGACCACAGCTGGTCAGCGGCGTTCCAGCCGTTCGGGATAGAAGGATTTGTCGAATGCGTAGAATGGGGAGAGGCGCAGTGATTCGGGCGGTGTGTCGAGGAGCTCCCAGTGGAAAAGCCAGTGGTTTTTCAGCCGTCTCCCAAACAGGCCCAGATCCACCGCGTGCGTCTGCTCCTGCCCGTCCGGGTACTTGAGATCAATGTCGAAGGCGACGGACAGGCTGTCGGCGTTGGCGTCGTTCATGTCCCACCGGTGGAGGAGCTCCATGTCCAGCACCCGCAGCAGCTCCTCCTTCTGTGACAGCAAACGCTGGGCGGTGTCCTCGGTCAGATGGTATCCGGCGACATTGTAGCCAGCACTGCAGTTTGCGTCATCGGCGGAAATGTCCGTGAAATGAGCGGACGATCGGATGGGAGGGGAGAAGTCCAGGAAGCTTTCACGCCAATTAATCTGCTGCCAATCCCCGGTCATATTGTTCTCCGCCGTCTTGCGGAAGACGAAGAGGCTGGCCCGGAACTGCTGCCGATCCGGCCGGATCCTCACTGCGAAGCAGTACTGCGCGGTGGTCTTGGGGCCCAGCCAGTCGGATGCCAGCAGCAGCAGCTGCGCCAGACTGTCCTGGAAGGCCGCCTCGATGATAATCACTTCGTCGTCGCAGCGGATGCCCCTCGGCGAAGACGCTGGGGCCAAGGTGAATGCCTGCCTGGCCGTTAGAGCGTAGTAGACGCCGGATCCATGCCGGTCCCGCACATTGCTGGTCACAGGGTACGGCCCCTGCAGCTGGCCCGTCAAGTGCGGATTCCGCTGCAGATGGACTCCCAGGTTGAAGGCCGCGTCATTGGCAACGCGACTGCTGTTGCAGCTGAAATACATCCAGTCGTGGTGGACGAAGAATCGCCCGTGAGTCCTGAAGCCATCCGCACCGTAGCTAAACACTCGGCCGAACTCGTCGCGCCGTCCCAGCACGAGAACCGTGCCGGCTGCCAGGCCCATGTCCTTGTTGCGCAGCAAGGATTCCGCCACGCGCAGATACTGCTGCAGCTTCCTCTCCGCGCCTACTCAACGAACAAGCAGCTATATTATCTTTTCTATGAAATGAACTCCCACTTTGATTCAACTATTACTGTACATATACGGCATAGTTACATTAAGTACGAATACAGATATCAGACGATACACGTACGGTAGTTGTACAGTACACATACTACTTCATACAGTATGTAATAAAATACTACTCGTACTTCCGCGGACGCACGGTGCGGTGAAATCCCGTGTGAATCACAACCAAACATGTATGTACCCTTCCGCTTGCCGCTTCTGGCAGTAAGTCCAGCCGGGCTTACTCCTACACTCCTACTTACCCCACTCCCACTGGACGCCGTGCAGCGTGGCGTACACGGCCAGGGCGTCCACGAAGGCGATACCGGCAGCCCGTTGCGCGTGCTCAGTGTGCCTAGCCCCCGGCCCCGGTACGGCCTCCTGATTATCCAGCTCCAGTAGCGCTGCAAGTCGGCAACAGAATAAATAAGCAGTCACAAGCAAGGATACTTCGAGCTAGGCATGCATTCATTGCAGTGGTGCATGGACACCACTGGACACTCACGGGTGGCCGTGCGTGGCTGTAGCTCGTTGATTGCGGCACGGACAGCCGCCTGTGCCCTCCAACGCCAGCCGGCCGCGCTGGACATCGTGCCGTCTTCATCCAGCAGGTCCTGTGAGTAGCATCCCGACATTGTCATGATTTGCATTTACAATTCTTACAAGCTGTATGCATTGGCTGGCGGTATCCGTACCATACATACTGTAATTACTTAAGTACTGTACTTGATGCTACGATAAATTGATACTGTACCAATATTCGTGTTGCTAATCGACGTTAGAAATGCCACGGCGGACGGCGCTTAAGCTTATCAAACAGCGCTGTCGACATCGTCTTCGTAGCACTGCGTGACAGAATACTCGTACACTTCAATTACTAATCAATTTTAAATACCGATTACTAATAATTGAAGGTAAGTACTTGCTTACGGTTAGAAAATCACTATACTTCCGGTGCTTATGGTTAGAAAACCTCACATAATATTATACACACGTTTTTCTCTTTATTAAATAGAAGCACCTTAATATTGTAATGTATTTTATGTAATGTATTTTATAAGCACCGTTTTCAATTGATTTGGCCCGGTATCTGTAAATGGTACCAAATTCGTGTACACGCACGAAAACTTTCACTTTTTAGCACTCCGAAATACTTGTTTGCGCTGCTTATGTGACTTTTGGCAAGTACATCTGAATGCATGTAAACTTTTTGGAATTTTCTAACAGCCATAACTCCCGAACCGGATATTGCGCGCACAAACGGTTTTTACGCAAATGTATACAAATCATTTCCCTACAGAATGTCGTTATCGACCGATCTTCTTTAAATTTTTGGACATATGGATGCACATATGCATGAAGATCGCTTTACACTGAACCACGGTTCTACCGTTTTTTTCTAATTTTTAAATGAATTTTAACATTTTCGAAATTCATTTCAAAACTTCCAAAAAATTGTGCAAATCTGGTTCGGTGTACAAACGATCTTCATACTTATGTGCATTTATGTGCTTTAACTTAATCGATCTACTTTAAAGGAGATCGGCTGATACCGAGACTTTTGGTACACCTTGATGCATTTAAACTCTTGGGAATTTTTTAACAGCCATAACTCCCGAAGCGGATGTTGCTTTGTCGGGTCGTATCTGTAGCCTCGTACAAGTGTACAACTCGTTCGGGTACTACATAATTACATTTACAGGCTAAAGCTGCAAAGGGGTGCTTATAACGTACCGGATAATGGTATACAAAAGAAATCAATGAAGTAATGAGATAAGGCGCCTTTAATTAATGGGATGCGGAAAATTAACTTAGGTGTGCCTATAGTAAACGGAGGATTTCGGGTGCCTGTAGTATCAGCCTAATAAGTATCACTCTGTACGTACGACAGCGGAGAAGTATTAATGTTAGAACAGAACAGTACATGACTGACGTACCAGCGCCAGGCGGCCCACCACCGCGATGCCCTGCTCCTCCCGTCGCCCTGCCGTCTCCACCGCCCGCCGGGCCGCCATCGTCAGGTCGCCGGGGGCCCGCAGAGTGGCGGTGAGGATGCTGCAGCCGATGCGCTTGCGGTGCAGGAAGGCCAGGCAGGCCCGCAGGAGATCGCTCCGCTGTCCCGGACTGCTACGGCTCCGCAGCTCCGCGATGACGAGCTGCGGGTCCAGCTGCTCCAGCATCTGCACGGCGTCCAGAGGTCGGTGGGCGGGGTCGGGGGGATAGTAGAAGGGGTCGGTCGGGTGGCAGGCGTAGGTGTCATCCCGCAGCGCCTGAATGATGCCTGCCACATCCACTTCCGGCGGCCTACCGGTCCTGCAGTCGCGGCTGCCTATTCCAGGGTCAGGACATTTACGTAGGCATTTATTTCGCTATCTGATCCATGTATCCATCTACTTAGCCATTTAGCTATTCACCAATTTAGGATCACCAGTAGTTGTTCAAGTAAGTAAAGTACGTTGACCAAAAGATTTGCTAAAGAGATTGGGAAGAGGATTTCGCTACAAACAGGCGAGAGCGTAATTGGAGTTTTTGCAACAGATCACATCTGTGGTAATGCCGCTTCCGTAATCGGTACCACGGAGAACGTCGTTGTCCTTAACCGTAATCAGATCTTGATAATATAGTTATCGCGCTATTAAAACAAAGTACGCCCAAATATCTCGGCTGTTTTTTAAGTAATACTGTAATATAGATATTTGCAGTTTTAATGATGACGAGTATCACCGCAGTTGCACTTGCACCTTCCTGTTATTCTGGCGCCTATTAGTACCCATCTATCGAAGATGAAAATATTTAACTTAAGGATTTAGCTATTCAGGCGTTAACGTATTTTACTATTTCAGAACGGACAGTAAACGTTTAGTTATTCAATTATTATGTAGCTGTTCAGATGCAGCATATCTATAACTACTCGTACAATATTTAGCTGTTCAGATATTCTGGTATTTACTGTTCAGCTGTTTACGCGTATTGTACACTGCACTACCAGTATGGTATAATTAATTTTTATAATAGTACATAATAGTGAAATACGTACATATCATGATACGGGACAGGCTTGTTCGATGGTAAAATTAATAATACTGTACTGTAATTGTACAATAATATAAGTATCGTACATGTAGTAGGTACTAGAGTAGGTAATGAGGGGCTGCCGTTAGCACTGTTGATATGATGAGTAAGTATTATGAATAATTATATCGTATCAGTGCCTGCTTCTGTTGGGCACACATCCTTAAATAATTAAATGAAAAAGTATTCATAACAACGAAAAGTCGTCATAATCATCAGTGGACTGCAGCTAGTTGGGTCGGCCTACCTGTACTTAGTGTACTAGTACCTTGTCCACGCGCATCGGCACCTGCCTCGCTGGCCGTGCTGACGCCTGATGTGCCATGCGGCCCATGCCGATCCTGACTGAAGCGCCTGCGCAGTCCTACTACGCGACCGTTCCGCGAGAGAATCCTCACCTGGACTGACAAGATTGCAAGGCTCGTCAGGGCACGTCGGCTGGTGTTGCTTAATAACGGCAACATTGCATGGAGAATGCCAGAATGGAGATAGAATGATGTCTGCAGATCAGTCGACAGCAGCTGACTTGCGAGCCTAACAGCAGCATCTAAACGCTCCAATAGACCAGTTCAGACTGTTACTAGTAGTAGATGCAGACATTATGCAGACGATACCGTGCTTGTGCTGCGTGGGCCACCCAAATTAATAGACATCTTCTGCATAAAAATACAGATACCTGATACTTACTAACATTCGGGCATGTATGGTTTTGAGTCGTGACTGGTGCGAGGCGCAGGATCTAACCATAAGCGACGGTGTGCGCACTGCGCAGTCGGCACCCCCTGCGGGTGCGGTTTGTCTCGGCAGTTGCATGCATCCCAGTGATACCACTTCCGGTCGTACCGGTAATACGTAAGTTTATACTTTACTTTATTCTAGGTATGCGTCGCTATGCGTCTTTAATCTTTATACAAATTCGACGGTGTCACTACTAGTGAGTCGGCGAAGTCCGCCTGGGCAGGCGACCGGGCGCCGTAAAACGCATTTAATCAAGGGAGCAGACAGAAATTCGTTAGACACACGCTCTGTCTAACTCTGTACTCTTGATTAAAAGCGGTGCCCGTTTTACGGTTTACGGCGGACTTCGCCGACTCACTACTGTCTCACTGCAGTACAGTACTTATGTGATCATGATTCATGATTACTGTAGTGGCTCGCACATCTTGTACCACAGAGTTGGTGTACGGGAAAAATGTGCATCCAATATACACACTCTATTTTGCCCGGTCCGGGCAAAATGCACGCCTACGAAATAATGCTTGATTTGACTTCAAGATGAACTCTCCTTCTGAATCTGTCCAGAATCAAACATTTTCTTTAAAATTGTAATTCACCTTAGAAAAGAAGCTCTGTATCTGAGAACTCGAATTGTTCTGTAGCTGTAGAATGTTGACGCTGAACGTGCCCCTCACTCTGCAGGGGCACCCCAAAAACCACAACAAATCAGTGTTTGAATTCGAGCTGACAGCAAAGATTTAAGTTAATGGCTGCTTTTGAGCATAAATTTAGTTAATAATTATTAGAGCTCTAATTTTTTTAATATTCAAGAAGGTTCTCCAGACCAGAAGTTGAGAAACATCAGAATTTATCAATGCACGCCAATTGCGAATCGTGCGTTTTGCCCGGTTAGAGTGTGTATATTGGATGCACATTTTTCCCGTACACCAACTCTGTGGTACAAGATGTCCGAGCCACTACAGTAATTTATGCGCTAACGGCTGCTCTTGCTACTGTGTAATAACTAATGGACAACCCCTGCAGAATGCAGATTCCGTACCGTATTCACACAAGTTTCTCAGTTTCACTTTTCACCTCAATTATTCGTTCACACGACAAACTCAAGAAATGCAGAAGAATATTCTAAGATTGACAAGGATAAGAAGCCTTCCCATCGTTGGCCAGACACTGGTTTCTGCCAAATTCTGCGTTGAGCATACTGTACACTGACACATGACACATTGTGCTAATATTTCACTGGACTGCCGGTCATACGCGTAAAAACACCACAAAAGCCTTCAGTAATAGCCGTCGTAAACACAACGGTATACGGATCCATTAGAAACTACACGCTCCCGCACAAATACAGTCTTGTATGGATAACACGCTGTTAAATCCGGCCCTCAGTTGAGACGATCCTCAGCACGCCGACGCATTAGCGCAGCAGGGGCCGTCAGTAGGGCGCTTTGCGGTGCAGGCGCAGGCGCAGCGGTTGATGCGCTGTTGGTGCGGCGCGCCCACGAACTGGAGCACTGTGGTGTGCTCCAGTTCGTTCATGCCCCGCAACAGCGCGCGTCACGACCGGCAAGCCCCGCCCCACTGACCGCTTCGCCCTTCGTACGGGCAACGGGCGTCCGGCGTTGCACCTGACTCCACTGCGGTATGCGGTCGTGGAGCGTGGAGGCTGGCGCAGTCCCGACAGTGTGGCGATATTCAGCCGCAACAGCCCAACTGCTTCCCAGATACCGACAGACATAATTGTCACAGGACGATGCTTTTCCTCCGTTCTGTCGCGCTCTTCCCACGACCCCGCATCTGCTGGCACTTCTCCAGTTCGCGCGGCTTCGGCTACAGCGCAATGTAGTCGCTTAAAGGGCTACAGCCGTACAGGTAAGACAGTTAGGATGATATTGTGCTAGCGAAGGATGGTCACTCCCGCTTCCTGACCAATGGTCTCCGTCTCGCCCTGCAGCTGCACAATGACGTGCTGCAGGCATCCAGCAGCTCGCCCTTCGGCTTCATGGACGAGACAGATTTGTGCTCCAGCGTCTTGTAGGCGCCCACGCGCTCCATCCGCTTCGACTCCTCCTGTCAATGTCCGCAACACTGAAATACAAACAGACAAAATAATTCTGTACAAGCTCACTACACAAGGATGAAAAACAATCATTATAACAATGATAAAACTGATATGATTTGTTGACAAATTAATCAATAAACGAATGGCATATTAACAAATAAATTCTCTGGACAACAACCAACGTACCTCCTTGATGCGCAGCGCATTCTTGAGGGAGATGACCTCGGAGTCGGCCTGGATGACGCGCTTCTTGTACAGCTGCATCTCGTCCTCCAGATTGCGGAACTTCCCCTCGAAGGCCTTGGCGTGGGCGGCCCCGGCTGCGGCTGCAAGCTGGCCGAGGCCGGCGTGCTGACGGCCATCTCCGTCTGCGACTGCATCAGACTCCGGTAGCAATTATAGCGCACAAAACACCGTGCCTATTAGCAAGACACACCAGCCAGCGCACTGCTGACCGTTTTCCCGAATTAAAGCTTCCGGCTGCGCCGGCCCCTGCGCATTCTCCTTGACCGCCTCCCCGGCATCCTCCCGCTCCGGCATCCTCGGGCGGGCTGCGGCAGCGGCCTGGCAGTGGCTGACCAGGGCGTCCATGTTCTTGCGCACCGCCTGCACTGGTGCTCCTGCATCTTCCACTGCAGCGTCTTCTTGTCGCGCGACAGACTCTCCACCTGCTCCTGCTCGCCGGAGTCGCGACAAGCGCAGAGATTCCACGTCCTGGGCTGAAAATTCCTCATTGACCACTGGTCAAAAATCCCGGAAACGAAGGCATACCTTGAGGGTCAGCTTCTTTTTAACCTCGAACAGCTCAATGCGCAACGTCTCCACCGTCTTCTCCGACTGCTCGGCGACCAGCCGGAGGTCGGGGATCTGGCGGGTGCAGGCCGTGTAGCGTTCCGTCTGCTCGTGCAAGTTGTGGCTGGTGTGCTCGCTGAGAAACACCACCCATTTAACGATTTAGTGGGGCAATTGCCGGGAACATGGCTCGACGTACCCGATCAGCCGCGTCTCGTTCAGTCGGCGCTCGCATTCCGCCAGCTTGTCGGCGTAGCTTTCGGCTTTCTTCTTGGCCATGTGGTCGGCGCGGGTCATCTGCGCCTGCAGCTCCGGCTTCTCCGCCACCAGGCTCCCGATCGTCTGAATGTGACCCTGTCAACGGCCATTTCAACGGCCGTTAGTCAAGAATCCACGCAATAATTACCTGATTCTCATTCACCGTCCTATCCAAAAAACGCATTCAAATCGCACTAATCTTTTTATCCGATTATTTTCGGTTTTCCACGACTATTTTTATCGTACTCATTGACATTCTTACATTCTTTACATTCTACGACTATTTTTATCTTTATTTATCTTATTAATTTTCTTTTTTTAAGACGATGCACACAGAAATCAGTTTTCCTACAATTATGACGCACGAGAAAAAGTAATTAATGGACTGACGTTGAGCTGCTCGCGGGCGGTTGTGGTGCTCGCGGAGGAGACGCGTGACGACGCTCGAGCGCTCTCGGTCCAGTCCCTGCCGCAGCCGCTGGATGGTCTGGCGCTGCAGAATGCACACCGATCCAGGCTTGCAGCAGTCTGTATAATCGTCGTGCGCGCATTTATGGCTGAAGCCTGAACAAGATCAGTGCGCTGGAAAGTGCGCAGTTGACCATTTCTTCGGTGCCGGCCGATGAGAAGAGCGCCACCTCGGGGCGGTGCTCGGTCAGGCCGTCTTCCGCGGGATTACTGCGCTGGCTCAAATGCCGCAGTAAGCCTCTCCTGCAAATAATCAACTTTCTAATCCCTCCTCTACTTACTATACACAAATACAGTACCCCACAGTCAAATTCACGCAATTTATATACAACAGACTGCCAAGTGCCAACAACCAGAATAAATCAACTAGGAAAACACGCACAATTAATTTATGCAAAATTACCAGGAAAACATGCAAAATTAATTCATGAACTACGTAATTTTAAATAAATAAAAACATGCAAAAGTAATTTTAAAAAAAAAATAAATAAAACTAAAGCTAATTTATCAAAAAATAAAGCTAATAAAATAAATAAATAAATAAATAAAGCTAATAAATAAATGAAGCTAATTTATCAAGCAATTAAAAAACAGCAATAACTGAGGGATGAAATACCTTAAAGTAAGACTAAAATACCAGCATCACAATACTTAATTGGAAAATGTACTACATAAAAACAACCGGAGAAACGTGAGAACTAATTAGCGAATGGAAAGAATAAAATTACTTTATTCCTGACAATATTACCCGCCATCAGACAATAATAATCTGGATATTTAATAGGGATTTCTTTGTAAATAATTTCCGTCTTACATTTCGCCGTTGTCCCCGATGGAGGCCCGCGGGGACGCGCCGTCGACACTGCGCGCTGGCTGGGGAATGGGGCTGGTCGGGGCGGACAGGGGCGGGATACGCGCAGTGACCGGGGCGCCCCCCGCCCCCGGGAAGGAGTCCAGGAAGGGCGAGCCGGCGAGGAGCGGCCCGACAAGCCCGACACGGACAGCTCCTCCGGATCCACAGTCTCCGACACGTTGTCCGCGGTGTCCTGCGCCGTGGCCTTCTTCTAGCGCAACTTGTTCAACTGCCGATCAGGGATTACCATTACATACTGTACTGGTACAGCGGGAGGAGGAGCAGAACAAGGCGGCGCGACCCTCGACGCACCTTCGGTCGCGCCACGGAGAGCCGCACATGGCGCTTCCCCGCCGTCCCTGCACGCTCTCCGCGCCGTCCGACGTCGCCATCCTGGCCAACTGCGAGCAGGACAGCATGTCGCCACCATGGACAACAACGGGTCACTGACAAGCCGCACTATCAACGAGCACTCAACGACTGTCGCGCCATCTGCAAGGCTCAGCGCAGATGCTCGTCGTCGCCATACACATTCCGCTGGCCTGTCGCCCTGTCCATCCCGCACGCAAGCGACATGTTGGTTTTATCCCACACAGCCCATACACACGCGTAATCAGTAATATAATATTGTAGAAAAGTCTCAAGTACCCAATGAAGCGATACCAACATTTTCTAATGGAACCACAGCAGAGCAAGAGAGACGAGAGAGAAATCATTATTGTAGAATTGTAGAGCACGTCACCATGAACAGTGGCAGGCTGTGCACGTGGAGATTAACCTGGCCCGGTGCAGCGACTGGTACGCCGTACGCGTACAAATTCATTTGCTCTCACAAACGGTCCATTCCGACAAAAATTATTACAGACGAAACAACATACGTACAGATATTTACGAGGAAGATTGATTACGTAATGAATGAAATCTCTACTGGTAGATTTCTCTTGGCATTTCTGCATTGTCGACTGCACTGTACTGACAAAAATCTTATCACATTACAGAAATTTATTCTTAGCACATCTTCACCCCGGGCCAGCACCGACTGCACCGTTAAAAGCGTTAATCACAACAACTGAGCAACATTCCAGGTTAACTTTCAAGGAAGTAAAACACCATACCAAAAAAGCGAGATCAATCAGTGAGAACAATCAAATTTCGCCGATATATTTCAGCCACGAATTAAATACCTCCTCGCAGTAGCCCGCTAAATTCACAGAATACACCTTCTTCTCTCCACTGGGCAGCACAACATCCATGGGAAACGTAATCGGCGCGTTCAAGGTGTCTGGATTCAGCTCGAATTTGCCGATTAGGTGCATGTCGAATATATTGAGAATCTCCTCCCTGCCCATAAACTCACAGGAGAGCGCCGTGACGGAACGACCGTTGACCGCATAAACATTGTAGCGGCCTTCTTTTTTCCCGGTGGGAGTGGAAGCGAGGCGGGCGCAACCGCCTCGACCAGGACCGCTTTTGCCGATCGGGGCCGATGTCTTCTTAAAAACCCACAAGTATCCATGAAAGTAGTTGGTCGATTCCGCAATTTTGACTGCGAAGCAGTACTGGGCGTGCGTGGCTCTTCCCAGCCAATTCGCGGACTCAATAAACAAAACGGCACAATTCTCATTGGTAAAACTCGACTCTACAACGGCCACTTCCGGTCGGTTAACTCTCGGCTTGCCCGGGCTGACGGCCACAATTATACTATCACATATTTTGGGATGATTCCGTCCACACCCGTGACGATCCACGAGCTCGAGCGATACCGGACCGCGTCCATCGAAACTGTCTCCCAGTGCGCGTAAGACTCGGGTCGTGAGCGAACCAACCGCGGTGCTGTGGACAGGCGTAATGCGCAGGGTGTAATACACCCATCCCCAATGGACAACCACACCTCCACGCCCTCCGCCAGAATCCACAGCATCCGCCCAGTCGTAATCATCACAATGCCCCAGTACCAACTGCGCTTCAATGCCCACCACCCCCGATCGGAGCAAATATTCAGCATTTTTCATGTCCTCCGCCAATTTGGATTCTATCAGAACACACAGCAACTGCGGTCAGTTAATACACTACCAACTGAACAACCGATCAGTAAAGGAAACAAGGCGTATCGTTACCGTGAGAATTCCGTCCATCCGCATCACCAGCAATCGCTATTAGCTGCATTATGACGTCCACGGCCAGCGCAGCTGTGTCAGCTTCATCTACGAAGCAAACTGTGAATAGCGCGGAAAAACAAACTGCCAACACACAACACGAACCACATAAATTTGGCGCCATGGCACACCGTTCCGCTGTCACGTGGCCGAGGAGACGGAGAACTTCCTGGGGTGAGTAACGAGTCCGCAGCTCCTGATACAGGAGATTCTGCAAGCACATGTCAGTAGAGAAAACACTGCGGATGTTAACTGTCAAAGCGGCACATGATCCTTGGTATAAATAATCGTACAGAAGCAGTCTTGACGAATACAACTACTACGGAGTACACCACTGATACAACCACCGACAGCTTAAAGATTTCTCACCGTGGTCAACACGCCGACGTTAAGCATTTCCAGCGCTTCCAGGTCCCTCGCAGCGGCGACAGTCCGTCGCGCATCTTCTGACAGATCATTGGGCGCGGTCAGGGTGTGGCTCAAGATGGACCAACGCGAGTGTTTCTTACGCAGAAACAGAACACAGCCGGCCATCAGCTTAGAGCCGTCGGCTGGGGGCAGCCACAGCGGACGACCGTGCTGCAGTAAGCTCTGCACTGCTCCCACATCTACGCGCTTGTCGCGCTCCGGATCCTCCCAGATCATGGCCTCCAGAATGCCCGGGAGGAGCATTTCATTATCGGCAATGCCGCCGGCTGCAATGTCGGAAAGAACGCGGTTTCAGTATTCATGCCGCTGCGCATGCCACAGCGTAACAGACATCTAACCTGAATTTTCCCAAGATTCGAACAGACCAGCAAAGTGCCAACGAATCCTTTCCTGCACAGCGACAATATTATAACATGCTCAGTCAAAATGTATCCAGCATACGAAAGAAGTCATACCAGTGCCGAATCGGAATGGGACGGTGACTGGCTGGCCAGTGTAGCAGCGCTGCGGCTGAACATCACGGGAAGAGGCCCCGCGCCCGACTGCCAGCCAATGCCGCTGGTCTCCTTGGTGCGCATGGTGTCCCTGTCAATCAGCAAATTTACAATAAAATAAACAAAAACAAATGACAACAAAACGGCAATAATACTAGGAAAGTGCACTCGCTTTTTGCGGGCACTGCAAGACCGAAGCGTAGCAGGACTACGTATGTACAGAGTGATTGGCACCCCTTTTTCTGTCGGCAATCCTCCTCGATTATTTATTGATCTCATCCCGGTTGGTAGAATTTTTAGTACAGTGACAAGTGAAATCTCGGCCTCTGCCCCCGGTACGCATTTACGTAAGATTTTGCAGATAAGTGAATGTTTCGAATACATGTTTTGAAATTACAAAAAATTTTAATTTCTTCAGCTCTTGTGGAATAATTTATGCCGGTTCATGCAGAGCTGTGGGAGGTCACTGCCACAATATGAACATGTGCAAAGTAGTCAGTGGTAGAATGATCTGCTGAATACGGTGTAAAGTGTTGGATTTGGTACGGGACAGTGTCTGGAACACCCCGCTAGGATACTGATTCAATAATGTTTAGCAGACACCGGTATATTGTTACTGTCACTATCGAATAATGATTTCATTATTGATAGCTTAATCCATCGCTTGTGAATGGCAAATACGCCCTCATGGACGCTTTTGTAGCGCTCTTTTGCCATTTTTTCCTAAAGGGAAAAGCAATAAGTAATCTTTTGATCATATCGGGGAGATGACCACCAACCAATGCATACGGTTAACGTGTATATGTGCGCATCCAGGCTGCAAACATCACCATGCATATTTGCCTTTCGCGGTGGTTGCCGACGCACAGACACCATGAATTACATCTGGCTTGAGTATATACGGCCAGCGTGCATATGTGCATCAGGTAAACAAATACCACCGCGCGTATATGCATCTGGTGGCGGTGACCGACGCACAGACACCACATTTTTCATTATCCTTGAACATAGAAGACCTTCGCTACGCTTCGGTCGATTAATTAATAACCCATAAAATATATACGAATTATTTTTGTATATTATTTAAATGTTACTTTACGCGCACTTTTTCGGCTCCGTCGCGTCGGCGGATTTCTCCTTTGTTTCGCGCTCCTTCCGCTCGGCCTCCTCGCGCTTGATGCCCTCCTGCTCCTCCCTGACCAGTCGCAGTTTCATTAATAACCCATAAAATATATACGAATTATTTTTGTATATTATTTAAATGTTACTTTACGCGCACTTTTTCGGCTCCGTCGCGTCGGCGGATTTCTCCTTTGTTTCGCGCTCCTTCCGCTCGGCCTCCTCGCGCTTGATGCCCTCCTGCTCCTCCCTGACCAGTCGCAGTTTCACCTCGTAGTCCGGCTTGGCGCCTTCCTCCTCGGCAATCTTCACCTCCACCTCGCCGCCCTACACAGCAGCAACACGATATAATTATTTTTTAATTTTCGTACATGCAAACGGATTTATTTCTGTACCAGTTTCTCGGGCATCTGGGCCAGCGTGGTCTTGAGCTGCTCCTGCGTGGTGAGGTTGTCGGGCAGGTACATGGCGCGCGTCAGCAGCAGCAGACTGGGCGGGATCTCCTCGCGCAGACTCAGGTCGATCCACTGCGCCAGCTGCGCCTGCAGCCGCTGCCGCGACACCCCGATGGAGCGCATGCCGCGGGCGCGACACGCCGCCTGCAGCTCCTCGTCGTCCAGCTTGTCGATGCCCTCCCTCTGGATCATCTGTCAAACAATCCCCTTGCACTGGTGAAATTTAAAAAAAATCAAAATAAAATTTGAAAAAATTATACTTCCAAAATCGGGGCAAAACAACAAAATAGGCATTTTAAATTAAAATAATAAATACAATTTCCCAAATAAAATGATACAATTTGGTGAATATTCCCGATAATTCCCTGGTGCAGACCTTGTCGTCGGAGCGGAGATTGCGGAGGCGCATGCGCAGCTGGAAGCGGAGGAACTCGGGCGGCAGGCCGTAGGTGCCGATGTCCAGCAGCCGGCACATGGCGACGACGACCTCCCGCGGGAGGTTGTCCAGCGTCAGGTCGTCCTCGAACAACTTGGCGAACTTCATGATCTCCGCCGTGCTGGCCTCCTCGCCCGTGCCCTTGATGCGGTCGAAGAAGGCGGCGAACTCGGCGGCGCGCGTCGACTTCTGCTGGTCCTGGTGCTCCAGCGCCGTCTCGTGGATCGTCTCCTGCAGGAACTTGGCCATCTCCAGCTTCTTTCCGATCGCTCCCTCCTGCATACGAACCAACAAATCAGACCCCAAAAACCACTACAAGTCGACGACCGAACGCCGTAGAAACTCTCTTTTTCGATATAATTTCTTGCAATTATATATCATTAATAATTACTACACATAATCAATTTTCATGTGATCTTGCTGCCCATTTTTCTCTGGAATATTATTTATCCCCTTATCATTCATTGCGAATTTTAAAATAATTATCAAGTAACCAGCACAATTCGGCCGTCTTCAAACTGAACCTGTTTGTGCACCAGTTTAAACCCGTGCCAGTACTGCTTCAATCCGACCCTCACCTTCTGCCACAGCGTCTTCTTGGACGGCGCCGCCAGCGCCTTCTCCTCCGTCCGCGCCGCGGCGACGGCGCTGTCGCCGCCGCTGCCGCCGGCCACCGCGGGCGGCTGCAGCACGCGCTCCTTGCTCTGCTTGTCCTTCTTCAGCGCCTCCACCGTGCGCTCCACCTTCGACTTCTCCTCCGCCGCCTCCCACCGCCGCGGACTGACGTGCAGGAAGCGCCGCTGGTGGTGCAGCACCGCGTTGTGTAGAGCATAAACGGATGAATGACCGAGAAAGCCCGCCGCGGGCTGATGCAACCACCGCCCCCTGTGTCAAGCACACCACTGGCCAATTTCCACTGCATGCATGATGCACTCGTAAAGTTAAATTTAAATTAACCATCTCCAAAAATTAAATTACGAATAAAATAACAGTTTAACTTAAACAGTTAAGCTATTAAAAATAAAACAATAAAGTTTAAATTCAAATAATTAAAATTTAAATTGTTACAGTACCAATCATTGAATTATCATTCTGACACTCTGATTCAATTAATTTGAATTAAATAACAGAAATACACAAATACCATTTTGATTTATTTAACTCAAAGGCACATTCAAACACAAATACACAAAATCAGTAAACTGAAATTTTAAGTAATAAATTTAAATTTATTACCAAGCGAAAATGGTAAAATAACGCCGTTAAGAATAACACCATTATAACACTAATAATAATAACAGTGCTGGATTTTTACCAGGGACTGATCATCAGCGAAGAACCATGGCCATTTTCGCTGCTGCGAAACGAAGCGCTGCGGGGATCCCCGGACGTCCAGGTGGACAGGCAGCGGGCTGATGACGAAGGGAAATCATTTCCCCGCAGAAACGTCGGGTAGAGAGCGGAGACGGCGAGAGTGCGCGCGGACTGCAGCTGCACAGCGCTCTCCCAAGCAGACGGCTGCGCGTGCGCGACGGCGAAGGGAGACCGTCCGACGCTCCGCCAGCGCACCAGCCACGGGCCGCCCGACTGGCTCCCCACTCGCCACAACATCTTCGCAAAACAATCTGCCAGGAAATTCAATGTCCACACGCAAGCAACAAGGATTCAATCAAAATGCAAACGCATGTCCGTTCAGCGAAGACCGATAATTCGCTGCTTCGCTGTTTCTGCAACTCGGTTTCCGCTGCCGATCCACAGATGAAACAGAGCAAATCAGAAAAAAGCTCACACTAATCCAAAAACTAACCAATATCCCACGAAAAAAGTACAATGTTATCACATGGTTTTTGGTTTTTCCCGAAAAATGCAAATCATGCAGTCGACGGCAAAATGCTAAATCGCCCAGAACTCGAAAAAAGGCATCGCTGAAAATTTCCCCAGGCGGCGTGGCGTGGCGAGCCACCCTGTCTGCCACTACGGCCCACTTCCGTTACGCAGGTTGCGGGCGCCCCCGGCCTATTAATCGTGCCATTTAGCAGGTTACCCAACCCATTTCCCGTGCACAGTTTTTTCAAGTTTTCCGTTTTCGAAATGAAAATTCTTCGTTAAAAGTTGTACTTGTTACTCATCATGTTTTCAGCGCATTCCTACTTGTGTTGATCATTTAACTAGTAGAATCTGGATTGTGCATCTCGAAAAACCCACAACTGGCGATGTCAGCATATTCGCTGCTTAACGGTTTTTACATGGGTAGAAGCTGGAAAAACTCAGGAATCTTGAAAATGTTGATATTGTTACAGTGTTACTTGTAAATCAGTAAATGTTAAGTATGGTTATGGTGCCTTATCTCGCTTCTGCTCCAGAACTGCTGAAAATTTGAAATTATTTGTCTCTCTATATTGATGTGTGGCTGGTGGTCGACGTTCTACACAGTTTGCATTTGGCTGATCTTGGTGCATTTGTGATTTGTCAACGCTGCATCGCATCGTGTGGTTGTCTGCTGAATACGTTTCCTTCGTCCTTCGCGGGATCATGGCCGAACACCCTATGTCCACGTCGTCACTACACGATCATGGGTCAGGACATTCCCGAGGCGCAGGAGAGCCTGCGGAGCAGCCACGTTAACCTGGAACAAGTGGCTCGCTACTGCAAAGTCAACTACATTCAGGTACGAGGTGAACCCGGTCCCAGGTTCCCTGTTGTTTGCTCTATGGTGCTGATAGGCAGCGCAACAGGGATTAGTCAGCGTAGCGTTGAGCGTAGTGCAGGCTTGTTTATCATTCTTATCTTTTGAGTTAGCTGCATGCCCGAGTGGCGATGCAAGCATGTACAGTAAACACTGTAAAGTGTATACAAGGTAACAAGGCAGCATGTGCGTAAACAGCAGCAGCTGCGCATTGAATATCTGTATAGTCCAGTGACCAGTCCAACGTCGGAATGGGTGTTAATGGGTAAATATCGTTGGCAGAATGTGATGGTGCACAAGGAGAAGATTGCGCGCCGCGAGATCGGCGCGCTGGCCACGACGAACAAACCGATGCAGCGCCAGCAGAAGTTCCTGCAGCCGCCGCACCCGGAGCGCGCCATCCGCTACGTGCGCAAGCCCATCGACTACAGCGTGCTGGACGACGTCGGCCACGGCATCAAGACCTCGGCCACGCCGCAGCCGCCGCGCGCGGCCCCCGCCACCGTCCGCAAGACCGGCTCCACCCTCACCGACACCAGCTCCATGAGCTCTGGGCCCTCTGGGAAATGTTTCGCCGGATGCCTGTCGGTATTCCGGAAGAGGGGAAAGAGGGCCGCACCTATCGGCGAAACTGGTTCCGGTCAAATCCAGTGCGACCGCGCTTCATCTCCTACTGGAGAAAAGGACGGCGTATAATGTGTACAAGGTCAATAATCATCCTGCGACTGCACTAAGCTGTGAGAAAATGACCAAAGCGGAAATTGTGTTTGACATGGAATTATTTTGCACATATCTGTACCAGCTGAACCGAGCTACAATGTGTAATTCGTTACCGTGTTTACGTTTGATCTCCTGATGGTCTTATACTATGGTGATAAAAAAGTATACTGTGAAGCTGGCTGGGTACTGCGGACTTGAATTTTCGGTCTCGTTGGAGCACAGTAAACAGTTACTAAACACAGCAACTTGTTATTCATTTTTAAAGAACAGTATCGAAGTGTTTTCTCGTTTTGGATTAAACGCAAGTACTGTAAAGTGTAAACAGACTAATCTTTTGGAGTTTTACAAATTTTTAAACGGGTTACGATATAGCCTGCCGTAAACAAGATCATCAGCCGCAAATAGAGCTGAGAGAATATCAGTTAGTGCTACATTTGGACATCAGTTTATAAGATCTGAAATCGACAGAATTCCAGTCTTCTCTGTATTCCTTGTTCTGCAAGGGGGAGGGGGAAAAGTACTTGGCTTTTAGACGCCGGCACGGATCGAGGTTGCACGGGCACGGAGCTACCCGCCTCGATCATCACGGAAATGGAAGAAGAAGGCGAAGATACAACAGGAAGCCGGCGAGGTACGAGCAACGGAGTATCCACGCCAGCGTATTAGCACAGAAATCCACCCTGGGAAGGCGGCCTCCGACCAGGAAGCGACTCCGGTGGGAGCTAATTTACGTAGAAGAAGGGATGTCCTCTGTTGCATGCCACTGTGGATTACGTACTGATTCTCCGCACTGCGATGCGATGCTTGTTGCCTTCGTATACTCACATCCTACGCTACGCTGCACGGCTGCAGCAATTACAAATCAACGAAAAAATTAATTCCTGGATTTCTGTTTAGAATTTACATTGTGTACTAACTAAACTTAAAGTAGATTTTTTGCTCGATCAAATGCAGCAACATCCTCCTAATGTTGGCTCCGTTCTTAGATTGTTGACCTTTGCTGTCTTAACTTCGTAGGTCGTTAAACCGTTTTTCGGATTGTTATGACTCAAAAGCTTATTTATTCGAAAATCAGCACAAGTACAGTACGGCCAGTATCGGGCTTGTTGCTGTCGCTGTCAGATTGTTAAACTGTCAGACTGAAAATAATGCTACACCGTTCACACAGTAATAACACTTCGCTGATGGATCAAGTTGACTTGAAGAACACGTACACCACAGCGATGAACAGCATGATGAAGAAACGCGATTCGCTAAAGTCTATTTGTAAAGATCAGTCCTTTGCTGTACAGGATACGGCGATATTGGCCTAGTGCGTATCCCAGTACGCACGCAGCGAACGATTCTTTGCTGATAGGAAAACCATCATGGAACCTTGGGGCAATTAGACAGACTCTGGCTAGCAATGTTCAAGGGAGCTGTTGTTAGCAGCTACGCGTGAAGCCCGGCACAGGTCGGCTTATTTGCGGCCAGCGGGTGCGCTCAGCACTGTCAGCAGTGAACACAGCGTGATTCGTCGTCCTCCATGGAACTTCAGTCGAGGGCCATGGACCAGCAGAGCTCTACAGGCTACAGAGTGGTCAAGACGTACTCCCGACGGCTTGGGAATGGTCAGCGTGTCAGGAGCGGCTGGTGTTCAGTTGTAAGGCTTCAGGGTAGAAGGATCTGTAGAAATCGTAGAACGAGTCCAGATTGGGCTGCGTGGCGGGCCGTCTGTGGAGGAGCTGCCAGTGGAACAGCCAGTGATTCCTCAGCCGCCTCCCAAACCGGCCCAGATCCACCCGGTGCGCCTGCACTGGCCCGTCCGGATACTTGAGCTCGATGTCGAAGGCGATGGACAGCGTGTCGGCGTTGGTGTCGTCCATGTCGAAGCGCTGCAGCAGCTGCATGTCCAGTACGCGCAACAGCTCCTCCTTCCTCGACAGCAAACGATGGGCGGTGTCATCGGTCAGATGGTATCCGGCGACATTGTAGCCAGCAATGCAGTGTGCGCAGTCGGCGGAAACGTCTGTGAATGGAGCGGAGGATCGGAGGGGAGGGGAGAAGCCCAAGAAGCTTTCACGCCAGTTAAACTGTTTCCAATCTGGGGTCAGCTTGTTCTTGGCCGTCTTCTGGAAGACGAAGAGACTGGCACTGAACTGCTGCCGATCTGGCATGATCTTCACTGCGAAGCAGTACTGCGCGTTGGTGGCCGGGCCCAGCCAGTCGGATGCCAGCAGCAGCAGCGGCGCCAGACTGTCCTGGAAGGCCGCCTCGATGATGATCACCTCGTCGTGGCAGCGGATGCCCCACGCTGGCGTTGCGGCGAAGGTGAAGGCCTCCATGGCCGTTAGAGCGTAGTAGACCCCGGATCCATGCCGGTCCCGCACATTGCGGGTCACAGGATACGGCCCCTGCAGCTGGCCCGTCAAGTGCGGATTCCGCTGCAGATGGACTCCCAGGTTGAAGGCCGCGTCATCGGCAACGCGACTGCTGCTGCAGCTGAAATACACCCAGTCCTGGTGGACGAAGAGACGCCCGGGGTGCCTAAAGTCATCCGCACTGTAGGTAACCACGCGGCCGAACTCGTCGCGCCGTCCCAGCACGAGAACCGTGCCGGCTGCCAGGCCCATGTCCTTGTCGCACAGCAGGGATTCCGCTACGCCCAGGTACTGCTGCAGCTTCCTCTCTGCGCCTGTTCAACGACCAAGCAGCTCAGTGTCTTCTATGAACTAAGCTCTCACTTTGATTCCAGATTAAATTATTACATAATATTATACGGCGAAATAATTACTGGTAGTGTGAGGTATCAGACGGTACACGTTGACGTATGTATTTTATGTACAGTACACATAATTTGCACCGAGCGCGAAGCGCCCGAGGTGCTGCAATAAGTCTTCGTCAAGAGCATAAAATTTGTCTGAAGCCACGAAGAGCGTACGTCACGCTTTTCCAATTCCACAATCCCAATACCATTTCCCAGTGGTATTGGCGCTCGCGCTCGTGCAATAATGTGGTTCGCAAACCACCGCTAGTATTACCGTTCTACGGACGCATCGCGGAAATCAAATGACAATCACAACAACAACAAATGCATGCACATTCCGCTTGCCGCTTCTGGCCGCAGCCCAGTCCCGGCAGTCCGGCCGGGCTTATTCTTACAATCTTACTTACCCCAGTCCCAATGCACGCCGTTCAGCGCTGCGTACCCGGCCAAGGCGTCCACGAAGGCCATACCGGCAGCCCGTTGGGCATGACTAGTGTCAGTAGCTCGCAGCTGTACGGCTGCCTGATCAATATCATCCAGCTTCAGCGGCGCTGCAAATCGCCAACAGAATAGATAAGCACCCCGTTGCGCCTCGATCTTAACCAGTACGAGTACTTAGTATGGATACTGAGAGCTACGACCCTATGCATTATTGCATGGTATTATTGCGTGGACAGTGGACACTCACCGTCACGGGGGCGTGGCTGCAGCTCGTCTAATCCGGCACGGATAGCCGCCTGCGCCCTCCATCGCCAGCCGGCGGCGCTCGTCATCGTGCCGTCTTGAGGGTCCAGCAGATCCTGTGAGTAACAGGCCGACACTGACACGGTCATGAAGTGCATTTAGCCGTTTGCGCTGGCCATATCAGCACATAAGCATGCAGTGGATGATACAACGGCAGCGGGAATAGGAATTGCTGCATTACTGTAGTAAATTTAGTACACGGCTGACGTACCAGCACCAGTTGGCCCACCACCGCGATGCCCCGCTCCTCCCGTCGTCGTGCCGTCTCCACCGCCCACCGGGCCGCCATCGTCAGGTCGCCGGGGGCCAGCAGAGTGGCGGTGAGGATGCTGCAGCCGATGCGCTTGCGGTGCAGGAAGGCCAGGCAGGCCCGCAGGAGGTCGCTCCGCTGTGCCGGGCTGCTACTGCGAGTGCTACGCAGCTCCGCCGTGACGAGCTGCGGGCCCAGCTGCTCCAGCGTCTGCACGGCGTCCAGACGGCGGCGGGCGGGGTCGGGGGCATAGTAGAAGCGGTCGGTCGGGTGGCGGGTGTAGGTGTCATCCTGCAGCGCCTGAATGATGCCTGCCACATCCACATCCGGCGGCGTGCCGGTCCTGCAGTCGCCACTGCCTATTCCACGATATCCAGGGGCATGATAGCCTGCAGTACAATTACACTATAGAAACGGTACAGACCAGAAAAGAGTACCAGCTGAGCTAGCGCGGACGGACTTGCGCAGTAACACACGCGTCTTGTAAGAAGCACTTTAGGCACAGTTAAGTATGTATCATGTATCCAGCAAGCTAAAATTGTTTAGCCATTTAGGTGTTCATCAATTATTTAGGATGAGTTGTTCAATTAATTAAAGTACATGGGCCAAAAGATCTGTTACAGAGATTGGGAAGAGGATTTCGCTACAATCCGGCGAGATTCGTAGTCTTGAGTTTTTGGAACAGAACATACTCTAGGAATTCAACGTGGTAATGCTGCTTCTGTAATCGGTACCGTTGTGGATGTTGTTTCGTTTAGCCGTAATAAGTCTTGATACTGTTATCGCGCTACTGAAATAAAATACACCCACAGCAAGTGATATTTCGGCTTTTTTTTAATGTTTAAAGCTTTAATAATAAAGTAGTATATCACCGCTGTTGCACCTTCCTGTTATTCTGGCGCCTAGTGCGAATACTGTATAGTGTATACTATAATTATAAGAAAAAATAATGAAATTAATATAAACGTAGTTAACCTAAGCATTTAGCTGTTTATGTATTTGTCAATTTACATGTTATGCATCGACGTATTGTAACAGGTAACAGGGGGCGGACAGCAATTCAATTTAATTATTCATTTATTATGTAGCTGTTTAGATGCAGTACGAAGTATGCAAACTACTAATCGTAAGTACAGTATTTAGCAGGTTTAGCTATTCAGATTATCAGATATTTGGGTAAGTATTAAATTTTGGTGTTCACTGTACAGTCTGGACGTACGTGCAGTATTTATAATTATCACAATAATACCGTAACCATAATTCTTTCCACAAAATTAATGGTACTTACTCGTTCTACCTATAAGTACTTCTCGGCAAAACACTGACAGTAAGTGTAGTACTCGTACTGTACATTTGTATTAAAGTGAAATTAATATTGTGTACAGTGTACATATTGTACTCGTACTCGTAGTGTGTATTGTAGTACAGTACTTAATATCAGTTTGCGTACTATGCTTGCTCCTGCTGGGCACAAACAGATACCTAAGTATTAAAAAAACAGAATTAAAAATACTGTACTCAACGCTGGATTCCATTTTTCCAGCTATGTAGTCAATTAATTGTAAGTAGTCCTACCATGTCCATGCGCATCGGCACCTGCCTCGCTGGCCGTGCTGACGCCTGATGTACCATGCCAGTCCTGACTGTAACGCAGTCCTACAACGCGACTGTTCCGCGAGAGAATCCTCGCCTGGACTGCCAGGATCGCAACCTTCGTCAGGGCACGTCGGCTGGTGTTGCTTAATAACGGCAACATTGCTTGGAGATACTGTAGAGGATTCGACAGCAACTTAACGGCAGTCAGGTTAATAACAGCATCTACGCTCCAGTGCAGCAGTTTCCGACTTCTGGTAAGTAACGATAAATTCTGACGAATCTGTGAATGTGCTGCGTGTGTAACAAGTTGAATAAGGTAACGGTTGAATTTCTTGTACTAAATACCTAAACAACTTGTAATAACGTATCGACAAGCAAAGTCACAAACCGAACTCGACTGAACTGAAGGCATAGGATTACAGTATTAGTTCTTGTAAAAAAGTTGAGGTACACTAGTGACTAGTCCTTATTCAGTCTGCGTACAGTGGATAGCGTCACACAAAACTGTCAAAAAGAAAAACATAAATCAATGTATTAACGGTACGCAAGCGTGGCTTCTGGGAGGCGCATGATTAAAGCGATGGTGTGCGCAGTCGGCAACCCCTGCGGGTGCGGTTTGTATCAGCAGTTACTTGCATTCCACTTCCGGTCGTACTGCAAACACTTCAATTATTTTGCAATATTTTGTCGTATTTCAGATGTTTTCTTTACCTTTAATAAATAAGTACTAGCGGTGGTTTGCGAACCACATTATTGCACGAGCGCGAGCGCCAGTACCACTGGGAAATGGTATTGGGATTGTGGAATTGGAAAAGCGTGACGTACGACTACGCTCTTCGTGGCTTCAGACAAATTTTATGCTCTTGACGAAGACTTATTGCAGCACCTCGCGCTTCGCGCTCGGTGCAAATCATATATCCGATACAAACTAAATACCGAAAACAACGTTCATAAAAGAAACACTTCCTCTGTGCTGCTTCCTCTCTTACAGGTTCGACTGTGCCATTGCAGTGATTACGTGATTCTGCGGCGCACATTTTGCCAAAATGTGCGGCGCTGATTTTGGAATATAGATATAACTCCTAGTTGCGTTATTTCGTAAATTCTTTCACTCGATAACTCAAAAAATGCAGGAGAAAATTCCATGATTGCAAATGAAAGATTTCCAAATAAAACGTTTCCATCGAAACGAGATACCGCCATACGATCGTACTGGGTTTTGCGTTTAGCATACTGTAGTCACAAAGCGAGCGCTTGTCAATCTCGTCTTCCTGTGTGTGGAAGATGCAGGGAAGCGCATTTTACACGTGAATGCCAAAATGATGCCGTGACTATAAATGTTCAAACTGTTCGGAGAATCACGCTGCTGGATCTACCAACTGTCGCTCGCAACAGCGGGCTGTGGAGAAGTACCGTACTAGGTTTTGACAACGCTTTTCTCTCAGCCCTAAATATTTGATAAATGATAATTACTGTATTGCACTGAATATCTGAAAGACTGAAACCACCTTGACCGGTCCAATATTCTACCCTGAAAACTGACCTTTACAACTCAGCCTGGAAACCATCATGAAGATTGCAGTAACACTGCTGCCATGAAGAATTAAATGACCTCAACCAAGATTTGTTGGAGCAAGTAAAATCCTCAACAACAACAACAGCATACTGTAGTGTACAGTACAGTGTACAAACATCGTACAAACAGCATAACAGCCATCAATAACAGCCGAGTAAGCTCAACGGCATACAGATCTCACAGTGGACAATCCATAAGAAAACACGCTGACGAATAAATAAAGCCTTTTGTGTGGATAACACGCTGTCTGATCCGGCGTTCAGACGACCCTCCGCACGCCGACGTAGCAGGGACAGTAGGGCGTGTGGTGCAGCGGACGGTGCGGGTGCGTCTCTCCGGTGTGTGGACGAGGTGGTTCATGCCCGGCCTGCAGCAGCGTCAGGAATCACCGAATCAGGAGCGGGAAGCCCTGACCGCTTCTCCCGTCCCACGTCTCACGTGGGACGGACGACGGTGTCCGGCCGGCGTGTTGCCAACTTGCCACTGCACTTCGGCATGCGGCCGCGGAGCAGTCCGGACAGTTGGGCGACCAGCAGGTGCCAAAGCCCAGCTGGTTATAAGTACCGAGTACCGACATAACATCCATAGGACGATTACCTTCATGCTGTCGCGCTGTTCCTGCCGGGTGCATGCGCTGGTTCTGCTACAGCGCAATGTAGTCGCCTCCAGGGTAAACTAGGTAATTAGGATACTGGGCGAGGGAAAAGGTCATTCAGCGTCTGACCAACGGTCTCCGTCTCGCCCGGCAGCTGCAGGATGACGTGCTCCAGCTGATCCACCTGCCCCTGTAGTTCGGCGTTCTGTTCATGGCCGTCACGAATTTGTGCTAATCCAGGGTCTTGTAAGGGCCCACGCGCTCCGTCAGCTCCAGCAGCTTCGGCTCCTCCTACCAACACTCACAACAGTCAAATAAAATAGATTAAAAATACACTAAATAAGACAAAACCATTATCATTATAATAATGATAAATACATATTTTACTCTCAAATTAACAAATCAAGGCATATTAACAAGTAAATTCCAATTCTCTTTACAGCAGCCAATGTAACTCCTTAATGCGCGCAGTGCATTCTTGAGGTAGATGACCTCGGAGTCGGCCTGGATGACGCGGTTCTTGTACATCTGCATCTCGTCCTCCAGATTGCGGATCTTCCCCTCGAAGGCCTTGGCGTGGGCGGCCGGCTGCGGCTGCGAGCTGGCCAAGGCCGGCGTGCTGACGGCCATATCTCCGTCTGCCACTGCGAGTGCATCAGACTCCGACTGGGCGGACGCCGGGAAGAGCCGTCAGCTTGCGTGCGCAGTTGGTACGACTGCTCCTTCTCCTTCCGCAGCTCCACCGTCAGCCCGTCCAGCAGCCGCTTCAGCTCGTGGTTCTGCGAGACGGCGCGGCTCAGCGCCACCTTATCGCTCTCCACGGACGCCAGCAAACTGCTGCGGTCGCTGGCGCTGGTGGACAGCTGCTCGTTCATGATCAGTGTCGTTTAGCCGCGCACTCCGCGCTGTGTTCGTGCAGACGCGCTTCGCACTGCTGCAGGGCATCGCTCTATACAAATAAATTCTTTAATTAGCATTAGCTGATAAATCATAGTATGTATCACTGGAATAACGGTCAGGCAATCGGTAATTTCGTCGTTTTATTTGCTAATTAATTTTTATCATCACTGATTAAAACAGCGATTACAGTACAGTCAATCGCTATCGCTTGTGAGTTGCGCGATAGTCTTTGACTGACCTTCTGCTGGTTGGCCGACGCCAGTCTAGCTTCTCTTGCTGCAGCTGGTCCATGAGGCTTTTCTGCTGCGCCGCCGAGTTCAGAAGTTATTCTAACGCAGAAAACAAGCTTTATTTACGCACGAATTTTTGAGTCGACGCGCTGATTAGCGTATTTGCGAACTAAAGGCTCTGGCTGCGCGTTCTCCTTGACGGCTTTCCCCGCATCCTCCCGATCCGGCATGAGCGGGCACGCCGGAGCGGTAGGGCGTCCATGTCGCGGCGCGGCGTGGCCGTCTCCAAAGACTCTCCAACTACTCCTGCTCGCGGAGTCGGCGGCGTCGCGCTGCGGTATCCGTCCTGCGCAAAAAATCCCCTCTTCGACTACGAGTACCGACCCAGATTACTAACACGCGCACTATGTTGACCCCGTGGAGGCGCTCAGGGCCGCTTCGAATCGCTTAGCCCCTAACGCTAATACATGTCACATGATGAGCGATTTCCTTGGGAAGAACCGCTAGCTTTATGGAGATCATTTGCCAGTCTAATAATTATGATTAATTTTTCCACCAACACCTTTTAACCGAACGTTTAAAATAAAGCAAATCCAGGGACTGCGGTGCTTGACGCAGTCGGTGATTCTGTGTTCCCCGGCGGATACCCGGAAGTGTGACCGCGTATTGCGAATATAGCTATATGGGCAATTTGGGAAATTCCTACTATTCTCCTTGGAGAATGCGGCAGGTTCCCGTGATGAGCGGCAGCCGGCAGGGGCGTGCCCGCGAACACGAGGAAATGGAGGGAGGAAAGGCGCGGGCGAGGAGTGGTCGGAGAAGGATACGGAGAGCTCCTGCGCCGTGCCATCCCTTCCGATCGACCAGTCCTCCGCGCCGTGGCCTTCTTCATGCGGAACATGTTCAACGGGCAGAGTGCAGACCAGACATGTGCGTTATACGTACTCTACACCAGTACAACAGCAACGCACTCAAGGGACGCAATCACCAACGGGCAACGAGAGGCCCAACTCGCATCGCGCTCTTCCACGGCCGCCACGCGACTCACGCCGCGTGGCGCCGTGGCCTTCGTCTCGGTGGACGGCGCTTTCCAAGTCCCAGTAGGCAGTAGCAGATTCTCTGCCGAGATTACTATGTCGCGACGAGGCAATCACAGCCACACTAGCCTGCTTTCTACGAGCATCCTGCCAGTACAGTGCGTTGTCGTGTTTCCACTGGCAGTTGTTGTCAGCCCAGGCCATGCTCAGCAGTCATACGCTCGCTGTCATACAGATTCTGCTTCCTGCACCACAGAGTACAGATACACGTACTCTCGGTGCTCATCCCGCACGCAGTATAAATCTTCCTTCTCCTCACACACACTTAACCAACACGCACCATAATGATCGTATTCAGTATTATGCATAAAAATCTAAAGTGATCACAGAATTCAATAATGGAGCGGAAAAGTTTAATGAAGTTTTAATGTTGTAAAAATTGTGCTGTTTTTTAATTATCGCATAACACGTTGTACTACAGGTGAATAAAGAACAGATCACCGGATGGAAAGTTCGACAACTAGATGGGATCAAAGTAGCCAGGGAATAATAAGAAATTGTCAGAGTAGGTTCTGGTTACTACCGTCGTAGTGAGCAACCGTATGGTGTAAGTACTGAAAATACGTACAAACTGCATGGAGGAAAACGAAAATTCATGTACTACGAGTAGCGCTGCACAGTTGTTACAGTACTTACAATACAGAATACAGAAATTAATAATACCATCAACCGGAATTTACTCAACTCACAGGAACATTATTATTAACGTCTAAGCAGATCAAAACCAGGAGTAGCTTCTGAACAAACACTTTGTCGCGTCAAATCACAAGATCACGAAACAGTGCTGTTATGCTGCAGCCAGGCCGAATAGACCTCTTTGCAGTAGCCCGACAGATCAACTGTATACAGTTTCCTATCACCATTCCGCATCACGATCGGGAGATCAAACTTGACAGCATCATACACTGCAGCTTTGTTTAGCTCGCACCGGAATACTAAATCCATGTCGAATATGGTAAGGATTTCCGCTTTGGTCATTTTTTCACACTTTAGTGCAGTCACACGATGATTATTGACCATGTACACATTATACACACCATCTTTTTCTCCAGTGGGAGTCGACACCAGATCGCATTCGATCTTACCGGGTCCAGTTTTCCCGATGGGCGCGGCGACCTTACGGAAAACCCACACGCACCCGTTGAAATAGACTTTGCTGTAGCCGACTTTGACCGCAACGCAATACTGTATGCGGGTAGTTTTCCCAAGCCAGTTGGCTGCCTCGATAAAGAGAACGGCTGTGTTCTCATTGGAGAAACTCGATTCAATCACGACGGCTTCCTGGGCGAATACTTCCGGTGGGTCATGCAGGGCTGAGAGAAGTATTCCGCTGTCGGCGTTTTTCGTTTTAACTGTTCCACAGCCGTGACGGTCAACGATTTCCCCGGAGAACTGATAGCCCTCTACAGCATCGTTGCCTAGGGCACGGAGGATCCTCGCAGTCAGCCCTCCGACTGAGATGGTGTGGACAATGGTGATCCGCGCCATGAAATACACCCAACCGTTATGGACAGTCACACGTCCACTTTCTCCGGCAAACTTCTCATCATCATAATCTCGCCAATCGTACTCCTTGTAATGACCCAGGACCAACTGCGCTTCCCTCCCCACAGCGCCCGAGCGCACCAAGTATAGGGCGTTGCGCATATCCTCAATAAGTCTGGAATCTATCAAAACACAGAAATCAGAGATAAATTAATCACCACCGCTTCCCCAACTGCACAACCGATCTGCAAAGAAGAACCACGCCTTTTACCAATGTGATTGAATTCGTTAGGCGCAATGGAGAGAAGCCCAGCCGCTTTCTTAACCAACATCAACGAGGCATCCAAATAAGATGCAGACTCATCTCCTCGCATGACTCCACCTACAACGCAAACTGTCAAGACAGCAGAAAGTACAGTGCAAGTGTGCAAGCACACAACACTAACCGAACGCGTCCAACGCGGCGGCACGTGCCACTGCACGCCGTTCAGCTGCCACTTCGTCGATGAGACCGGAGATGACCGCGGGGCTGGCGAAGGCTCGCAACTCCGTGTAAAGGAGATTCTGCAAGCACATGGCCGTCAGTACAGAAAAAGCATTAATAACAGATACATTATCGAAGCACTGCGTGGCGTGAACCGAATAGCAGTTAGTCTTACAGTTATTTACTTGCAGTGTAGATAATCCTTATTACATTTAAATAATGCTGCACAAAATCAACCACAACACTACAAGTACAGCCAATTTCTCACCAGCATCAATTTGCCGACTTTACTCATTTCTAGCTTTTCACGGTCTTTCGCAGCAGCGACGATGGCACGCGCCTCGCGGGAGAGGTCGTTGGGAGCGGAAAGTGTGCACTTCAGAATCGAATAGCGAGAACGTTTCTTGTGCAGGAAAGAGACAGAGGTGACCAGCAAGTGCCGGTGCACAGCCGGAGGGAGGCGCAGCGGTCGACGGTCGCGCAGCAGGCCATCCACGGCCGCCACATCGAGGTGCTTGTGCAGTTCCGGCTTGGCAACGGTCATGCCATCCAGCACGCGGTGGAGGTAGTCTCCCGAGTCTGCGATATCATCGGGAAGAAAACGGATGTACAATGCGCATGACACGGCTCAGTCGACGTCTTACCCAATTCGATCGAGGGACATTTTGCCAGTTCCGCCAAGCAGTGCTTAATATCTTCCTGTGCAACAACAAGAACAAGCATTCAGTAAGCAAGTCGTATTACCAGTGACCACTGCACTACAGAAACCAAGTCATACATACGATTGCCGCATCCGACACCGATTCCCATCGCGAGTTGGCAGCCAGCGTCGCAGCGCTGCGGCTGAAAATCACAGGCAGCTTGCCCGGTTGCCGCCGAACGGTGCTCGTCGGCTCATCGATGCTCAGCTGATAGTCCCTTGAATAAACATTATTCAAGTTAAAGGCAAGTAAGAAAAAAATAGATCGAAATAATTAACAAGAAACTGAGGATGCTCAGAAAATTAATGCTAATATAATCTTCAACCAGCATTTTCAAATATTAATTCCTCGCACTTTTTCTGGTCCATGGCGTCGACCATGTCCAGCATGCGCTGCCGGTCGGCGTCCTCGGCCTTCTGCAGCTGCTGGAGCTGCGCCTTGTCGTCCTTGATCTCCGTCTTGAGGTCGCTCTTCTGCGTCTCCAGATCCTGCATCAGCTTCTCCATGCTGGTCAGCATCTTGTCCACGCGCTTCGTCAGCCGTCTGGCCGCTTTGGACTCCTGCAGCTTGGACGCCTCGGGCAGCTGCTTCAGCTCCTGAATGTCCTGTCAACACACGCGTTCACTTTAGTTTCAAGCGAAATGTGCCGGTACATCCAAAATTATTTATTCCATCACATTCATCAAAAACAATTAACGAAAACATTAATAAATATTAACTACCTTTCTTTTCAACAGCTTTTTTCACTGCACTTTATTCGCTCGGTATTTAATTTGATCAATATTGCCACATAAAATTACTTCAAAATTTTTTTCATTTTTTCAAGTTAGATTGTTCAGTGCAGATCGTTTTTTTTTCAAATGCTGAAGTCTGGTTTACTTCTAAAATGATTTGGTTTAACGCTTGATACGTGAAAGATTTTAAAAATGATTTTTTAAATTGTAAAATCATTAAAAATGAATGATTGTAAAATGAATTTAACATTTAAAATTTATTTAAAATTAAATGTAAATTTCCAAATTTAGGTTAGAGCGTGGAAAAGGCCGGCGCACGCCAGTACTGACCTCCTTGTACTCCTGCACCTCCTCCTTGAGATCCTGCTGCTCCAGCAGACTGTACTTCTCCTTGCTGATCTTCTCGATCACGTCCTCGATGTGCTCCATGTCCTGCTTGGTGATCTCCTGCACCAACGGTGCGACACTCTGCAAGTCCGTCTTCGTCACGTCCGCAGGCTTGACGTCCTTCAGCTGCGCCGTCTTCAGCAGCACTTCTGCGCAACACACCACAACCACCGCATCAGAATCTCCATTTTCTTAAAAAATAAAATTCCAGCGGAACACTCACCAGCCAACACAGGCGAAGGCGTCTGCACCGCCTGCAAAATCGAAAAAACCCTGGTTAGTGGTTACTTCATTTAAATTCATCAAAAATAAACCTGAAAATTAACCATGAAAGCGATAATGATATTGTAGGAGTTGCCGCGCACTAGTTTAAACCCGTGCCAGTAGTGCTTCAATCCGACCCTCACCGTCTTCTTGGGCGGCGCCGCCAGCGCCTTCTCCTCCGTCCCCGCCGCGGCGACGGCGCTGTCGCCGCCGCTGCCGCCGGGCACCGCGGGCGGCTGCAGCACGCGCTCCTTGCTCTGCTTGTCCTTCTTCAGCGCCTCCACCGTGCGCTCCACCTTCGACTTCTCCTCCGCCGCCTCCCACCGCCGCGGACTGACGTGCAGGAAGCGCCGCTGGTGGTGCAGCACCGCGTTGTGTAGAGCATAAACGGATGAATGACCGAGAAAGCCCGCCGCGGGCTGATGCAACCACCGCCCCCTGTGTCAAGCACACCACTGGCCAATTTCCACTGCATGCATGATGCACTCGTAAAGTTAAATTTAAATTTAGCATCTCCAAAAACTAAATTAAGACTAAAGTAATAATTAAAATATTAAAAATAAGAATTAAAACTCAAATTATTAAGTATTAATTATCAATCATTCTGACAATCTGATTCAATTAAATACGAGTATAAACAGAAATAAGTATACATCATTATACAAAGGCACAATCAAACACAAATAAACAAAATCAGTAAACCGAAATTTTAAGTAATAAATTTAAATTTATTACCGAGCGAAAATGAGAAAATAACGCCATTATAAATAACAGTGTTGGATTTTTACCAGGGACTGATCATCAGCGAAGAACCATGGCCATTTTCGCTGCTGCGAAACGAAGCGCTGCGGGGATCCCCGGACGTCCAGGTGGACAGGCAGCGGGCTGATGACGAAAGAAAATCATTTCCCCGCAGAAACGTCGGGTAGAGAGCGGAGACGGCGAGAGTGCGCGCGGACTGCAGCTGCACAGCGCTCTCCCAAGCAGACGGCTGCGCGTGCGCGACGGCGAAGGGAGACCGTCCGACGCTCCGCCAGCGCACCAGCCACGGACCCCCCGACAGGCTCCCCACTCGCCACAACATGTTCGCAAAATAATCTGCCCAAGAAATTCAAAATCCACACGCAAGCAATAAGGATTCAATCAGCATTCAGACGCATGTCCGCTCAGCGAAGACCGATAATTCGCTGCTTCACTGTTTCTGCAACTCGGTTTCCGCTGCCGATCCAGTCAGCCTGGTGCAGAAGAAACAAATCAACGCTCAAACTCAATCAAAAACCACCAAAAATTGTAATCTTTTACATGGTTTCTTGTTTACTTTTTGCTGAAAAACGCGAATCATGCAGTCAACGACAAAATGAAAATGCTACAGAACTGTAAATCAGTAAATCGCTCAGAACTCGAAACCAGGCATCACACTGGAACTTTCCTTAAAGACTTAAGCGAGTGGCGTGGCGAGCCGCCCTGCCTGCCGTTACGCCCCACTTCCGTTACGCAGGTTGCGGTCGGCCCCGACCTATTAATCGTGCCACTTTGCAGGTTCCCAAACTCATTTCCCGTGGCACAGTTTTTTCAAGTTTTTGAAATGAAAAATCCTTCATAACAAGTTGTATGTATCATGTTTTCCGCGCATTCCTACCTGTGTTGATCACTTAGCTTGCGGGTTCTGGATTGTGCGTCTCGGAAAACATGTAAAAATCGTTGAGAAGCAGCGAATATGCTGACCTCGCCAGTTTGAGTTGTGGGTGGAAACTGGAAAACATCCCGAATCTTGAAAATGTTATTCCTTGTAAAAATTACTTATGGTGCCTTATCCCGCTTCTGTTCCAAAACTCCCAAATATTTGAAATTATTTGTATCTCTGGATTCATAATTTGACTGATGGTCGACAGACTACGCAGTGTTTGTTTGATTGATTTGAGTAGTTGACTGTCAAGTGTCAACGCTGCATCGCATCGTGTGGTTGGTCTTCTGACGACGTTTCCTTCGTCCTACACGGGATCATGGCCGAACACCCCATGTACACGATCATGGACCAGGACATTCCCGAGGCGCAGGAGAGCCTGCGGAGCAGCCACGTTAACCTGGAACAAGTGGCTCGCTACTGCAAAGTCAACTACATTCAGGTACGAGATGAACCCGGCGCACAGGCCCAGGTTCCCTGTTGGCTGTATGTTGCTAATAAGCAGCGCTACAGGGATTAGCGAGCGTAGTGTAGCCTTGTTTATCTTATCTTTGGAGTTTGGTTGCATGCCTGAGTGGCGAATGCGATGCAATCGTGTAAGGGTAAACAAGGCAGCATGTGACTGATGATGAATGTGTTTGTCAGGCGGAAGACAAGCGGCACGCTCTGGACGAGACGAAGAACTACGCGACGCAGGCGCTGGCCAGCGTGGCCTACCAGATCAACGCCTTCTCCTACCATCTCATGCAGCTCTTCGACCACCAGGACGTCCAGCTGGCCGAGATGGAGTCGCAGCTGCGCCACGTCGACCAGGTAATTACGCTAAAGACAATTCCAATCATTTCCTAAATTAAACAAAATTATCCCGTAAAAATCTGTGAACAACTTTCACGTGAAAATAAAATTTACAAAATTTCTACGCGACTTGCGGATTGTTTTTGCCTGGCTTCGAATGACGAACATCAGAAAACATTTCTTTAAAATAAATGTGTTATTTGTTTGCGCGCAGGTATTTTTTGGTATTTTCTTAGTTTTAGGATAGATTTTACTCGGCGTATAGGCGTCTATGTTGTCACTGTATGCTGCGTTGTTTTCTGCTCACAATTGTCAGTCTGTGTTCGGAAAGTGGATGGCTGCGCGATTTCCCACGGTATCAGTTACACATGAGTGATCCGTGCATATTTCTGCTGATTGCTCGCGCTGTGTGTTTTTTTCACCGGCTGTCGTTGCAGCGAGTTAGTTCTATAATCTCCATGAATGGAAGCCATCTTGGCGGAATTATCTGACTAATCGTGCAGATCGTTTTGATGATCGCTCCCGATAATATTCCTACACGCATACTCTATACACGCAATTTCACTGATACTTTATCAGCGCGATTTTATCTTTTTGAAAATTCAGTTAATAATTACTGTAATGATTTTTGATTTTAATTGGTTTGTTTTTTTCCCCTTCATCATGCTGTTGTCGTTAGGAGTGCGCGGTATTTATGCTGAAATTCTTAAAAATAATTTTAGTAATTACAAATTAGTCAGACGGTGGTAGCCGGTAGGAAGAAATTATAATCAAAATCAGAGGTGAATTAAAAATTTAAATTAGTATTGTAAATGTCAGCTGAAATCGCGGACTTTTTAACTATTTCTTGTGTATCTGGGTGGCTGCGCATTGAATCTTTGTATAGTCCAGTCCAGCGTCGGAATGGGTGTTAATGGGTAAATATTCGTTGGCAGAATGTGATGGTGCACAAGGAGAAGATTGCGCGCCGCGAGATCGGCGCGCTGGCCACGACGAACAAACCGATGCAGCGCCAGCAGAAGTTCCTGCAGCCGCCGCACCCGGAGCGCGCCATCCGCTACGTGCGCAAGCCCATCGACTACAGCGTGCTGGACGACGTCGGCCACGGCATCAAGACCTCCGCCACGCCGCAGCAGCCGCGCGCGGCCCCCGCCACCGTCCGCAAGACCGGCTCCACCCTCACCGACACCAGCTCCATGAGCTCGGGACCCTCCAGCACCTACGACACCGCCGCCATCTACCGCAAGACCGGCGTGACGGCCGGCGGGACCCTGTCGCGCGGCGGCGGACCCCCGGGCAGCCAGCGCAACGCCTCCGACTACCGCGCCCCGGTGCCCCCGCCGCCCCCCGTCGTCCCGCCCATCGCGCTGCCCGCGGCGGCCGTCCACGGGGCCGGCGCCAAGCAGTACGTCAGCGCGGCGCCGACGCCCAGTCAGACGCACCGCGGCGGCGACTACTTCTTCCCCCCGGGCAGTGCGGTGCCGCAGCGCGGGGCGCCGCAGCCGCCGCCACCGCCCGCGCAGCCCAGTCCGGTGCCGGGATCGGCGCAGTCCCACTACGCCAGTCAGAAGCAGATGTTCCAGTTCCCAGGTAGACTATTTATTCTATGGAATTAAAGGAATAATTTTTTTTTTTAATTGAAACGTGTTTGGTATGTCCTATGCTACAGCTCTTGAAGCAAACAATATTATTAAGTATTTCAGAACGATCTACTTACTCAAGTAAATAATGATATTTAAAATTACTAGATAATATTTTAGGATGAATTAAAAAAGAATCAGAAGCAATTAATTAAAAAATAAGCCAAGTCTTTTAATACAGTGCAAGGTGTTTTTGTTAAAAATTGAAACAGAGTTGGACAGTCTTGACTAATCCCCATTTCTCTTTGAACATACAGCTACCGGTGCGGGCTCGATGTCGTCGCCCCGGAAGCTCTCAACCGGTTCGAACGGCGGCTACGGCGGCCTGCCGTTGTCCAACGGCCACGGCAGCAACCACCACCTGCCCTACCACACCAACATCCACTCGCCCCTGCCGCCGCCGCCACCGCCCGTCGACGGCGCCTACGGCAACGGAATACCCTCCTCGCGGACCAGCTACAACGGCTCGATGGGCCGTGCCGCCGGCATGATGGTGGCGCCGGTGGCCTTCCCCTCCGCCAGTGCTAATGCGAATGCGCCGGCCTCGCGGACGTCCCTCAACGGCAACGACCACATGCCGCCGCTGCCTCCGCCGCCGCCCGAGCCCATGATGCTGCGCAACGGATACGCCGACGGGCCGCTGCACAGTGTGCACATGCACAACGGCCAGATGGACTGGACGCCCAAGATCTTCCTCGAGAAAGGTACGCCTACCCAGTATCCACCAAGCATACTCAGTTATTCAGATGAGAAGGTCGTTTTTCAGTTTCTAATTGTTGCTTCTTGTTTTTAATTTCAGTTATTGATAGTCAATGTATATTAGTCAACAGAATTTTTAACGGTCTTTAATTTCGCTGTGTGACATGTGGTTTTTCAGTTGAGAGATGGTTTAATAATTTAAAGTTGTATTGTTAGGTAAATATTAGTTCAGTGACATATGTATAATTTTTTTTAAGCAGCGAGAATCTGTGCAAATACAACGGGGAAACGCGATTTGTGAAATGAGTACGATCCCCGATCAGGACAGCATAGAGGATGTTTGTTTTATGAATGATGTTTTGTTTTGGTACATAGTTTGTATCCGTATCATGATACTTATTAAAGGTTTCAAATCATTATTTTTTAATTTTTATGTTTAAAAATTAATTACTGAATTTATATTTTTTTTAAATTGCAAATAAATGGTTTCTTGAGTTAAAATCTACATTGGTCAGTAGACTTAATCTGTTTATAATTCTGCTGCATGAACCTAAGAACACGAAAACACTTGAAATGACAGTCTGTACGGTACGGTTGTAATGTGTTGTAGTGGTGGCCATTTACGACTACCAGGCCGACAAGGACGACGAGCTCAGCTTCAACGAGAACCAGGTGATCTACGTGGTGAAGAAGAACGACGACGGCTGGTACGAGGGCGTCATGGAGCCGGGCCTGCGCGGCCTCTTCCCCGGCAACTACGTCGAGCCCTGCGGCTGAAATCAGCCGAGGCACTGGCGTCGTACGCCGCCCGCATCGATTCCCGATTGCTGCGCTTCCTCTCTTTTTTATTCTTTTTAATTCAACGGCGTTTTTGTGCGTTTTGTACGGTTGCCAACGGAGGCCGTGTGCAGCGGCTGTTGTAATAATTGTTGTCTTTTTATTTGTTGGAACGCCCGATCGAAGGATGCACATCTTCTCGGTCTGTTCAGCGCAGTCTTCTCGTATTTGTAACAGAGAGTTTTTAACAGGTTTTACTGGCTTTTACCGTTTTTACCCCGCCGCTGTCGTGCTGCGGCAACGTGTTCGTTTCGTCACTGTGCCAATTTTATTTGCCTAGTTCTTTTTTATTTCTGTCAGAGAAAGTGAATGGCATTATTAAATTCCAAATATTACTCACGTTTATGCTTAACATGGCGGCGTGCACTGTTTTAGGCACACAGAATCCTGGCAGTTCCCGCTTCTGTTACGGTTGAAATTTACAACAAATTAATTTGCATCGAGCGCAGCGAAATGCTACTGCCCGGTACATGGTGCCAAATTTGTGTACATGTACGAAAACTTTCACTTTCGCGCACTCCCAAACACATTCTTGCTTTCGGTTTATGACATTATTCCGTAGCCAGAAGATTTGTATACACTGGCGTGAAAACCGTTTGGGCGCGCAACATCCGGTTCGGGAGTTATGGCTGTTAGAAAATTCCAAAAAGTATAGATGCATTTAGGTGTACCAAAAGTCTCATTATGGACCGATCTCCCTCAAATTTTGTACGTAAATCGGTAAATGCACATACTGTATATATAACCACGAAGAACGTTTTTACACCAACCCACTGTTCTACCATGTTTTTCAAATTTTAAATGAATTTCAAAAAATCTTAAATTCATTTTAAAATCAGAAAAAATTATGGAAGCCTGGATCAGTTTAAAAACGAACTTCATGGACATGCGCATTTACGTGCACAATTTGAGAGAGATCGGTCCATAATGAGATTTTGTTACACTGAATGCATTTAAACTTTTTGGAATTTTCTGATGGTCATGACTCCCGAACCGGATGTTGCGCGCACAAACGGTTTTCACACCAGTGTACACAAATCTTCTGGCTACAGAATATCATAAACCGAAACAAAAATGTGTTTGGGTGTGCGCGAAAGTGAAAGTTTCAGTGCACGTACACGAGTTTGGCACCATCTACCGAACCACTTTTAGCCTTCGTCAAGCTTAAGAGCGCAAAATTTGTCTGAAGCCAAGAAGAGCGTAAATCCCGCTTTTCCAATTCCAAAAATCAAGTACCGTTTTCCACTGGCACTAGCACTCGCTCGTTGCACTGGTGTGGTTTAACAACCATCGCTAGTAAAAGACTGTTTCTCACAGAAAAAAAGGGTGGCCGATATGTTCCTTTCAAAGCATATCGTACTAATTGTAGTAAGTACCACTTGAAAAAATTGTTTCAACTTGAACCGAGTACTGGTACTTAGTAATCGTGATATGAAATACAGTAAAAAAAACAAGTTCGCGCGTGCTGCAGAGCCATTCGTACAAAGGTGCATATATCAGCCGCTACCAATGCTGGCGCTAATAAGCCCGGCTGTATAGAGGCGCGCTTGTTACGGTGCCACGGCAGAGCCGTG